AAGCATGATTTTTAATATGATTTAGATTGTTTCAGCCGATATAAGAATCAGGTCACTCGGTGGTACAGAATAAACACTGCTGGACTGTTTTATTTCTTTGTCATTTAGCAAAAAATCTTTTAATTAAAATATTATCCTTTGGACTTTAAACTTTATTTATCGTTAAAATGACTAGAAAATGAAAAGCTATCTTCAGCTGAAACGCAATTTATGTAACTGATATTTAAAAAAAATTGACAAGAATGCAAAATTTATGGAGTCTAGCAAGCAAAAAATCTTAATTTTCTTGTGTGAGCACTGAAAATAACTGTAGAAGGAAAGAAGAAAATTAGGGAGAAAAATAAACAAAAATTTGCAGGGAAATTTGGCTGTCAGACATACCAAGATGGTTAAAAAGGTTGGACGCTTTTGAATATACTTTCAGGATACTTCAAAGAATTTAGGTGTTCAAAGAGAAAACACTTGGACGTGTACACCAGCAAATACTATCAATTGAGCTTGTGTTAACAGAAAAGACAAAAACGATATCATTGTGGATTAAAATGAAGAGCTACTGGTTTTATACTATATAGTTGCATAAATTTAAATTACGTTATAGAACATCGTATCGTATCGTAAACGAAGAATCCCATGATTTCTCAGTCGAATTAATTGAAAATTCAGGAATTTATCCAGTGATGTATGTGGATGTCACCTAAAAACGTTTTTTTTCCCCTCCTGATGAAACAGCAGCCGAGCGGTAAATTCACTGAACACTGGTAGTTCGGTCCAAGGTTCGAATCCTACAAATGGGCTGGCTGCATGGCGTTTTCATGGTTTTCCCCATGTGTAACATGTATATGAGCCAGTTTTCCTTAGAAAGTCCTCCACGAAGGCATCCCTTCCCTTAGGCAGATAGCCCTAGTGTTATAATTAAATAATAGTTGTTATAATTAAATAAAGCAAAACATCTTGATGAAACCAGTCTTTCCTTTCATCTCATACCTTCAAAATGCTTAGCCTCTAAAGACTAGTAAAGGCTGCGACTAAATACTGATGAAATGGATTGAATTGGATTATTAAGTTACGGCAAAGCAGGGCTGTCTGCCTAAAAGGAAGGATTCCTTCGTGAAGAACTTTCTAAGGGAAACCAGCTGGCATACACATTACACATGAGAAAATCCACGAAAACAGCCATGCAACCAGCCTGTTTACCAGGATTGGAACCCCGGAGTGTTCAGTGACTTTACCGCTTGGCCGTTTGTGGGCCTTTATGAAATGGAAGGTGATAACTTTATTTAAAATGATTGTCAGAAATACCAAGATGTTTCGAAAAGTTGGATGCTTTTTAATATATACTTACAAAATGCCTAAAGAAAAAGAGCAAGAATGAAGCAGAATGCCTGAAGAAAAATTAATTTTTGCGTAAAATTTAGTATTTTTATTTTTTTAAAATTTAAAACTTTTTAATCTTATGATATTTGATTCTTGCGATTTCAAAAATAAAATATTTGACTAAAATATGAATAACATTTTAAGAAACCAAATTTAGGATAAAATTGTGTGAAGCAGTGGGCACGATGATAAAACTGTTTAAAGCACTGTATGCAAATTCAGAAGTCAAACAACAAGTTTTGTTGTTTGACTTCTGAATTAGTATTTATTCGGCATGTTATTGGGTCTTAATCACTGTATGCAAGTCATCCTAAGTTAAAATGTTGGTTATACATCTCTCTTATTTATATATATCTTTTCTGAATGGAATATTAAAAGGCGTGTTAACTGTGTTTTACTGTAGTTTCTCTTTTAATATCTGCAGTTTTGAAATGCATCATAGTCTGGGTTACAAAGTATTCTTCCGAAATAAATGCAATTCAAATAAATAAAATCAAATTCTGGAAAATTTATATTAATAAATATATTTAAAATGCTCAATTCGAATGAATAAATAGAAAGTTTTAAAATAATTATCTAAAGAGACAATGCAACACTAACAATTGCAACACTAACTAAAGGTCTAAAAATTTTAAATTTACTTAAAATAGTAACTATGACTAAAAATATAGTATAAAGAAAACTATTTGAAAAAAAAAATAATAAACAATGCACCTTTGATTTAAACTACACAGTTTGAATGAGTAAATAGAAATTTTTAAAACAGTTATTCGAAAGAAACCATGCAACTTAAACAATTAAAATGAAATTCGAAAAAGAAAAAATACCTAAAATAATAACAATTATAATTAAAAATATCATATGAAGACTATTATCTGAAAAAAGGAATGATCGTGACTTCCCCCCCCCTCACGGACGAGGTAGAAAGGGAAAGGAAAATAGGTTGTCATATATTAAGAAGTTCGCCAAGTGTGAACTTTTCTTGACGCGATTGAAAAAACAAGCGCCAACATAAACTGTTGAATGTGTCCATAAATTTCGCACCAAATTTTACAAAATTTAGTATCTAGGCATAATTTGAGTCTTAGAATTGAAATATGCAAAAAAAAAAAAAGTAGTATGTTATTTCAGAAAAAGTCTGATTTTGTGTCAAAATACCTATGTTAGAATAGTGTTATATATAAATGTAATATAAATATAAATATCCTAAGTCGTGCTTTCGAGACATAAAGAACGCAATTTGAATTTTGTGAATTGGCCCAGTAGAAGGAGAGATATAGAACTATCCCCCCCTTTTTTTTTTTGAGCAGTGTACATCTGTGCTGCTGTTATCTTTTAAAATTATTCACTCAAAAGATTTTTCTAGGCTTTTGAACAACGGTACTGAAATGACAAATAATTAGGGTGAACAATATGTGTGTGGAGAAAATGCTTGAGGAAATAAGTAATTCTTTAAACAGGGTTTGTTGTATTCAGTGCAGGTGTACAAGACTTTTATTCTAGATTGAGAAAATGGGATAAGAATAAATAAGTTTCAGGTAAGAACACACTTCCGAGCAGATGAATTCGTGGAAGTAGAAGTTAAATATTTTTGCTTTCTCCTGTCGTTTGAAGCCAATATTTTTAAGTGAACATCAAAGGCTTTAGTAAATTGCATTTTAATTGAAATACAGTTGCTCTAGATTCTTTTTAGTGGTAAATATTGCTTTTGCAAAAAGGAAACAAACACAGTGCTGGTATGCAAAGTCATTCAAGTTATATAAGAAATTGCTGCAACAAGGCTATCTGCTGCTATGAAAAGCTCCATACGTGAGTGGAAGAAAAAGGAAATTCAATAATTAATATGTCAAAGAAAAATGTGTTTTGTATAAAGGAGTAATGAAATGGCCTATTCTAGAAGAAAGTGTTACGAATTGAGTCCTAGAGAATTGCCAGAATGGATTAATTGTAACAAGAAACAGCATACATTTATTTGATTTACAGTGTACGAAAAAGAATGCAAATGAAAATGAAAACTTTAAAGCAAACTTTATGTTGACGTAATCAATTTACGGCACAGAATAATTTAGTACTGTGAGAAAAAACAAAAACTTCACAAAGGCTTTCAAAAGATTTGGGCACCAAATTGTTTTGTTTCTAGAAGTATGTTATTGGCCTTTGAAAGGAAAAAAAAATACTGTCCTCTCTAGTATTGGAAATATGGATGAAACTCCAGTAATGTTTGATACGATAGGAAATAAAACAATTGATGTGAAAGGAACAAAAACAGTTCACATAAAAAAAAACAGGTCGTGAGACGTCTCATCTCATCATAGTCTTTTCCTGCTTAGTGGGCAGTACAAAATTAAAATCCGTAGTTATTTTTAAAAGAAAGATGATGTCAAGGTGTTATTTTCCAAATGATGTTTTCATTCATGTTCACAGAAGGACAAGAACAGTGTAAAATTGTGGATAAGAAATGTTTGGGAAAAACATCCTGTGGCATTCAAGAATCCAGAAAGTATTTTAGATTAGATTCTGTTTACAGATAATTTTGAAATTGAAGATAAGAAGATATTGATGAAAGGGTGTAACACAGACATGGCAATTATTATCATTAGTTCAGCCTTTAGATGTCTGTATCAATAAACTATTCAAAGAAAATTTAAAACAACAGTAGAATATGCGAGTGTCAGAAGACGAAAACATTTACAAAAGAAGGCGAAATGTATCATGCTAGTCTAGAAATAATGTGTGAGTGGATAATAAAATGGAATGAAATTAAGCCTGACATAATTCAGTAATAATCTAGATGGAATGGAAGATGATTATTTATTTATGGATCAGAGTAATAATGATGAAGATGAAATAGAAATTAACCATATGCCTTGAGTACAGGAGACGAATTTGATGAATTTTTCATGTTATCCAATAATAGAAATCTGTAAGTTCATAAGGTATATCATTTCATAAATCTAATTATGCTAATTTTTTCTTTTTTTTTAAATCTATCGTTTTTATATCAGACGTATAATATGCACCTATTAATTTTGATGTAATTTTTTTATGTATTAAAAGTGTGCATTATATGCCAGAATATACAGTGCATTTAAGTGCAGTTTTCTTTCAGATTTGTGATTTGTTAATTTTAATTTTGTGAATTGTTGTTTGAATTGTTTTCATCAAGTCCTAGAAATGAGCAAGGTAAAATATCTGAATAAGAAAAGGAAAATGGGCTCAGATTATATTTGTTATTTTTGTATGACATAGCATTAGATGTTTTAAAGAAAAAACGCATAATTTCTATAATTCATAGAAAACATAATTCTTTTATATTATATGCTTAAATTAATTTAAATAAAATAAATTAAATATAATTTACAAGGAACTAAATCTAAATTGTATGTAGTAAATTAAAAACTAAAAAAAATTTAGTCATATATCTGATTATAAAAATTTTACATTCAAAGCCTGAAAAGTAATTTGTAGTTCTTATTAAAAATTTTCTAAATTTATGTTTTTTTTAATTGGGATTTTTTGAATGAAAAGATTAGCTTCAGTTTTATTAAATATTTTTAGGATAATAATTTTTTATCTCTTTTTGTTTCCTAAACTTAATTTTTTTTTTAAAATTTGAAATATTTCAGTCTTCTTCGAGAGGCAGAGCCATTAAATGAGAAACATATCTCAGAACCTTTGAATGGCCAGGAAGATGAAGATAGCAGAGAAATGAGAGTAGTAGAAGAGAGACAGCTTTTAAGCCGTTATGGGATATGGCTACTAGTTGGTCTTTGTACACCAAATGAAAACACACCAGATGTAATGTATATTTAATTTTTATATTAGTAAGATCTGAAGATAAATGCTATTTTAGACAGATTATTTTTTATAGTAAGAACTGTATAGCTCATACTGATTTATTTTTTGTTTCTTCCTGTTCACTTAGTAATGTATAAATTGTAAGAATAGTTATCTAAATATTGATTTTATGAAGCATTTAAACATTACTATAATATCACCGATAAGAACTTGACGAAAGTAACCTTTAATGTACAATACATGACAAATGTATTTACAAAGTTATGTAATAAAACATACACACACAAAAAAAAAAAAACAAGTCCATTAAAATTAATATTCAGTTTATAATTTTGAATGTTTAACATGTAATGTAATACATTGATGAGCCAAAACATTATGACCATTCCCACATTTTACAATGAACTCATCTGGATGACATGGAGGACACTTAATTAAGTTGGAATAATATTTAACTGCTGCTGGAAAATGTAAGGAATTATTCTTGAACTTACTTTTGTGAGTGATGAGAAAGGCTGCTGACCTAAGAGAATTTGATAGAGGGCAGATTGTAATGGCCCGAGGACTCAGAACGAGTGTCTCCAAATCTTAAGACTGGCAGGTTGTTAATGATCTGCCATTGTTAGCATTGATGCAAAGTGGATAAATGACGGTGAAACCAGCAGTAGATGCAAAGATGTTGGATGTTCATGCATCATCAAAGAAAAAGTACTTTGGAGACTGTCCCACTTAGTAGAGCAAAACTATCGCCAAACAGTCCAAGTGCAAGTATTTCGGAACACACAGTTCAGTAAAAACTGTTAGATATGGGAGTGCACAACAGACATCCCATTTGTGTGTCTCTGTTGACCAAGCATCAATGTCAACTATGTGTGTAGCGGAACATCAAAACTGGACCATGGGTAAGTGGAAGACAGTTGCCTGGTCAGATGAATCATGATTTCTCATTCGTCACATTCATGGTTGTGTCAGGGTATGCTATCTTCCAGGTGAATAGTTGCTCCTCCCTCTACATCATGTCATACACAGGCTGGAGGACATTCTTATGAGTGGCTCTGGGACCCTTATGTGTGGTAGAATACAGCATGAAAGCTGCAGACTATCTGAACATAACTGCAGATCAGTTGCATCCTTACATGGTGTCCATCTTTCCAGCTGGAAATGGAATCTTCCAGCATGCCCCATGTTGCAAGGCTCGAATTGTGGTGGAGTGGTTCAAGAAGCATAAAGATGAATTCTATTTAATGTCCTGGCCACCTAACTCGCTGGATCTTAACCTGATAGAGCACATTTGGGATGTCATTGGAGCAGCAGCTCAGACTTCAAGCACCACCATGTCAAAATATCTCGACTTTGCGTGACCACTGCTTAGTAATTTGGCACAACCTGTCTCCAGTCATCTACTAAGAACTTGTTGCATCCAAGCCAAGATGAGATGCAGCTGGTTTGCAGGCCAAAGATCGCTCAACCCGTTTTTGAGTAGGTGGTCATAATGCTTTAGCTCTTCAGTGTATAATAAAATTAAATTTAAATTTAACTAATAACATTTCATCTAAATGTTATTTACATGCAACATTTAGATAAAAGCTTATTTACGAACAATATGACACAAGAGTTTAATTAAATAAAAAAATCGTTGCTTTGTTTTCAAGAAATCAATCAAATATATGTTTTTCTTTTAGTTTTCAAAACTGAGCAGCTCTTTTTGAGTTATAAACTTCATAAGCATCAAATGTTATCAACATAAATCTTGCAACAATATTGTAAAAAGTTAATCTGTTATTTTTAATATCATCATGTTTTCATTAAAATTGCATCTGCTCTTTCAGCATGAAAAAGTTCATCAAAAAATATTCTTTGTTTATGAAGCTATTCTTGAAACAATATATTGGGTCATACAAAAAGTCTCCATGGTTTTTTGCCACTAAATGGTTAGGTTAGGTTATATAATTATGGCAAAGCCTTGAGGGCTGTCTGCCTAAGGGGAGGGATGCCTTCGTGGAGGACTTTCTAAGGAAAATTGGCTCGTTTACACGTTACACATGGAGAAAACTATGAAAACACCCATGCAGCCATCCCGTTTGCAGGATTTGAACTACCAGTGTTCAGCGACTTTACCACTCAGCCGCTGGTGGGCCGCCACTAGGTGGTATTGATGCATATACATCCGGCAATACTCACCCGATTGTCTCAAACGCAAACATGTTTAAAAGGTGACATTCAGCTTCTGTTGTTTGTTAAGATAGTTTCCTAATTCGTTGCTCATGTGAAAAGTTATATTGATTTGAAAATGGGTGAAATATCTGAAGAAATACGCATGTGATGCTTTTTTACTATAAGAAAGGTGAAAATGCTGCAAAAATATGCAGAAATGTTTGTGTTGTGTGTGGTGAGAATTTTGTGAGTGAACGAAAGACCCAGGAGTAGTTTGCTCAATTCCATTCCGGAAATTTCGATGTCAAAGATGCACCTCCCTCTGGTTGGCCAGCCACAGGAAAAGTCAATGAAAGTTTGCAACTGGTGGTGCAAGACTGGAGGGCAAGCTGTGTCAGGAAATAGCAGAGGCACTAAAACATCAACCACATGACAGTTTGTAATCATTTGAAAAGAGTGGGTTATGAAAAGAAGCTCAATGTTTAGCTGCCACATAAATTACAACTTGGTGAAACCATCCATTCGGCCCTGTACTGTGCACAATTCGACCGTTTGAACGAAGCACTATAGAAAGAATGACCAAAATTGGCCAAAAGAAAGGGTGTTCCATCATGACAATGCGTGGCCATGCACATCTTTGATGACTCTGAAAAAATTGAGGGAACTTGGCTGGAAAGTTTTGATGCATCCACCGTATAGCCGGGGCCTTGCACCATCTGACTACCATTTGTTTTAGTCTCTGCAAAACTCTCTTAATGGTAAAAATTGGCCAACCAAAGTGCCATTGAAAATCACTTGGCCAAGTTTCTCAACGATAAATCACAGAAGTTCTGCACCGATGGAATTATGAAAAAAGGTCATAGATAACAATGGTCAATATGTACTTGATTGAAATTGACTTTCAATAAAGAAAATTTTTATTCAAAAATGTACCAAGTTCTGATGTTATTTCTCAAATAAAAAAAGTAGCACATGAAACTAAATTTACTCACTGCTGCATTCATCGTGAAGTTTTAGTAGCCAAAACAATCCCTGGAAGCCTGAAAATCATTTTCAATCAATCTTTAAAAATTTGTTCATTTTATTAAAAGCCGAACTTCAAGAATATTTACAATTTTATGTCAAGAGATGGCATGAAGATGAAATGATTTTGTTACATACCAAAGAAAGGTGGTTATCCAGAGGCAAAGTTTAAAATTATCTTTTTGGATTTCGATCAGAAATTGAAATTTTCTTCTGTGATTAAATATTTGAATTGCAAAAATGTTTATTTAGGGAATTATGGCTGGCACGTTTAGCATATTTAGCTGATATTTATGCAAAGTTGAATGAAATAAATTTAGGATTACAAGGACAAAATGTTAATTTGTTTATCTTTAGAAATAAAATAAATGCAATTATAAAAAAACTCGAGCTAATTTATCAGAGATTTGGATAATAATATTTTAAGCTTTTCACCACTTTTAGAAAGTTTTCTAACTGAAAATTTGAAAATAAAAGACATTGTCCGACATTAAAAACCATTGTTTTCGTTGATAAATAATTTCAAAATGTACTTTCCTGAGGATTATGAAAAAGAAAATTGAACTGGAAATCCATTTTGTTCCAATGTACCTGAAATTTTATTTCGTGGAAAAAAAAAGGACAATTGATAGAAATTTCCTGTGATCGTACTCAAAGATTTCAAAAATATTACGCTTGCAAACTTTTGGCTGAACCGAAAAAATAATTAAAAAGTATTTCAAATAAAGCTGTTAAATTTTTATTGCCTTTTTGCACAACGTATTTGTGTGAACAAGGATTTTCTTCTGTGTCATATTTAAAAAATAAATACAGAACAAAATTAAAAGTGGATCCTAATTTATGGTTAAAACTAAGTGAAATAAGACCAGCCATAAGGAAATTGATCTCTCTTAAACAGGGTGGAATTTCGCAGCAAATTTTAAAGTACTATTATAACTTAAATCAAAATCTTAAAGATAATAAATATAGTAACAAATTTTTAATCTAATATTTTTTATGCATGCATATTTAATACAAATAGCCAATATGTTGTTCAAATGGCAAATTTTATTTAATATATATATATATAGAGAGAGAGAGAGAGAGAGAGAGAGAGAAACTGAAAAATAATCATTGTAAAACGTGGTGGTACTGAAGTTTTTCAATTGCTGCTGATGTATTTTATACACATAAAGTACTTTTCCTGCACTTGCTAATATTGTGATTCATTGTTTTTCTTCCTCATTGTACTATACCATATACATTTGAATACTTTGCAGCTGAAATTGTGTTTATGTACATAAAAGAATTTCTGTTCTGTATCCATGACCATACTGTAGTTTTAAGAGAAAAAGGAAAGCCCTATAGCCTATTTTTGTTTTGAAATAAAACTGATGCTTTTTTTTTTTTTTTTTTTCCTGAGTTTGGAATAAGTATATTATATTATAAAATCTGAGGTCACCAATTATGTTCAAATTGAATTATTACATGGAAGCTTCATCATTCAGAAATACAAGGTGTGCCCGTAAATGGACAAATTAAAAGACCAAATGATTAAAAAAAAAAAAATAAATAAATAAAAATAAAAAATAAAATAAATAAATAAATAAATAAATAAAAATAAAAAATAAAAAAAAATTTGATGGAATAAATGTATGTTTAGAAAAATTGCCATCTCAATTCTTGTTGAAGCTAGTGTAAACTGGTAATTTTGTCAGTTGCATATCAAAATATTGGAATCATTTTCATTTACTGAGGAAACATTGTAAAAAAAAAAATTGCTTCGACGAGGAATAATGTTATAACATTACATTTTGTTACAGATTAGGTAAATATGCTACCAAAGCATTAGAGATGATTAAAAAAGGTGTATGGTGATGCATCATTATCAAGAACACATGTGTATGAATAGTTCAATTGCTTTAAATGTGGGCATGAAATCATTGGAGATGAAACAATAGAGTGCCTTTCAACTTCAGATGTTATGCATATTTTGCAAACAGTTAGTTCCAGTGCCTATAAAGAGCATTTTGATGACCTGAAGAAACACTAGGAAAATTGCATAGATTCCTCTGTTGAATTTTTTGAAGGAAATAAATTTGTTTGAAATTTAGTAATCTTTTTTATAATATTTATAAGAATTTTCTGGTTACGTTATGGCTGCACATTGTAGTTTTGGCAATTCAGACAATGAATTAAAGAATAGATTTTATCTAAAACAATAATCTTTGTAAAACTTTTCAATTATTTTTATATGCAAAATATTCTTTTTATTTAGAGTAACCTTGGTAATTCAGATTCTAAGTTAATAACTTAGTGTAGCCTTTTTTTAATGCATCAGTCATAAAGTGTCAAAATCAATTTTGTTACATCATTGAAAGTTTTTCATTTTTCTTTAATGTAATTTATAAATAAATTGAAATTTATTTATTTTTATTATTATTTAAAGACTGTTGCAAAGAAAAGTAATACTTTGACCTTGAATATTCAAAGCTTTGCTAAAGTAGGAAATTGTGATAAAAAGCATTAATGCAAGATTTTATATAAAATGAGTATCTAATTTTATAAAGTATTTATTTTATTTGAAACTTTTATTATAATAAATATAAAATTTTTATAAGAAATTCCATATTATCCCTAGGAGTCATTAGGCCGTCTGCTGAGCATGTTATTCCAATGGTTTAGTTATACGGCTTGTTTACCTGATGGTAAGGCATAAATTTTAAGCATTTATATAAATTACACAGTATTTTTGCATACCTCATTTATTCTTAATGGAAAAATTTTTTTATTTCATGATTCACTCATACAAATTAGTATTTGAGTATAAAATAAAGCAAATTTTTTTGAAAGAATTTATGTTTATTTATAGTTTTTTGGAGGGAATGCTAGAGTTAATATTTATGTAATTTATCTGATGTTCATCATCAGACTCATTTATATTCTATCTGAATACTAGAACCCTTTGATTTTAGTTATCTAAAAATCATGTGAGAAAAGTCTAAGCATTCTGGCATATGCATATAGACATAACAAAATCCAGTATCCAGATTTCTTTTATTACTATCAACATAAGGAATTTTTCTAAAAAATTTTTATGTTGATAGTAATAACTTAATAGTTATAACTTCATATCTTTACTAACAGAAAACACTTTATTTGTTTATAAAATAATGAAATTATTTATGTGATGTTTTAAAGCAAAAACTTTCCTTCAAAATGAAATCTTTTCATCATTTAAAAGTGATTTCTGCATATTTGGATATATGTGTGCTTGTGTTAGTAATTTTACTTTCATTAAAATTATTTTTAAATCCATTAATATTTTAAATAGGAATCTTATAAATTTCTTTTCATTAGATCAAGCTGGGAATGCTCTAGAGCGATTAAAGGCTGAGGTAAGCTATGTCCTGTTTTATTTTCAGGTCATTTACAATGAAAGATTATGGATTGATTCAGAATTTGTTAAAAGAAAATAATTTTTTAAAATTTATGTACTTTCATTTTGAAACTTGAATGAAAAATATTAATTATTAAACAAAATGAAATAAATTATGAAATGAAATTATGTCTCTTAAGAATCGAAAATTTTAATTTTTCGTATCTAATTCTTTTCCCTCTTTAATATGAATTGCAGTCTTTTTGTATGAAATTATTGATTAGCCTCACAGGAAAGTGAATTTTGTTTGATTTAAATGATCCTTTTTTCTAGCCAAATTTCTGAAATTAAAAAAAAAAAAAAAAAATTTTGGTTTCTGATTTTAATATTCTGTACTACACATTAGCAAATACACATTATTTATGTACTATTAAAAGCAGAAATAAGGAAATATGTTCATTTAAAAATAGAAATAAAGAAATTATCAATACTGTTGGGTTTAAGGGTTATTAACTTACATATCACAGAATTTTCAAGCTGTATAACAGTTTATAATTATTTAATTGTCATTCAGCAGTCTTATTTTCAGATACTGTATTTGTTATTTATGTTTTAGTATTATTATTATTATTATTTGTACTCTTTTAAGGTGAAGCATTATGAAAATAACATTAATGAGAATGTTAAAAAATAAGACGGAAATTCTGAAAATTTCACTTAAAAACTGATGAATGCAATTTTAAACTTTGTTGCAAGATTGCTAAATATGAAATTGTTATAAATGACAATGTAAAAACAGTATATATACATTATAAATTCAGAAACACATCCAATAGTCTTTTGCATTCTTTGTAATATTTTAAATAAGTGGGTATATGCTTCTAATGTAGGAAATTGTACTTTATGTTTGCATATGCAGTACTTTCAGAGTAAATTTAATACATGTTGCAATTTTTACTTTCCACACACTACCTGTAATAAGTTTTCTACTTTTCAAAATCTCCCATTTCAATGAAAAATTAATATTTACTTATCACTTCCTAGGAGATAATCAAATTGAATTTAATTATTAAAATTATATATTTATCATTATGAAAACTTCTAGCATAAACAATGGATATAAATTGTCTTAATTATTTTGAAATACAAATTACTGTTCTTTATTCTTCTTAAATGAGTTCTGATGTTGTCCTTTAGAATATTCTTCTTGCGATACTGTGTTTGTAAATATTCAGTCTAAAATAATAAATCATGTTGATCATTCACTCTTAGTATCATGATTGTCTTATGTATCGTGTGGTGTAAAAATAATGTAGCACCATATTAAAATATGTGCAGAGATTAGTCGTTTAGTGGATGTGATAAACAGATTGTAACACAATCATCTACATTTCCTTCTCTTTCATGAACATAAATAAACTCGTAATTTTAGCTATAAGTGTTTTATTCTTAAAAATTGCTAAAAAAATAGAGCAGTTCCTTTTCAGTAGCTAACTGAAATTTTAAAATTTATATTGGTGTGGGTGTTAGTTTCAAGCAGAATTACTTTAGTGGATGAGATGGAGGTAGATGCAACTTTAAAATAAGGCTGTATTGATCCTAATTTACTGATGAAGACTGTAAGATCTAAAAAGAAAAAACTGCTAATTACACACTGTCTTTAAATAAATTATGAAATACAGAGTTTATGTTTTTAAGAAAAGGATATGGCAAAGGTAATGCTATTTTAAGATCCAGTTAATTATTGTCTCAGAAAGCAATGCTGTTGGAGACAATATTTATGATTTGTGTTCCTCAGGCTTTTTTTTTTTTTTTTAGTTTGCTGTTTTTATTATGCTTATTCATATATACTATTAATTAGAAAAGAAAAGTACCCAAAATACTGAAATTCACTTTTAAATTCTTTTTAATTATGATATATATATATTTCTTCTATTTTATTTTCAATTATTATCCTTGAACTTTGATATAATGTAGTAATAACTTTTACTTAATGTTACTTAAATATTTACAAGACTTATTTGATAATAAAATAACAAGATTTTTGATATTATCATAAAATAATAAATTTTTAATTAAGACTTTTAGAAATGCTTCTTATTTGCTTTTGAACTGCATATTATTCATTACCTGCTTCATTAAGTACATAATTCTGTACTATACACTGGTGGGAAAATTAAAGAAACAATTATAAAATTCATGCAACTTCAATGATTTTGAAGATAAAAACATGGAACACTTGCACAAGTCATTTATTTTGTTGTCTCTAACATATTTTCAAAATGCAAAATGCTGTTTCTTCAAAAAATCAATTTAAATAAAATGGGTTAGGGAAATATTAATGTAACAAATTTTTAGAGATACAAACAAAAAAAATAAAAAATAAAAAAAAAAAAAAAAAAAGAAGAAAAGAAAAGTTTCAGATTTTAAATTACACCTAAAGAGGCGTGTTTTTAACGTTTTGTGTGTAACCTTTATATATTAAATATCATCTTCTTCACACTTAAACCGTAAATTTCAGTTCAATAGCAATATCGCAAAATAATTTTTAAATGAGCCTATCTGAATGAGAATTTCCGATACACAGTTCCGCACTTTGGAGATAAAAAGGTGCCCACCCCCTGTAGATTATTGCCATTGCTCACTTTCAAATCCTTGAGTTTGTTAATCAAAAATTCGTTAAAGTTTTTACCAAATATGAAATCGATAATAAAACAAATTCGAAATTTCAAATTTGGTCTTCCACTTGCCCATATTCGTAGGAGGATTGCATCATTCAAAATTCGATGGCTCTATGTACCGTTGTTTTATCACAATGCGAGAAATATACATACATTTATGCAGATTTTTCATTATTTAATTTCTTCATATATAATGTAGGACTCTAACATTTGGTGGCAGCAGTTTGAATAGTGAAACGGAAATTTATAGCGATTCAGTGCAAAATCTCAAAACGAAAACAATAGTCCTTCAGGGATAAAGCCCCTTTGGACTAATAAGGTGCATGGTCACCCCTGATTGAAAGGCAAGCTTTACAGCAATTTTCTATGTTGTGTACTAGATTTTCTAGGAGCTCTGTGGTAACAAAATATATTCAAGGTGAATAGTGCCATGAAGCTCTTTGAAAGGTGCTAGGTGAGGGCTGCAATGATGCAAGCCAGCATCCTAGTGTGTCTCACATATATTCCATTAGATTTAAATCCAAAAAATATGAGGCCAATATATCCACTGGATTCCTTTAACCTCAAGATAATCAGCTGCTAATGCTGTGCGATGGGAATGAACATTGTTCATCAGGAGAAAGTTAATACTGATTTCACCTCTAAACAACTTGATGTAAATTTAGAAAACCTCATCTTTGTACATTTCAGCATTCATGGTTGCCCTGGTAAAAATGTGTAGGTCAACGTGGCCATTCAAAATGATGTCTGCCCGTACCATGAATCTACCACCTTTGTACCAATGTCTTTCATGAATATTTTCATGAATTATTGCATGTGCTTTGTTCATGCGAGATTGAAAAATATCTGGAATCAATCTCCAAATAAAAATGTAATGTATCAGTAGAGATAATTTCACTCCATTTCCTAGTATTCCAGTCATGATGATCTTGACACCACTGCAACTAGGCCCATTTTGAAGTCCCAAGTTACTGGAACACAAATTATGGGTTTCTCTGCATACAGCCTTCTGCTATGCAGCCCGTCACTTATAGTATATTTAGATAGTGGAGTTCTTGTAATTATAATAAACTTCTTTGCAGTATGGGCTGAGGTTAATTTTCTATTTATTTTTAAAATGTCAAGCGATGGTTCTGAGAGTCTCTTGTGGAACATTTTTTACTTAACCTGGTTCTTTGCATACATGACCAGTATCTAAAGTTTCCAGATTCTTTAGATAATGTGTTTGGCTACTGTCATGTCTTTACACCTGTGTCAGTGACTGCCTTGCTTCCAATCTCCTTAATCACATGCCATTTGTCACAATTTGACAGATATTTCATTGTCTATGTGCAAAACTTTTATCTAACTACTAGCGCAGTTCTTGAAATTAGAGTTTGAAGCACCCTTTCACTTTCTCTTTTACACAAGCTGAAAAAGCAGGCAAAAAAATTGCATATCTCTGTGTAGCAAAGGTGAATTTCATTGAAATATACTGTAAGAGTGATATTGTTGCGTTTTTTTTCCTGACACCAGTTGTTACGTTATTTTCCCTTTATTTCATGTATGTACGGGGTTCGTGTGGATTTGGAGTGAATAACGACGACAGCACTTGATGGAATATTGAAACACACTTTATTTAGCCAATATTAATCAGGACAGCTCCAAAGTCGCGTTTTAGTCGTCGAAGAACTACTATAAACTCCCTGGAACAATCAGCGACACAGCCTTCACACTGTCAGGCAATAACAGTGGAGACAGCTTCACGGCAAAGCAGCAGAGTACAGCTACCGACTCTGTGATCGTTCTCGGAACTCCACGTACTCTTGAGACTCGCCATGTTACATCTGGGGATGCACTCGACGACACACAGAGCACAGCTTCCGACTCTTCGGTTCAGTCATTCCCGGAGCTCAACACGCTCTCTCGACGATGCACTAACCGCGAGACTCTTTTGGTGCACTCGTAGAGCCACTCGGCACTTGCTGCCCGGCTGTCAACTCGATTGACTCGCTAGACGAGACACCAACTCAATACTAACTCTCTCTCACTCCAGACGAGGCACTCTGGCTCGCCCTCTCGATGAAGCACACACTCTATGACTGACTATCAGCTTGCTAGATGAGGCAAACACTGACTGACTGCGGACTAGCAGGGTTTATATAGCTTTCGGCTTGTGTTCGAGAACATTCTGGGCTAAACGGGTAAGAATTCGTTCCAGAAGGTTCTCCATCCATCGATGGTATATCGCCAAATGTAGCCAAATGGACGATTTCTCATCAAATGTGGCAACCCTGTCTTCCATTGCTATTTTATGGCAACCCTAAAACTGCTTTGCGGGGAAGCCATCTTACCACGTTTGGACATTTCATAACAATATTGCAGTAATTTTTACCTCATGTATGTATATTCATTCCATTAACTATATTTTCATAATTATCTTCTTTTTTTTATGAAGTACATTCATGGATGGCTGATGGAAGTTGCTAAAAGTCGCTTTGAAGTATTTGTTTCATGTTTGTTACCTCATCCAGTAGATTATGCTAAAGTAGGTGGTCACTGGTGAGTGTCTTTTAAAAAATAATCTTATTTTAATTTAAAGCTTTTTTGTTTTAAATTGTAATTTTCCTAGATTGTTTTTAGACTTTAATCATAGTTATTATGGTAGATGATTCCTTTATCATTCAGCTGTGTATATTTCTTTTGCTTATATGAACACATTAATGAATTTTTTTAAATCATTTTATGGGGCTGTTTTAATTACAAAAACGAGTAGTTTACTTTCATTTTTATGAAATAAAAAAATATATATATATATATAATTATTTTGATATTTTTCTGTTAACAGGACACTTAGTGCCAGATATAAGCATTGGCGTGAACTCTAATGATATGTAAAGCTTCATGAAAAAAATTAAATTACAATAACATTAATATATCATACGATATAATATATGTAATGTTTAAATGTGCAATGCTGAAACTGCTGTATAATTAGAAAATGCTATATAATTTAATTCCGAATACATGCTGTATAATTTTCGATATTTTTTAGGTAAAAAAAAATCAGGATTTCACAAATTTTTTACATTGCAGACGTTAAACACTACACAGTCATTCATGATGCAATATAAACAGGTTATCACATTTGGGGCTTTGTCTTGCATTTGGTGACTGGCAACCCATTAACAGAAAAGTACTATTATTTCTAATGATAGGGTAAAAAAAGTAAGTTGATGTAAAAACAGTATTAAATTTTATGAAATATGATGATGTTTCAGTACTTAGTTTTAATATTATATTAAGGAATTTTATCATGATCAGATATCACAACAGACAGAATTACACACTATGTCCATTCAAAAAGCAATATAACTTCATTACTCTAATTAAACTAATTATTTAATATTGCAAGAAACTTAACTGTCATTATTGAATCAATGCTACAAAAATTATTTGGAAAATTTGAATCAACTACTGTGCGTGCCAAAATTAAAGGATAATTTGAAAAAATATGCTTTCTGTTTAAAGTTTTCAGTCAAGTCTGATGTAGTTATTTATATTATCTGTGGTCGAATGCAAAATTGGATTTGTGCATAGACAAATTAGTTGGCTGAAATATGCAAATTAGGGGACTGATAATGCATTATACAATAGATATTTATTGAAATTCAGCTGTGTTATGTAATTTGAAGTTAATGTGCTTTCTCAGACTGGTTAATATTCATTAGTTATGACTCAAAGGTATTATTTAAATCATAAGCGTATGTGACGACCAGTTGATAGATTCAAAGATGGGATAAATGGATGTGATCCAACATAATATTTCTCAAAGTATTAGGTCAAGAACTTGGAATAATTTTTTTAAGCAGAAAATATATTACTAGACAGCCTGGACGAGGGCGACCTAAAGCAACAACTGTGTTGTTGGTTCAAAGAAACTATGAAGCAACTGCGAGAGAGTTGCGTTTAGACCTTCAAGCTGTCAAAGGAACTCAAATTAAGCATTCTACCGTTGCATTAAGGCTTCAAGAGATAGAGCTTTATATGGAAAAACCTATGATTTATGTCCCACTCAATATTTTTAATGGATGTTCTGTAACCAGTTACAGATATGTGGACAAGGCCTAGGAATCTCATATTACATTTTTTAGGGATGTTTGCCCAAATCTTTTGTTGCTAAATGGCAGTTTTGGGAGTCAGAATACTCAGAAGCAGAGGATATCATTCGAATGGATTGGCTGGTTTAAGCCCCAGATTATGAACCTAACTGAGCATGTGTGGCATGCCTTAGGCTTTTGAATTGCAGCTTAACACATGTGTGTCCAAACCCTTTAGAATCTTGAAATGCTCTTCCAGAGAAGTGATGTGCAATTCCACAAGACCTTATCAACAATTTGGCGAATTATGTGAAATCATGGTTTGAGGTTTGTATTTCTGTTACAGGTACCATATAAAAGAAGTCTTAATTACAAAACAGTTAATTTTTCCGTCGTATTTAAATTTCCAAAATTTGACCTTAAAATTCAATATATTGAGAATGATAAACTGTTAAAAATGGTAATTTATGTTAAATAATGCTTTTGTACAGATAGTTTTTAATAATTTTTCAATAAGAAACTGTTTAGTTTTATTTCTGTTTTTTTATATAATTTTTATATAAAAAATAAAGCACTTATATGTTGTGCATTAATATCTGAATTGCTGAGAATCTGCTAGTATTCTTCCATAATATACCATATACAAGTTGATACTGCTATCAGATTTTACTTATAAAGTCTAAAATGTCAAGAACTTTTTCCAGGCTTCATAAATAAGTAATAGGACCATAGAGAATATAGATATGAGAACTAAGCATCAGAAGTATATTTAGTGAAGAAGTGTGGTTAATAAGTTTCTTGAAAAAAGAACTCAGTGGCTGTTTGGATAAGATCTCTATACACAGGCAGTTCATCTCAAGTTTTGTTTCAGGTAAATGGGCAGGCTGCATGGAATTTTTTTTGTTTTTGCCATGTATAACAAACAGTAAATAGAAGCCAGTTTCCACAGAAAGGTCTTTACAAAAGCTGCTTTCCAAAGGCAAATAGTTCTTGCACACACTTCATAATGTATTGATGGAACAACCAGTCTTTTGTTGCCGAAAGAGATTTTAGTATATCAGGTGATTTGATACTATTAATACTATTATTAGATGAGTCTGAATGATTTTAACATTTCTTTCTTTTGAATAAATAAGCATAACTGATAATTTAAACATTTTATAGCAAATTAATATGTGAGCATTTCTGCTTAATTTCAAGTAGAACTTACAGCTGAAGTTGAGAATGAAAATGACTCGCTCCAGAGGAGGGATGCAACAAAGAACTGCAGTTTGGTAGTGCTATAACCATTAATTATGATAATTAATAAGTTGATGAAGCAATATAAGATGCATTAGTCTAACTATTCAGAAAGGATAATTACAATTATATATGATTCACATTTTTCATGGGTTAAAGTTTTTTCAAACAAATTCCAAATTTCTTTGAAAATAAATTTTGCTTTTTTAACATCATTATTAATTTTTTAGTGTAAGAATGATAATATGGGAATGAATTATTGTATGATTGCTCTCTAGAATGTGATTGTTTTACTGTCTTTTTAAAAATTGAAACAGAACATATCTTATTTTCTTGCTGTAGTGTATATAGATTACATGACTCAATCCTTTTCTGCAGAATAACACTGTGGATTTTATGATTGCTCCAGAATCTTTGTTCAGTAATGAACAGTTAACAAATCAAAACATAATTCTAGAAGTAAAAGCTATTTTTTCATATTGTTTCATTTTTACAGTAGAAGCCTGACTATTTGACATTGTGCTGACTGGAAAGCTCAAGTAACCGGAATATTAAGAAAATTGGGAAAAATTTTTCACTTAAAAATTTAGTAAATGAGAGATGTGTAATGCCATTATAGAACTAGTAATATTATTGTCAAATATACAGTGCCATCAAATAATGTGAGTTAGCTCCAATAATGGATAAACATGATGTCATAACACAATCACAAGTTCATCAGTTTGTTTTGGCTTTGTGTAAATCTGACTAATTCTTGATAAGCCAGTTATAACTTATATATAAGTTATAATGAAAAGATATAGGCTCAGTGTTTCCATCCCATTTTGAAAAATAATTAATAGTTGAGACTGCACGAAATGAAGTATTTTTGGAATTACAAGATCCAGGCATGCGACTTTTGATAAACAATGGTGCTATAATGTGAAAAATAATGATTAGCGAAATTAGTTTTCTATATACTACATCCATAGTTTGTATCTTTTTATTATCTAACTATGTAAAGAATGGCGTGTTCATTTAAACTTCTATTAGAATGATTGGCGACATCTCTGCCAACTTTCATGTTTGTCGAGATTTCGTAATAATCAAAATACATTGGCTTTTATGACTGTCATGCTTTTTTTTTAATTGTATGTAATTTTAAATGTAGGTTTTGATATTGAAGGTAGTAACAGATAAGAAAGACTGCTTTTATAATTTTAGAGTGGACATCTTTTGCATTGATTTGGGCTTTTCTAACATGAATTCCATTTTTTATATGCTCAGCTATCCAGAATTTTCATGTATCCAGAATTCAGTATTTCAAGAACTTTTTGGATAATCAAATTTTTACTGTAGTAGATACTAATCTTCTCTTAATGATTAAATATGGACTCAATTTTTAACCATCTGCATGATATAAATAGTCTGTGTATATTTTAACTTATATATGAAAAAGGAATATGCCAATTTAAAGCAGGGGCAAAATATTATTTCTCTTTTAAGAATAGGTTTGGTTTATTTTATTTGGTTATGGCAAAGCACATGAGATTATCTGTGTAAAGGGAGGAATGGCTTTGTTGAGGATTTTCTAAGGAAAACTTGCTCATATCCACATCACACATGGGAAAAACCACTTCCAGAATAGGAGCCCTGTTTTTATATCTCTTGAAATGTATAGAGTTTGTAAAATTAATGTCAATATAAGCCTGAATTTTACCAAAATTTTTGAAAGCATCTGGTACATTAAAAACAATGTATTGGCAAAATTAAGCAGTTTTGATGCAGCAAATTAAAATGGTATTATTAATGAGCTCAAATTTATGTGAAATGTGTTATGCATTAAATTTTGGTTATGTATATAATTTGAAGCTTAATCATAAGGAATTATGAAATCGTGAAGAAAATCACTGCAAAATTGAATTTCAGTTTCTTAATTCAGTTGCAGAAGGTAACCCAAATATAAAAATATAGTTCATTGAATCCAAAGATTTTTCGAAAATTATATTACTGACTGGACTTTGTTGAAATCATTGTTAATTGATGCTAAGATAACTACATAATCCAATTTATGTTCATAAAAAATTGGGAAAAGCAATGGCAAAATAGGCATACTGAGGCAAAATAGGTACTTGTTGCCAAGAAGTTTTAATCCTGATCCAAATTTATGGAAGATAAAAATAAAAATTATTCCAATCCTAATTCATATTAATTTCAATAAGAAACTAGCTTTAGAGGGTTTTTTTTTTTTTTTTTTTTTTTTTTTTTTTTTTTTTTTTTGTTTTGTTTAGTTTGCACCTTAATAGATTTCTATATAGAATAATGTTCACTCATTTTTATTAAAAAAAGTTAGACCTTATGATAATATTAGTTTTATATTCTGTTACTGTATGCATTTTATGTTCTAGCTAAAAATATATTTATTGTTTAATTATTTTGTTGTGTTTCAGGGAATCTTGGCCATCATATCCTGTGCAAATCAAAGAAGGATTTAAAAGGTTGTTATGCCTTGTTCCATATGATATAATCACTTTAGAAGTAAGCCTTTTTTAAATTTAACAATAATATTTGTTTCTTCAGCATTATTTTCTGTTGTACAATCTAACAGTTAAATTCTATCATTTAACAGTTAAATGAGTTAAAATAACATGCTGAGTAATGACTATAGGAGGTGTTGATAAGGTGACAAGAATCAGTGTAAATAAATCTGCAGGATTAGTTTCGAAGTTTTAAATATAGAACTTTCTTCTTCAGCTTCAAAAGTTCAAATGGTAAACGTGAAGACTGTGCTCAGGTGATAAAAAATTTTGTCTTTTCTAATTCCTGCAAATTACGTTGATTCTTGTTGCTTTAACACCTCCTACATTCTAAAAGTTAATTAAATGTAATTCATACTTTTTAGTTATTGTACTTGAACTAATTAGTGTATGAGCTCTTTCTCACTCTGGATATTTATTACAAATATATAAATTCACTTCTGTTTTTATCTTCATGTACATTCATTAAATTTAGAGAAGTCTAAATTTCACTATTCAATCATAAGTTTATTGCCTTGAATGCATAAAATATTTTATTGAAATGTAACCCCTTAAAATTACATGAAATTTCTCATTCCACAGGTATTGCATTAAAATTTCTTGAAAATTTGAGATTTTTGTTAGTTTAATAACATGATCTTTATATTTTAAAGATTTGGGAGTATATAATGCCTTATTGGATGGATGCTTTTAGACATGAAGCCATTGAAGCTGAATTTACTGAACTAAAAATTCTTCTAAGGTAAAATTTATAGAATTTTTCCCCATTAACTGCAATTATGTCTTTGTTATTAAATGCATGTTCACTTTTTCATTATATTAATGTTTAATTTTTATATATTTTGTAATGATATTTATCCTGTGTTTTAGCATGTTATCATATGATGCTTTATAATTGTTACAGTAAAATTCTGGATCCTGACTTGAGTCCGCTTGGATTTAATACAAATGATATGTATAAATTTTTGAGCATGAGATTCAAAACCCATTCTGCTGCCATTCAAGAACAAGCTCTGTATTGGCTCCAAGTTAGTAATCTTACATAAATGAATATTATAAGTGAATGATGTTAATTGATGGATAACTATATGCATCTGTGGAAAAAGAATGACTTTATGTATGATAATGTATGCAAAAAATTTCCCCTGCTATTTATTGATTTAAGAGACAGGAATTTCTTGCATAATGATTTTTTTCAAAAATTGTCATTATAGTTCTCAACAGATCAGGAATTTTGAAATATAGTAATTAAAATCCTGTCTTGAGTACTTAAATTCTTTATAAAATTTACTTTTACTTATTATTACTCTAAATAATAACATTTTTGGAGTGCTTCTCTTAATTGTTTTTTTTTTTATTATTAACATTTATCTAACATTAATAAATAAATTCGAGCAAATAACCTATATCCTGCTTTTAATGCATTGTTACTGATCAGTGTTTTGAATAATGCAGCCCAGCATTATCATAATTTATGTTTTTGGAGTATTAAATTTTTATTACAAATTAAAAAGTGAAAGATTCTCTGCTATTTTAATATTTTCTTCTGTATGAAATTATTTGAGACTTAGCTTCAAAAATTTTATGCAGTTTTATTTATTGTAAAAGTCTTATAATTTTAAATGATTTAATTTAAGTGTTTATATTTCTTCTGTACATATTTCGTCTGCACTTATATTAATTTTGATGATAATATGGTGATAAATAATAATGTTTGCATACATTTATATAAAAACTACAATTAAAAAGTTATTCTTTTGGTATCAATTTTTGAAATTTTTCTTTTTTTAGAAGACTTTACTTTTTTGTAAGAAATTTATTTGATGTTAAAGCACACAAATTTTCTTTGTATTATTATAATTTGTAATTGTAATGATTTTATAATTATAAATTATATAGTGATAAGGATTCAATGGACTTTATGGCATGCCCTTGTCTTATGTTTAAAAATATTAATGATAATGTATAAAATAATTTCAAAATGTTATTAAAGTATTAATCATAGAATTTGCAAAGCAGCAATGAGAAAATTTGTAGTGAATATTGACTAAACAAATTAAGTACTTAAACAAGCAACTTAATTTAAGCTGCGTAGCACAGGCAAAATACAGTGATAATCTATAAGCAATACATGCACACATACTCATATTATGATAATAAGAACCAAACTGTTGCCACAAATGAAAAAAAAAAAAACAGCAATGACACAAAAGACATATAAATTCTATTCAAGAAAATTAAATAGTCTGATATGACAGAATTGAAGTTCCTTGAACTCCCAATTCTGTAATATCTACAACACCAGGATCTGTTCTTAGTTGTTTGAAAGATTTGTGAGGTAAAAGCTTGCTAAAGATGGTTCCATGTTGCTTTTCACTAGCAGTGTACTCAGTACCAAGTTCACCATTAAGAGTCTATCCAAATGGTGCTTAATATCAATATGCTTTGTTTCCTTGTGAAATTCTGGGTACTTGGATAAGCAAAAGCACTAATATTATCAACTCAAATATTATTGAGTATTATTTAATGAAGAAGTGTAATCATATAATCATCAGGGTTTGTACGTTCCTTAAGAGTCCTTAAAAGTCCTTAGATTTTTTGGAATCGATTTTTGGCCCTTAAAAGTCCTTAATTTTGGCCAAAATTGGTAGAAGGTCCTTAATTTTAATCATCTGAAATTTCTGTCTGTTTTTACGACTGCCATTTTGAGTGTGAATTAGCATTTTGGAGGAATATTTTTCGCGATTCAGTGACATATATGGTTATCTTTTGAATGGGTTCATGGTTTATAATTTGTTTCTATTTCTAATAGAAATGATGGGATACTCGGATTTCTAAGCAAGAAGTGAAACATAAGCATTTTGAAATTAATTTTTTTCTAATAAAGAGCTCTTAAACAACTTCTCGCTTTGGGGATGTGAATTCATTTATTAAACGGCTCTAAATTTTGCGACTTATCAACATTTTGGCGATTTTAAGATTAGTTTTTATAGAAAATTTTTTAATTCCGAGATCTGAGAATTTTTCGACGATTTTTTTTAAAACATCGTAACATTGATAAATTTCATTAAAATAATGGTAATATATTGAAATTATATTTAAAAATAAGATTAAAATAAAACATTATTATTTTTTGCTGTCATATTATAAAGTTTCATTTTGGCAACTTATTATACAATATTTTTAATCTAAAAAATAAATAAGGTATAATGCTATAAAGCACGATTTACAAAACGGCTCTTAGCAAAAGCAAAATTAGCTATGTAATTAATTAAAAATGTCTTGTTTTTAACTTTTTCATAGTAAGAGTTTTTCCCATGTAATTAATTGTCTCGGGTTATTCAAAATTCTCATAATGGGCATCAGTTTTCTCTATAAAATTAATTTTATACTTTTTCCCTCCCCTTCCCCCCCCCCCCGAAATATTTCTATGTATTTGCTGTTACAGAAATGGTATTGAAAATTTTTCTTTAGGATTTTAGACATTGCAGCTTGGAAAGTTTAGAAGGATTTGAAGGCAAGATTTATAGACCCACGATTCTAGAAGATTCGAGAAATATGTGACAAAATGAAAAATGTCTCCATGGTATCAACACGTAATGGATGTATTTTGCAGAAAGTTTGCAATGAATTTCTTACTTTTTGGAGAATGTCTGGAAGGACAATGAAATCATAATATTTAAATATTTTACTTCTAATACTAGAATCTTAACACGTTTATCTTCCCTTTATTTTCTCTACTTTTCACTAGACACAAGCATGGAAAATATTAAAAACGCTTCTAATCTTATCACATGGGCAGGCATTATAGGGATGTTTTTGTTAATAAATAAATTGCAAACTTACAATTTAAAAGATTAATCTTAATATGTCTTAATGCATCACACACATAAGCTGGTACTAGGCATTTTTCCACTTGATGCCAATCTCTGTGGATCCTAAATTCTGTTGCTTAGTGCCTTTCTAAAGTTCTGCTTCCAATGTCTGCTCTAAATTCTAAAAGTTTTGTCATTTCTAGATTTTACTGTTTGGTGTGTTCATTCAATTTCTAAAAATTCTGGCACATCAGCTCTGTAACTGGCCTTTACCAATATATATTTTATATTGCTTTTGAATGTTCATAAAGAAATAAAATTAGCCATCTTTTGTATAAATTCTAAATGCATTTAGTGTTTTTTAGAGTAAGAGAAATCCTTAATTAAATCCAGAAATTCTAAAATGAAAAGGAAACATGTTTAATCTTTGACCACTAGTCCACATTTTTAGTTTGAATTAGAGTGTTCTTGTTTAATTACGTCACCGTGAACTGTAGATTTTGTTAGCATCAGAAAATGCCTTTATGTTCTAAGTTCTTTATTTTAAACGTTTGTCTGATGTTGTAAATACTTTCAGACATAGCGATAATATGCTTCACAACTGTCGGAGGTTTCGGACTATTTAACTTTTACCAGATCAAGTAAACCCTCATAGGTACATGTGGAGAGGTTGACAAGCACGCAGACACTAGCGAGAGCATTGGTTTTCATAGTGAGACAAATCTTTAATTGTTAGAAAAGATGCTTAAAGAAAAGGAAATCGATATAAAGTAGCCAAAATGTTTGGGATGGCTTCAAATTAAAATTATGGATAAATATTTTTTTAGTGTTGTTGTTAGAAGACATAAATGTTTTGTAGCTTTTACAGTGTAATTATCCTAATGTCATTAATTACATGCAATGTCTTAAACTGTTGAACATGTATTATTAAACCAGATAACAGTTTGTGATTTTTAATTAGTGCTTTTTAACAAAATGTTAAAAAAAAAGAAATATAATAGTGGCCATGTAAATCCATAATGACTAAGGTTATCTAAACTACCTAATTTAATTATTTATAACTAACTGCTTATCCTTAAAATTATCCTTACATATCTTAAAGCAAGTTATTGCCTTTCATATTATACTTTCACTGTGTCACAAGATAAAACACAAAAATGTAAAAATTCAAGTGAAACTTATTCTTTCGCATCTAGTGAGACTTAAAATTAATACAAAACAGTTTATCACCTCTGGTGCTTTCTGGCTTATTGGAACCTTAAAGTATATCAACTGGGTTACAACCTCTGGAACTCTACTGGAAGCTACGACACTAACTGCATCAAACACAGCCTGACTAACTTTCAACACTTGTCAACCGTGCCTACATCAAGCCTTTCAGCTTCGTTCTAATCAGCAGGTCTCTCTCTAGACAAGCAGCAGTGGTGACAACATTCAGTCTTTTGGGTTAAGAATCATGCTGATTATGATCTTACTTCTCATTTTAACCTATGCCATTATACATAAAATCTACCTGCTATTTACTAAACTTCTAGACTGACCAAGTATACGACAAAACGAACGTAAAAAAAAATCAACATAAAGCTAACTGTTTGTAAAACGTAAATGTCACTTATTTCTTTCAAATATGTCCAACTATTATAAGTGTCAAATATTTAATGCTACTTGATAAATTGCATAAAGTTTATTTTATTCTCAAACTTATTAATAATAATGTTAGTTAATTCATGTTTAGTAATACTGCATACAACTTAGGGATCTATTTCATTTTAGGATGGCATTACAAAAGTGAAATTCAGGCATGGATAATATTTTTAATTGAATTTATTCAGTTCCCATTTGCTCAGAGGTCCTTAATTTTTTTCATTAATGGTCCTTAAAAGTCCTTAAAAGTACTTAATTTCTGTGTGCAGAAATGTGTACGAACCCTGAATCATTTCAGCCAGCTGATTTCTATAGAGTTTTTCTTGGTTTAAATCTATATTTGAAGAGAATTCCGAAATTAGCTCTTTGCATTATTTGCTTAAATAAATGTTTAACTATTTACCAATGCTTCTGGTCAGCTTTACTCAAAAATTGTGCAGAGTGATGCAGCAAAATAAATTCTCAGTTTTGCCATATTTGCTGCATTAATTACAAAACTACAAATTTTATATTTAAATTTGTTTTCAACTTTTTTAATGGCATCAGCAGAAAGTATGTATGTAAATTTTCATTTGCATGTGGTGTTAATGATATATCCATAATTTCCACTAAATGTACAGTTTCATCTATAATGCAGTCACATACATTGAGTGTTGGTTGATTGTGAATATTAGACCAATTATCTAGCACAGTGGTTCTCAACCCTGTTTTGTCCCATAGCCCCATTCACCATTGCTAGATGATCATATCCCCTTCTTTTCCAAGCTCGAAAAATTCATACATATTTACTTAAATTTAGATTATTTTTAATGTGTTTTATTAATTAAAAAAGAAAAAAGTATGGAAAATATTAATAAATACCAAAATCTGAATAAAATAGTTTTTTGTATTCATAAATTGAAACTAAATACTTAGCAACTAAATAAAAGGGTGACTGCATCCCCCTCCAAAACTATAAGTATTTTCTGTGTTACAAAATAATGCAAATTTTAGCACAGTAACTTGATGATTTACCTACTTGATGATTTATTTTAGAATTCTGAGATGTTATTTTTACCACATATTTACTAGCTCTTAATTAGTGCAATCATGATTATATTTGCCCTTCAGACTAAGCGGACATGGAAGTGATACACGTTTTTGCCTTGGGCTAACAATGGCTTGTTAGAAAAAAAAATTGGCCATGTTTAAAAGTTTTTACCTTTTGTATTCAGTAAATAAAATCTCAAAAGCATCACAGATTATCTTAAGCTTTGATTTTAACACATTTCCTATTGTTTAAAAAAATGAGGGTACAGTTATTTTAACCAATTTTTTTAAATCTTTTGATTCAAATCATTGATAACCTGGTGCTGTAATTTCATGTGCATAATAATGTGTTCACCATTTAAGAAATCTATCTATATCTGTTGTAACTCTTGGTGTAGAATAAGATACAAGTACTTTTTTTTAAATCCTGTACTGAATTTCTATTCCAACTAATATATATTATGCCATAGAAATTTTTATATTTGAAATATGGTACTATTGGATGATTAAAATAGGTTTATTCTTAAATATTAATATTTCATGCCTAGATTTTAAGTGCATTGGAAGTTCCAGTACCATTAGAGTTGCTTTATGATATGTTCATGAATGGAGTTTCTAATATGGTGTCTCGTGATGAAAAGAAAGAAGGAGAAAAAAGTTGCTTTCTAATTCCACCTCCATCTCATGAACAAAAAGGAAGTAATGCACAATTAAAGTTCCAGCGATCACATCTTATGAATGTTCCAGAAGATGAAAATCCTCTGTTGGATGTGGAATACAAATCAGATGCCGAAATAGATTTGTCATGCTACATCTTAATGCTTGACATATTGATCAAGCAAGTATGTCTTTACATTAATTTTTTTATTTAATTCAAAAGTTTTTCAAAATCCTTTTATAAATTACTTTGTCATTGGTGAATTTAATTTTTTTTAGGGATTCCATATTTATTTTGCATTATTAAAATTTGTTTTTGCAATGATTTTTAATTCAGTTTTTTTGTAGCAAGTTGTGGATTTTTATTTCATTTGTTTTTCATATTCCATGCTTTTATTTACAGTTTACTACTGACTATTTTTATTAACATTCTTATAATAAATGTAAAGGAAACTGAAGTGCCTAAAAATCGTGAATGTTTTGTTGTAGCTAAGACAAACAGGAATTGCTCAGTATTTTTAATTTTCCCAACTATATTTTTCCTCACCATTTCAATTTTTCTTCTTAGTTTATTGTATTTGAAATTATTCAATGAAAATTCAGTTCCATGTAATAAATATTTTATCCAAAAAAGAATAAAATCATAAATGCCTGAAAACTGAATAACACTTGTTAATTATTATTTTGGAACTTGCTAAATTCTTGCTGTTTTACAAAATTTTACTTGTAGAGGAAACTTAATGTTAGTACTTTTTTCTGTCAGCAAAGGAAATATGAAGATAATTTTCTACTTTTACCTAATAATAAAGAAAAGCAGAAATATAGCTCAGCATTTCTTTTATGTAAACAGCGTATAATTAATTATGGTATATTATTTAAGGCAGTTTTTGAAAGATAAAGTGAAATTGTCCAGCCTGAATGCAGCATATGTCAAAATTTTAGATAGTTGGGCTTATAAAAAGTTGAAATTCATGGAAGAAAAGAAATATAAATGAAGAAAGACATATCTTACCTAAAATTATAAAAACAGTCATCTGGTTTGTTATCAATTTGAGTATCTAAAGACTACTTTTAAAATTATGTAAGATTTCGAGAGAAAATGCATTTTAGGCATAAAAACTGCATTTTCATACTCCTTAACCATATGAATGCAAATTATCATATCTGCTGAAGGAAATTTCTTAAATAAATATTAGAAATTTGAGACACCGCAAAAGGTTTTGCAGCTGAAGATGATGGTTCGGTAAAACCATCGAAACTAGTCCTGTGAAAATTTTGTAAATTAACGCTGATTCTTGTTGTTTGACTTCTGAATTAGAAATTTGCTCAAAGGCCTTTACTCAGACATACTTTTATTTGTCTGAGTGAAGACTTTTGGCCTTTACTCAGACTCAGTCTCGAATGAGGTATTAGTCTTGAAACTCTGTTTTGCATTGAATCACAATAAACGGCACATCATTTTTCAAATTGTTGCCACCAAATATTATTGCTCTGCATTATATTTAAAGAAATTAAATAATGAAGAATCTGCATGCATATATGCATGTTTGGCACATTGTGAAAAACCTGGTGCCATCAAATTTTGAATAATGTAGTCCTCCACCTGAACATGGAGATCTGAAAGCCCAAATTTTGAATTTATTTTATTATCTATTGTATATATTAAATTACATTTGAATTTTTGATTAACAAACTCAACAATTCAAAACTCAACAAGCAAGCAATAGCAGCACTCTCACGGTGAAAAAACATTTTTATCTCTAACACACAAGGCTGTCTATCAAAATTTCTAAACATATACTGTTTTTAAATATTTTGTGATTTTTCTGTTGAATTTAATTTTATGTTGTATAAGCCCAAAGAACGTGATATTATAATGTATTTTGCAGCTTTTATTGAAACAACAGATGAGCTTCTTAGTAAAACATAAATGTTATTTTCAATTCACGAAGATAGATAATTTGATTACAGTTCTATCTGTTACGGCTTCCCACTCCAGCTTCCTACTACAGTTTCTTTCTCTATAAATTTTTTATACATCTACTAGTGGTAAAACTTTCAGAATAACATTTGTAAACATTTTCTGATGTTCCTCAGCAACTATTACATAATATGAATATGGCATTGCCACTCCAATGTCAAGGGCAATAAATATAATTATTTGTTAAATAATAAAATATTAAAAATTCTCCCCCCCTCCAGGTAAACTTTAATTGATATTTTTATAAATTACAGTTTACATTTTTTTTCTTTCAAAACAACATAATATCATATACATAATTGAAATAACAAAATAACATACAGTCAGAAAAAGAGGAAAGAACAAATTATTTTTTCATCTATATAGAGAAACAAATTCTTTAAACAGCCCTTTGAGTATGACTTAATGTGTCTGCATTTTTATGGTTTTTACCACTTCGATGAACGACAGTGTAATTGTAGGGTTAACCCTACAATTACACTGTCGTTCAGTGTAATTGTGGTGTGTAATTCAGTGTAATTGTGGTGTGTTCAGTGTCTGACAGTGTAATTGTAGGGTTAACCCTACAATTACACTGTCGTTCATCGAAGTGGATCTTTCACGTTGCGGATATAGACTCGCATTATTTTTTAGCCAAACTAAGGGGTTATGGTTGGTCATGATGAGGAATTTAGTATACCCATCTAAATAACATTGCAATTTTTTTACAGTGAATATTATGGCAGCACATTCCTTTTTTGTAATAGAGTACTTTTTTTCAGTCTCTGTAAACTTCTTACTAAGATATAATACTGGATGTTCAGTGTCTCATTCAGCTTTCTGAGCTAAAATAACACCAGTACCAATGTTTGAAGCATCAGCTTGCAAAATAAACTCCTTATTGAAGTCAGGAGCATGTAACAGAGTGAGTCCTTTCCAGCAGTTTTACTTCCTCTGCAACTTGCCCTTGTCTGTTTAGTTTCTTTAAAAACTTCTTGATTTTCATCTCAACTGCAGAAATTGGCAATTCATCTAGAATTTTTAACAGAGAATCATCTAATTTTGTGAGTTCTTTCTTTTCAGATAGTTTTTGGTCCTTTGAGCTGAATTGTTGTTCTTATCTGTTACTTGCATTCTCACTGAATGTGGCAACTTTGAGTCCCCTTTATCATCTTTATGTCTCTTTGCTAAGTTTTTCAGATATGTGCTTAGATTCTGAACGTATTTTTAATTTTTCAGCTTTAGAAGTGCCTTCATGAGTTCTTTTATCAGAAGTCCTTTGATCTGCTGTTAACAAACTGTCAGACACATCTTTGTGCTTTTTTTTTAGAAGGAACTGGAGAGCTTGTAGGGGAATAATCATGCACACTATCCATAGAAGGTGAATTACCAGGTGAATAAAGTGAGCCAACTTTCGCATCAATAACTTCAATTTTCTCACCAGGAGGTGAACCCTTAGATGTGTGTCAGATTTCTGTGAAGCATTGACAGAAGCTTGACTTTTAGGAGGGTGTGTATTGACCAAATTAGGCCAAGTTTTAGCACTATTATTTGCTTAGTTTTGCCTCAAATATATATAGTTCTGCATTTGATCCCTATATTTTTCAGGAATAATAGTTAATTCCCTCTGATTTCCACTTTTATCTATTTTCGTTTTCACTAATAACCCATTTTCTTTTCCTTTGAAATCATTTGTCTTGCTGGAATTTTCATTTTTAGCTTCGCTAAGCAATGAGGCTAGATATCTGCTTTGATGTTGAGATTCATTTAATTCCTTAGAATTAGCATTAATTACTTAATTTCTTTGTCTTCCTCATCAGCTTGCTGTAAAATATCTCCTTCAGTCTAAATAAATGACAGTTCTTCTAGTTTCTCCATTTCGGGGTCTCTACTTCGATCTCCTTCATGAGATCTTTTTACTTGAGATCATGTCAACTCTGCATTTACCTGTTCCAAATTAAAGAATGGTTTATTTTTGAACAATTGAGCAGTTTGTTACCCAATACATATTTATCAGAATCATTTGCAACAGCAGCTGCCTTTGTCTTTATATGACCAACTTCATAATTAATTTCAACTTCCGCTAACAATAGGCTCACTAAATGGTCATTTAAAAGATACTGTACCCAGACATGTTCTCCAGTCATTTTTTGCATTATCTGTGTATTTTCGAGAAATAATGTCTACTGTGGGTACAGTGTCTTGTAGAATAGACATTTCATACCCATTAACTAAACTGTTAATTGTATGTGTCTCTCTAACAAATCATTATTCAAAGAGACACAATTTATTTCTTTGGTTGATTTTAAGCAGGGACATCGAGGCTTATAATGTTCATATGACCCGCACTCGAAACAATGTGGTTTATATCTTTTGTCATGAATTTTCTTGGTTCTTATTTTAGAACTGATTTCTTTGTTGGACATCTTCTCGTTGTCAATGGTCTTTCTGGTATTATGAATCATCCCATTTATCAGAATGCTTAAAATGTGGCAGATGCTCTCTTTTTTTTCACAAAATTTTCATAATGAGGGTTTTATTAGTTCTCTCAGTGTCATTGGTAGAAAATTTCAGTTTTATTGTTTTTCTCACATCTTCAAAATCTTCAGTTTTTTTAATCATCTCAGTAGGTGAAATGATGGTAGTCCATTCGTCCATAAAATGCTCATTGAAATAAAGAGAAGTACACTTTTTAATTTGATCAACCAACATCAGATCTTTTTGCTGTTCAAAAGTTTTAATGTTTAATCCATTAAGCCATCCTTATAAATAATTTTTTAATTCATAGTAAAAAATCATATGAGGTGCTTTCAAAAGATTTTTGGAGTTTATTAAATAATTGTTGAAATTTTTCCGCACTCAATTTAAATTGTTGTTACAGTAAAGTTTTTTACATATTCATACTTTTTTTGCATCCTCTTCTGTTTCTCTAGCAATAAGCTAAACAGTATCAGGAGGCAGCAATGAAATAAGTTGAGTCACTTGGTTTTCAACAGGTATATTCATAATTTTAGCATGACGCTCAAATAACACCAGAAATAAACTTATTTGATCTTCTTTAGGGTTAAAATGTGGCAGGACATCATGAATTCTGATTTTCAAAAGCTGCTCAGATAACTGCATAGTTTCTACCGACTGTGCTCTTGCAGTCATTGCTTCTAATTCAAGTTTCTGAAACTCAAGGGCTCTATTTCGTTCCCTTCTCTTCTTTCTTGCTCTTCTCTTTCATGTTTTCTTTCTTCTCTCATTTCTCGCTCTTCTCTTTCACGTTTTTTTTTTTTTTTTCCTCTAGTTCTTCTCTTTATTATTCTCTTTCTTCTTTCCCCCCCTCACTCTTTTCTAATTGCAGCCAGTAATTCTCGAGTAAATTCTTTATCATAACCAGGACTTTTAATAATCAATTTGTGCAACTGAGCAATCTTAAATTCAGGTCTTACAGTTAAACCTAACTCTTCTGCCAGTACTCTTAAATCCTGTTTTCTACTGCTAGCTAAGAATGGCATGTTGAACAAATTATCTTTAATAGGCTTTCTTTGAAAAATGAATGTTAAAAATTGTACTTATATTAAAAGATATATAAATTTTGGTGATATGTATTTGTCAATTCTTTTAAATAATAGTTTTACACTTAAATGCTAAATATACTTACTCAGTTTTCTCATATGCATTCATCAATAAATGTTAAACCATGTTGAATTTGGATATACTTTTCATTAGAAAATGCTTTTTTTTTTTTTTTTTTTTTTTTTTTTTTTTTTTTTAAATTCTGTACTGTACATTTGAAGCATATCATTATATTTGAGCAAGAATGAATTTCTTTCTGTATTAGGGCATTATAATTTATATGAATCAGATTTTTGAAGGCTTAATTTTTTTTGCAGTTTTTGTTGACAAAAGATCCCTATATAAAATTTTATCTTAATATTGCTATTTTTTGCTGGTAAAAATGTGCATAGTAAGTTCTTAGTTGAATTAATGGAGTTTAATTATTTTAGATTTCTTGATTATATTAAACATTGGATAAAAATCAAAAGAAAAATGATTTTTGTGAATTGCTTTTTGCTTCTGCAAGAAAATCCCATATAACCTAAATTTTCATTATAAACAAAAACTATATAATAAACTAGATCTAAGCTGGGGGAAAAGAAAAATTTCTTCTCCTGTTTTTTCCTATATTTTTAATAGTTTTTTCTTTCAAACTAATATCTGCTTTTTTTACAGTTAGAACTTCAAGAAGTTCCTTTGCACAAAGGTTTTGAGCAGAAAGATGCACAAAGTATATTACTTTTGATTCGAAATTTTATTGAAGCACCTTGGGAAGGTATTCATACTTGTTCTGAACCTACAGAAGGCAGTCAGTGTATATTCTGTGAAATGTGTGCTATATTTTATCAGCTGAGTCTTATGCTGATTGAATACTTTTCTCCTGTGATGGAAGTTACTATGGCTGATGTGAGAAATTTTCTATCCTACTTAATATTCATTTCTTTATAAATGTACAGTAAGACCCCGCTTAACGCTGTTTCGTTTAGCGCTGTTTCGGTTTAGCGTTCTTTTATTTCAACCTCGGGATTCCCCGAAATTGCTTGCAGCATGAACTACGGGGATTCCTTGAAATTGTGCACAGCGGTAGGTTTCCAAATAACATATCCGAAACTTTGTAGTTATGTTTCTTGTTTGGTGCGGTGAGGGGCAGTACGGAAGCATTTTTATCATTTGAAACATTTGTTGGCATTATTGTAAGTATAAATTTACATAATACTATAACGATTAATACATTGAAAATATTATGATCTTTAGTTTTTATCATGGGTGATAATAAAAAAACAAGAAAAGAAAGCAACCAGAAAAAGCATTTCACTGGAAACTTAAATGCAAGTGATTAGAAGATTAGATTCTGGTGAGAGTCAATCTCAAATTAGTGCTGCATTGAATTTGGCAACTTCAACAATAAGGACAATTCTTAAGAATAAAGACAAAATACTGTCATCGGCAACTGCAACTACGTCAAGTTCTGCAACTAGAATTACCCGTTCTAGAAATAACATTATAGAGGAAGTGGAAAAACGACTGTCTATATGGATTGACGACGAAATTGAACGCAATATGCCATTAAGCCAATCTATCATAATGCCTTCTTGAAAAAAAAGGCAGAAAATTGGAAACACAGAATAGACTGAATGATCTGACTGGCTTAGAATTTTATTTTTTCATAAATATATTCGTTTATATTGTTTTTATTTTTGTAAAAAAATAAATGTTTGGTTTTATTTTTATTAAAAAAACATTATTAAATTTAATACCTAACCAATTTTCTATCCATCTTCCCCTAACTCCATTATTTACATGTTAAGATAGCCTCGTTTAGCGCTGTTTCGCATTACGCTCTAATTTGATGGAACGCATCCCCTGCGTTAAGCAGGGTCTTACTGTATTTATTTTATTAGATTGCCTTTATTGTGAAATATGTTTGGACTACCTGTGAGCATAATTTTATATTTGTTTTATTATAAATTCAGTTATTTTTATATTTATGAATTTGGTTATTTGGTATAGTGAAATTAAAAAATAATGTCTCGAAAGGCAGAAAATTATGATGTGTGCTGTCTCTTATAATTTTTGAAATATAGATAAATTTTGTTTGGAAATTGCTGTGAAATATAAGCTTACTTTAAATAAAAAGTCTATTTTTTAAATTTTACTTAATGCACTGCATGAAATACTGTAACTGAGATGGATTTATTTGGAAACTTGTGCAATTCAAGCTGTGTTGTGGCAGCTTGAGAATGTGCTAAGTTTATTTGAATTACTCGTATAGTTTTCTGAATTGAGCTATTATCCATAGTTGATTTGTTTTCTTAATTCATCTCTCTTGAGGGACAGATTTTTTGAATAATTCAAGTGGTTGGAATCTAGCTCTAATGCACTGTTCTCATTTTGTTCAAAACTATTAATACATCTCATTTCTTGGTTTTTGTAGTTATTTAAATTATGCCGATTTCTCCACTTTGGCTGCAGACCTTTTCCATCTGACAATTCTTTGAAATATGTTCATAAAGACAGCAGCAATCCAGTTCAATTAAATTTACTCTTTAAACTAAAGCGCTCCCAGTTTAAACAAACTTTCTTAATATTACTGAAGCTTTTGAAGGCTTCAGGAGAGGTTTCGATTCCCCAGTGATTTGTTTCCTTTTGCTATTTTGGTAACGTGGTATTGATGGAATTGTCCTGTATGCCATCACTTTGTGCAACCAGAAACTTCTTCAGATCTTCCCTGGTAACATCCTTAGGAATGATATATATTATAATTCTTAGTAGTCGTTTTTGAGGATGTTTAATTTGAATTGCATCCTAATCTTACATCTTGCATCTACAACTTGATTAATCTTGGACTCTAGAACTTCTAAGTCCTTTTCTTTGCTTGCTTTATTTAACAGGCCCCCTTTTGAGACCTGTTTTAAGTACTTAATTATAATCTTTATAGGATCAATGCTTTTCAAAAGTTTCTTTTTAATACTTTCTTGTTTATTCCCCTGTAAGGTATAAAATTGTAATATGTTTTGTTTTATTTTTCCTGGTAAGGGTATGATCCCATACAGAATGTTTAACTTTGTCTTTTTGTTCTGAAACTTGAAATTTACCTTCAAGGCTTGCCATCTTCAGTGCACTGATCTGTTATAAGATTAAACATAAACTAACATTGATGTCAGATACCTGATGCAGTGCCTTTGCTAACATTTTAAGATTTATTAGCAAAAATAGTCTTTAGATTGGTAAGTTAGGCTTGATCCTCCTTTAAATAGTCTTTTGAATCCATGTCAATTGGATATGTATTTAGCCATTTTGACAACAGGCGTTAGCTAACCTGGTACTCTAGGGTTCACAGCAGGTTGGTTGTAGTAGACATTTTTAACTCAGCTGCTGTCCCTCAGGTAAGGGAGCCCCCTAACCACTCCAAGGTGCCCAAGCTTAAGTCGTATGGAAAATGAGTACTAACTTACTAGGTAAAATTCAGGAAAAGTCTCAAACAACCGCTTTATAAGCAAATTGCATTTCGAGTACAATTATATTGCATTCCCCTGGAGGAAGAAAATGCTTGTACAGCAGTTCTTACTTGAATAAAAAATTGTTTACTCAACATCTGTAAGATGATTTACAGATGACTAGTAAGATTATTAGTCATCTGTAATGTAATTTGCATCTTTTTCTGATCAGAAAACTTAAGCTATCCCTTAATGGTAACCTAAGCTATCTTTAACAGGGATCTTTCTCTGATAGAGTAACCTAAGTTTCTTTGCATAAGATGTGCCATCATGTTGAATTGTATCAGGTGCTTCCATTTGCATTGCATTGTGCTGTACATTGTCATTTCATAAAGAGCTCACTAACACCATTTAACAGCCAAATTCAAGTGTTGTAAGTTTTATATTCATTGCATGATTTTCCAATTTTTGAAAAGTGCTGTATTTTAATACGCCCCATCTACACAAAGAAATATGTCTCTGAACTAGTAGCTCTTCAGGTCTACAGTGCCTGCAGCACCTGCACTACAGTCTTGATCATTGTGCATAATAGGATACACTGTCATGTTCAGCAACAGCCAACGAAATTACGTATGGAAATCACATTTGTAAAAACTAATGGCAACTACTCTCAATGTTTAGCTTACTGAAGAACATGGTACAAATTGTTTGGAGTTTTTTTTGGCTAAAGAAATGTGACTGGTGCAGCACTCAACCAATTTATAGCCATAGCTGACTGGCCTTAAAAAAAAGTTTTCATATTAGTATACTTAAGAGGACAACGGGTATGTGCTATCACTGCTTATGTCCTTCCTAAGGAGAGGATGCAAGCAGTCATATACCTAGTATAATATAGTTTCATCTTTTAAGAATCTGGTACTTTGGTCAAATTGTAAACTTTTATATAATGTAATGATTTAGGAGTGCAGGCGAGAGAATACAATTGTAATCATAGCTGATGGTTTTAGATGTGGCTGACATAATTGTGTAATAAAAGAAAATTGCAGATTTGAGTATTAACAAGATGCATGATTTTATTCCTTGATTAATAATTTCTTATGACATTTCTCCTTTTCAAAACACTATGGATGGAACAAATATCCCTTAATTCTAATTAGGCTTATCACATTTTTAAACAGTGGAAGATACAACAAAGTGATGAAACATGAGCTAGCCTGAAAAAAGTGAGTGCACATTTCAGCAGTGCCTTTATATAAGACTGGAGTTCTTTGCTTAACTTTTTAATGATGACTGGCCAAGAGCTCTACATAATGCAAGTTAGTTTTTCAGTGGTGCAATTTAGAAAAAGTTATTACTATTTTTAAAATAGAGGGTGAAAGTATATACAGGGTGATCTTTTTTAAAGTGACAGTGTTTGTAGCGCCTGTAGTGAGGTCTAATAGCCGAAATGGCACCAAACTTAGTATGTAGACTAATCAAGACATGGGAAAAAAGATTCCGTGAAAAAAAATTTTAGTTCCAAAAATCGCTGCTAGGGCATTTTGTGGCGCTGCTGTAACTTACAATAACGAGAATTAGCATAAAACACGGGTATAAAAAAAATGCAAATGTTGTGCGATGACAGTGCCAGTAATAGGGGCTATAAAAGCAAGTAATAGACATCTCTGACAAATAATCTCAGCTAGAGTAAACGAGCTCCAGTGGACATGCCTCTCATGTTACTGAAACGTGTGTTACTGGTGAAGCTGTATTACATGAATCAATGTACTGCATCCGCAGCTCTTCAGGAATTTCGAACCAGAAAAAAATTACGAAAGGGGCCTTTATCGCTGAATGGTCTTAAGAAAATGATTAAGAAGTTCGAGGAAACGGGGATCACTGACCATTCGTGCTGGGAGAGGACATAAACCAGTATCAGAAGATGTAATAGCTGATGTGGCAACTGCAATTGTCGAAGGATCGCAGGGAACCATTGCTGGTACTAGCAGCGCCCGGGGTGTAGCTTGAAAATTGGACATGGATTGTTCCACGATATGGAGAGTTTTGCAGCACGTTATTGGATTTTACCCCTACAAAATCAGCCGCTTGCACGAACTGAAACCAGGTGAATATGATAAGCGAGTGACATTCGTTCTATCATTTCTTGCCAGAGTAGAAATTGATGATGCTTTCCCATGGCACATTCTGTGGGGAGATGAGTGCCATTTTTTTGATGATGCTTTCCCATGGCACATTCTGTGGGGAGATGAGTGCCATTTTTATCTCAGTGGGTCCGTAAACACACAAAATAGCCGAATTGGGCTTCTGAGCAGCCCCACACCATGCATGAAATTCCATTAAATTTCCCAAAAGTCAATGTTTGGTGTGGTTTCACAGCCGAATTTGTAATTGGGCCATTCTCTTTTGAGACCATCACACCGACAGGACTCTGAACGTGCACCATAAGTGCAGAAAGGTACCATGAAAGGCTGCAAACGTTTGTTATTCCACAACTTTAGCAAAAAAACCATCTCCAACAGACAATTTTTACGTAGGATGGTGCTCCGCCACACATTAGTAATAAGGTAAAGCAGCTGTTGCGCCAAAACTTCACTGATGATAGAGTCATAAGTCACAGTTTTCCAGTTGCATGGCTGCATCGTTCCCCTCATGCCATGCAATTTTTGGCTTTGAGGTTATTTGAAATCTCAAGTTCATGTTGGTGGAGTATCAAATTTGTCTATTATAAAGGACAACCTCGTGATACGTTATATACGGCTGTGGAGAACGTTGTGCACAGAATGCACGGTGTTATTTCTGAGAACGGTGCTCACATTGAATGTGGTCTAATTCCTCACCGGGGAAGTTAATGTAGTAAATAAACATTAATAATTTAACTGTACGATTGTATGTCTTGATATCCCATGTCTTGATTAGTCTAAATACCAAGTTTGGTGCTATTTTGGCTATTAGATCATGCTACAGTGCGCTCCAAACACTGTCATTTTAAAAAAGATCACCCTGTAGATTAAATCTGAGTAATTTTAAGTTTTACTTTTTTATCTTATGTATGTACATGCATTTCACAATTAATAAATTAGAAGCTTGCTTTACATATTTTATACCATATATATGCGCTTCATATTTTGCAAGTAATTGTTTTCCTTTTCCACTTTATTATTTTTTTTAAATTACAACTTTATTAATTTTTGTATTTTTCATTTTTTTCATTTTTATCAAAATATTTTCATTTTATCGAAATGTTTAATACTGTTACTTTCTGTCTGCTAGTAACCCTTCTGTTTATTCTCTTACTGTTGTTATTATTACAATTTATTTAAAAAAATAAGCTGTGAAAAATAAAAGCATTGGAAACTTTGAAAAGTATTATGTTTGTTGTGAATTCGATAGAGGTCTCCTATTGGATGTAAGTCATTCACATGCTTTGACTGCTCTCTTGGTAGCTGAGAGAAATTTAGATGCAAAATATTGATGTTAATGCTGTCATGCAACATGTCTGCAAAGAAGTCTTGTTCAGAGATATGTCTTTTTGTGTAGATGGGGCTTTAGATATGATATGATACCAGTAAAATATTGCAGCCAAGTCTTAATTTATTATAATTGAAACCATTTCTTTTGTATTCCTTACCTGCTGCAAAATCTTGTTATGTGTTGCCTTTAACTTGCAGAGAACAAGAAAAATTTGAAGCAGTAATTTAATATTATTTATGACTAGTAATATTTTTGATGAAAACATTATCTTTTTTTAAAATATTGTGGCTAATTTGGGGCATTCTTGAGATCAGATATGCTTAATATTTTTATATAAACAATCCAATTTAAGTTGCATATTGGCTCCACAAGCAACTCTGTTGTTTATAGAGTATTTAAAATTATGTTCTAGAATTCATAGTAGTAGTTACACAGTATCTGTAAATTATTTAGTTTCTTAACATATTTTTTAAAATTTATATTGTTTTATAAGTCAATGAAACATTCATAAAATAAATTTTGTTTATTTATATATTTATTTGAAGTTTATAGCACAATATTCATGCAAATATTTTGCTTTTAATAACTTATATTCTAAGTTCATCATAGTTTTCTTTGATGGCACTGATATTATAAATAAGCTGTAAAGGATCAAAAATATGAAAAAATATGCATATCAGAGAGTAGGCAGTCAATAAAGATGATAATAAATTTCCTTAGCTTGAGGGTCACAAAAAGGGATTTCATAATCACAGTATAGCAGTTAATCAGCTCTGATTTAGTTGATTGAATATCTGTGGAAATTTTATTGAATTTAATAAAGTTTATTTAAATTATTATAAAAATGTAATGCATTCTTTAAGTTTTAAAGGGGGGAAAAAGTGTCTCTCTCTCTCTAGAGAGAGAATAAAATTTAGTAATTTCATTTTTTTTTTTTTTTTTTTTTTTTTTTTTTTTTTGGTACATATATTTAGATTCCTGGAGGTTCTCCTGTTCCTGATCTGAAGTCTGAATTCAGATACCAACATGAAGGTACTCCAGAGAGAAATGAAACTAATATCAAAGCAGAAGGTGAAGGACCAAGTCTTTCTCCTCATAGAGATGATAATGTGTCTCACCATAGTATTGTAAATTTCTTTTCTGAGGATTCAGAAGATAACGTGTTTGTAGGTCACACTTCTCCAATTCAAACTGCTACAGTACAGGAATGCTCAACTGAGCTGGATACTGTCTCAGTTATACCTACTGAAACAGTGGTAACTGCAATTGCTACAGAAGTTACTCTAACTGAGGATGATGTAGGTAAGATACTCAATATATAAATATAGAATTATTATGCTTTTATGAATAAGTCTTGAATAGAAGATTTTGTATTTTTTCTTTAAATGTTACCAGTTTTGATTTCTACAAAGAAGTTTATGGAAACCCTTTTCAGAAACAAGCTAAACAATCAAGCTTAAGTTTTTGACTTATATTGTTTATATTTAAGTTTTTTCATTTGCTGCAAGCCATAATAACCTTGCTGATTGCACATCCAACTCACAGCAATACAGATTTCTATCAGTCTTGATGATTAGTTCTTTCAGTATTATTTTATATTAAAAGAAAATTTAATTGTGAAAAATTTATTTAAAGGAAAAGCATAAAAATGTATATAATAAAAACATTTTATGAAAATAGCAATTTTTATTTATTATTTTCTAATTTATGGTATTCATCCACAAATTGATTTACAATTGATACATTACATTTATCATAAAAATGTTTGAAATCTAAAATACTATTATAATGTATACTGAATAGATTTAGCACATTTAAATTTTTGTTTTTTATGTGTGCTTGTGGATCATAGGAATGCAATGGAGGAAAGTGCAGATCCATCTAGCCCTTCAACAGTATATGAGAGACATTTTCTTTCTGTGTATATTAATGATGTGTGTTTTTTCTTGAAATTAAAACTAAAGTTGTGGGGAAAAAATAAGTTTTGATGAACCCCATTATTTATTCAATTTATACAATATCATGTTTTTATAATAAGTATTATCTATAAATTTGAGAAAAAATACAGCATTTAAAAATAAAAACTTTGAAAAAAAAAAAAAAAAAAAAAAATTAAAAAAAAATTGTTATTTTCTTAAAAAGTATTTTTCATATATATGTAAGTTAAAAAATATGTAAATCAACTGTATAATTTAATTTAGTAATAGCCTTTTCATTCCTCATTTTTAATTTGGGTATTTCCTCTATGTATTCTAAAAATAATAACTTTTCTAGACTGGGCCATTTCTAGAATGAGCTATGTCACATGGCTTGTGTAATGCTGATCATGTGGCTAATTCAAAACTGTACCAGTGGAATTTATTTGAATGTTCTGGAAATTATTTGAATGATACTCATAGGCCATCTCTCATCTCAGCATTTATAGTAAATTGATTATTTTTGTCAACATGATGTGCTTGGATTTGTTTCAGAAAGTGACAGGCAGATATCTTCATCTTGTCAACGAATCTGCAGCTTGAAGTTTTTCAGTAATATAAGGCTTCAATTCCTCATAATTCATGTTAGAGACATTTTTTATTCATCTCTTTTTTTTTTTTTTTTTATTTTTTATTTATTTATTTATTTTATTTTTTTACTTTTCCTTTTATTAAAATGATGATGTGCTTAAAACAGTTCCTTATTATCTTTCTGAGACATGATGCCAAGACCTCATGTTACCTTAAATCAAAATTGAGATGCTTGGTGACTTAATCCCATCTTTGGCAACATAGCTGTGTTATTTGGTGGTCTCTGTTTTATTTCAACCTTGTTTGATTATTTTATCTTTTATTTGGCAACATTACTTCAACTTAAAAAATTAATTTTAGATTATTTTGATGATGTTAACTGATTCTATAATATTTTGCTAACATTAGCTTATTGCTGATCACAATAAGGGATGCATTTTCCATATTTTTGTATACAAATGGGGAATGACTTTGCAATTTGCGAACAATACTATTGTACAATGCAGGATATATGCCATGAGTTAGGAACTGTTGGATAATAGATGTTATGCTGTTGAAGCATCTGTAGACTTACAGTCATGGCAAATTTACTATATATTTAAAATTGAAGTATTCTGTAATTAAATTTATCTCTGATTGAACAAAATCTATATTTTAATCTAAACATAATTTATATCAGCTATCATTATTTTGTATTAACTCATATAAACTGTAAAAGAAACATGCTACTGTAAAATGTTAAATTACAAAAATAGAAGCAACTTTAATTTGGGATAGATTCTGAACAAAATTTATCAATTTTAAGGGTAATCAGACATAGGTTCCTCTTTTTTTTTTTTTTTTTTTTTTTTTTTTAGGAACAAAAAAATTTTGTTGCTGGGGGAAGAAAACTCCTATGTCTGATTACCCTCAAAACTGATAGAGTTTTATTCAAACTTATGCCAAACTAAGTTTGCTTCTTTTGCCTAATTTTAAATCATATATATTTATAGATTTTATTTCTAAACAAATATATCATGCAATTTTGGTTAGTAATATTTTATTTAAATTTCATCACGCTTATTTAACTACCTATTTAGTTATTAAAATTTCTTCAGTATTAGTATTCTTCAGTATATTAAAGAAAAATTTTTACTTCATGAAAAGCTTCTGCCTATAAGTAGTGTAAACATATTTCAAGTTATTAAACTCATGTTTTGAAGACTTAGTTTCTTAACCACTTGCGCTACGACTAAACTTCACGGTTGCGGAGCCGTGCGCTACAATATAACAAGCGGTAAAGTGTCTCATTTACGCCTCTCCACATCTGCGAGTGCAATCCAGAGCTGTAACTCAAGAAATAAACAATCTCATTGTTAGGCAATGTGTACACCATGTTGTTTTCATTTTTGCACACGGTTTGAGACAAAAGCATCTCAATGTGCATGGCACATCTTTTTAGCGCAAATGGTTAAACTGTGAGCCAATTTAATTTGGACTCTTATCTATCTTAATTTTCATGAGCTTTATAAATTTTTTGTAACATTTATTTGTTTATGTCTTAAAAGTACAGTTAAACTAATGTTGATTTTTAGCTGGAGCAAAATGCACAGTTGCTGCTGCATTACTCATTGATGAAAATGAGTCGATAACATCTCAGAGTGTAGATGATGCAACTTTTTGGCATACAAGTGAAGGCAAATTTAAGTTCACTCTTGAGGAGTTACCACCTCAGCTTCAACTTTTCTATGTGTTACTTAAGGTTAGAATTTCCATCACTTCCTGGGATTATAATGCATTAGAAAGTAATAAAAAAATCATCTATTAATATGCAGCAGAGTATACAAATGTTATGCACTAAAACTAGTTTATAAAACTTTAATGTGCAAAATAGTATAGGAAAGTTCATGTTAAAGTATTTACTGGAATATGCTTGACTAGTTTGTGTGTGGGATATATTTAATATGTCCACCTTTTTGGATAGTAACATTTTTGAGGCAGACCTTTAGGTTTGTGTTTGACACTATCCTCAGTGATGAGCCTAAGATAGTAACAATGGCTGTTTGCCATTGTACTGCATTTACTTCATCTGCTTCAGATATCCTTATAAAAAGAAATAACATTTTGTAACGGCTACATTTTATGGTCTTGAAAATATTAAGAATATCTGTGACACCATGCAGAGCTCAAAATTTTCATGCAAGGAAAACAGAATGTTTTCATGACTTCTGAGTTTCTAGCATAATATGAGTTTTTTGTGACATTCTGCTTATATCTTGGTAATTTTCAGAGTGATGCAATGTGGTAGCTATACAGCCTAATCATGTAATTTCGTTTTTGTGGGATCATCTTAAGCTGTCTACTAGTAGATGTAGTGCATTGTGTATGAGTAGATGTAGTACAAATGATCATTATGAGTTTTCTTCAGAGACTGACCAGGGATTAGTGCTATAAAACTTGAGAGTGTCTGCTGAAGATATAATCTTGCTATAAACTAAGAAGTTTAACATACTTAATCTGTTCTATGTACTGGCTGCCATGCATATACCAGTGAGTACTTTAATTTGAGATGTGTATTAAAATTTGACAAGCCATTTGAAGTGTTTGATATTTTGTGTTCCATTCTGTATTTTATTACACTACTGAACTATTAAAAATGCAAGAAAATATCCTATTAGCTGAAATTTCCAGATGTGTAAATGGTGGGGATTAACAACCCAACGTATGTTCAAATCAAGGCTGACAATATTGGCTTCCTGAGGGTAATATAAGAGTAGATAATGCAGATCTGACATAAAACACTTCGATTATATTCACTCATAAGTCTGATTTTGAAATATTCCAGTTTGCCTTATTGAGAAAGAATATGGTAGAAATAGGAGCAATGCAAACATATTATTTTAAGGATTTTTTTAAAGGGGGAGATTTTAAGCTTTAATCAAGGAAGAATTTTGAAATGATGACTGAAAGGATTTTTCTTCAGAGCTCATTTGTACAGATAATAACCAGAACCCATATCTGTAGTCAGGTATTGCCTGCAGTATTAAGGCATCTTTTCAGATGGACATTGCTTTGGTTGCATTCACATTGAATTACTGGTTCCTGTGATTGTAGTGGTGCCATGAACATTGTACATATATTAGTAACTGGCATTGCATTGCCTTTTCAAAACAAACATATGCTTTAAATGCAGCATTACAACAGATGTGTCTGTGTCTCTTGATGCTATGATCAAATTACCAGTATCAAATGCATGATGCAAATTTTGCATCAAGTAGGAAAGAATAACTAGCCAATTAAAACTGAGTGTAAAGAAAACATTGACTGATATAAATTTTATTCAGTAGGAGCTCTTTTAGCGACTCGGTGCTTTTGCCTTCTTCAATTGCATTGAATCACTACTGCAGTTACATTGAAGTGCTTTTGCTAAAATAAAATCTACTTCATTCATTGTTGTTTTTTGTACCAAGTGTTAGGGTGCCAAGTTTGCATGTTTGTACCAAGTGTTACGGTATCGATTAGATTATTGGTATGGGATGCCATTAGATTCCACTAACTCTAACACCTTGATTGCATTATCACAGCAGTAGCCAGTTATATGTTTTTAAGGTGCTGGAGCCTGTGATGTACCTGATCCTGAAGATATCCGTCTAATAATTTACCAACAAAGTAATAAACAACAATGTATGGCTGGTCTCAAAATGTTCTGGTGTGTATTGATAAGAACTGGAATCATTATGTTTATTATGTTTCATAATAATAGAATATGTCTAAAAAAAAAAAACTAAACTCAGTGGTGTAACAGCCCTAATGGGCCAAGGCCTTGCCCGAAATCCGCTTTCTTGACCGCGGGCTCCAGGGTGCATAAGCATATGCCCTGAACAAGTGATCAGCTTGTCGAGGACATCCAGTGTTTAGTCCTCAAGAAAACTTGGTACTCATTTTATGGCAAACTTGGTTGGAATATGTATGAGGAAGTTCAATAAGTTTCAAGTGTGAGGGGTGTGAGATATATGGCATGACAAAATGTCGTGAAATGATTACATCAGCCTTTCAAAGTATGAAAAGGAAAGCATAAGCACCAGATGTTTCGATTTTGAAAAGCTGTTAAATGTTGTTAGTCAGTGATAGCTGTTAGTACTGAAAATATCAAACATCATTTATTTGTTAAGTTCTTATGAATAAAGATCAAATACCAACACATATTCATAATAACATGGTCTCTTATAATTATTATGCCACTACCAAAAGGTAGGCTTTTGCCATGGTATAGTTAAGACAGGAGATCATACTATAACTAAAAAAAAGATCAAGCCAGACCACTGAAGAAATGTGTATTAAGTTAAGGAATATGTAATAGAAAATATATGAGAAACAAATTCTGAGATTGCCATGAAAATGAGCATTATTGTTAGCAAGATATAAATGTAAAATGCCATGACAAACATAGCAAAAAAAATTGTGCTTTCGCATAACAATGTTCCAACATATGAGGCTCAGGTTTCTAATTGCTAGTCTACAAAACATGATTTTCAACATTCTTACTATCCTTTGTCCCAAATGACTTTTGACATTTAAAAAAAATTGAAGCAGCATTTATATGGTGCATGTTATTTCAGTAATAATGATGATTACAAGGATGCCACACGACTTGAAAACTGTGACAAAACATTTTTTGATACTGAAACCCACTACTGAGCAGATCATTGTGTTAAGTTTATTGAAAGCACCGGGAACTATGTAGATAAATGAATAATATTTTTAGACATTTTTTTTATTTTTTTGTACAGGAATATTAGGCTTAAAAGTAATTTTTTAAATAGCTATAAATAATAGTTGAAATACTTCAAATATGCAGTTCTTTTACCTCAGACATTTGCTATTTTTTATTCGTAGTTTTAAATGTGTAGGGAGGTAAATGGCAAGTCAGAACAAAAAGGTGGGTAAATTCTTATTTTCAAAGAAGTCAAAATAAGAAAACATGTATTAATTTTAAATTAAAAAGTGGTAACAAGTTAAATGCTTGTTTTCAAAGCAGATCCAATTTGTTTATTGTTAACAATGTTCTTCAAAGTAATTATAAGTTAACTAAATTATATATGGTTATTTATGCAATTATTATTACAAGATAATCAGAAAAGTTCTTGCCATTTTTGACACTCCAGTTGATGAAACACTCACAGAGAGGAATGAAGTGACTTGTGTACCAATAATTAATGGTGGTTTAGTGTCACCATTGACCTGCACTTATACAGATGCATTGTGCACACACACAGCAATCATAGCTCATCCATGGCTGAAGAGAAATGAAGGTATTGAAGCAGCTTGTTCATAGTTTATTGTTTGACTTTATGTGGCCTTGTCAGCAGCCACATCAAATTGTTGAATATGCAAAGCATTTGGATGGCATAAACAAACACCCCATCAGGCATTGGTTTCAAAAATTCAGGTCAGATGATCTGAGCCTTTGTAATGAATTCTGCAATGGGCAATCACAGGTGTTGCATGATGAGGCCCTGAAAGCAGCCATAGAGGAGGGCAACAGTCAAACATATGATTAAGTTGCCAAATGCTTCAAAGGAAAGTATCAGACTTCACTTGCAGTATACAGGGAAGGTGCACAAGTTGAGCAAGTAGGTATCCCACGCATTGTTGGTAGCCAATGAGAAACAAGTGACAGCCTGTTTGTCACTGCTGTCTCAGCATAGCAACACATTGCTCTTTGGCCGAGTGTTCACCAAGACCTCCAAGTTTTATCTTTACAGATTTGCACAGCTGCAGGAGCACTAGCAAAGGGTATTTGATGATAGAGATTACTTCAAGAAATAAGTTTGATTGTCATATGCTATATGTCTGTTTGTTTCTGATGTTCATGGATGATTTTTTGGTTATTTTATACCTTATATTCAATTACAAGTATAGAATTTTTAAAAATATTATTTATGTACTTTTGAATTCAAAGCTTTTTGAAATTTTCTTTTATTTAAATTTATGAATTTAGAATTATTTCATATTTTGAAATAAAAAATGAATGAATTTTTCATACAGGATCTTGCCGTACTTGAGGATGCTGATGTTTTATATCATATTCTCTCATGTCTGAAAGTAATGTGTCTGCATTCTGAGGTGTTAAATAAAGCAGCTCATAATCATCGTGGTTTTCTTATTTGGTGCCAGGAGAATTCTTTGATAGCAAAGTATGACATATTTCATTATTTACTTCATTAAAAGTCTGTATATCTTAGCAGTTTAAATATATAGGATGTAAGTTTAAATATATTTGACAATATATTAAAATGCCTATATATTTAGTTTAAATGTAAGCTTTTGGTAAAAAAAGCTGTCATTCACATTGTCCATGACACAGTCTTCTTCTTCTTTTTTTAATTTTTTTTTATTATTATAGATATTCTAATAAATCTTTTCCAGTTTGTGGAAACTTCTTCAGATGGAGTTCTCCCATATAGCTCAATTGGCTACTGCCTTGCTTCTCCATTCTATTACTCTTCCATCTGGTTCGGATATATTTTGGAAAATTATAGAGCATGATTTTCACAATAAGGAATGGAGAGCAAGATATGCAGCAGGTAAGGCCATTAATTTTTTTGTGTAGCAAATTTATGGTGCAGAGATTTCATATAGCATGATTTTGTTTATTTTAAAGAACTATAGCATTCTTCATCTTAAGATGACTCTCCAAGATGACTCCTAAGATGACTCTCCAAAGTTTAAAGAGAGAGTAATTTTTTGTGCCTAACTTTTAAAAAAAAGAGCTGTGTCAAATTAATAAAATTAAGATCTGCTGATTTAGTTTGCTAGGCTATTCCTACAATATCTTGATCTCTAATAAGCTGGTTGGATAGAGCTGCTTTTTTTAAAATGAGCATTAATATTCATTAAAACATTGAAAAATATTAAAATTATCCTTAAAATCTCTGTGATCCACCCACATCTGATATACTGTTCAAAGCTGGTCTTGATATAAATTTCCATATATAATCACATTTTGGTGAGTGTAATCACACAAAGAGATTATCCAAAATACTGGCATTTAAATAACTGTTTGTTTTAAGAATGCTGAATTGGCTGTACCAAGCTTCTTGTTCTTTCAAGATTTTGGCAATGTTAAATTATATCATTTAAGAATTAGTCTCATCTATGGGCAGTAATAACCTTTACTTTTGTCATTTTCAGGTGACGTGTTGTCTAACATAAGTTAATTTAATTTTGTGTGATTAAAAATGAATTTTAAGTATGCCATTTTGAAATAAAAAATTTGGGCAAAATTCAGTCTTATATTGCACTTACAGAAAATGTTTGGGAATTTCCTGAGCAACTGACACAGAACCTTCTTCTTCAAAGAGAATAATTTTTCTTCTCAAAACTTAAATGCAAATGGCATAGACCTCTTTTCTTCAAAGAAGCAGAATATAGTTTTGCTTTTTGTGAAGATAAAACCCTGCCAGTTATCCTTAAATTTCGAGGAGATTTTCTAACATGAACCTAATTTGAATTGCTTAAATTTCAGTCTGTTATTGTTTAAGTGTAACAAACACAACAGGTCTTCTGGTATTGAGGTCCTATGTGTAAAATTTTCTTCCCAAAATAGTAGTAACTACAAAGGCTATTCATCAATCAACCTCTGAGAAAACATGAACAGTGCTGTAAATAGAGCTATGCAAAGAATGCAGCCATATCCTTAGAGGCCAAGGCCTTAGAGGGCTTTTAGATCTTCTGATGAATTAGATTTACAATGTTTAAATTTCAAATTTAGATAGAAAATAGAAATAAGCTGGTTGTTTTTGCTGCCAAATTTATATAATATTACAGAAACAAAAGCAGATATTTGTGTAGTTATAGATAGGAAAAATATAAGTCCTTTTAAGCATCTTTTATGTTAGCCCTTTTGTCTTAACCTTTGTTCCAGTTGTGTTTTAGGTGTAGTTCCAGATGGCCACCATAAAGAACTACTGAAAGGAAACTTTTTCTGCAAAATGTACAAGTTTGAAACATATAAAAAAGGATAATACTGGTTCCTTTGATCAGTCATCTGAAAAAGTGCTCAAAGCTTTATGAGTTATCACTGCTCATTACAGAGGCCAAGAAATCTCATATTATCAGAGAAACACTCATCACACTCTGTCTGTTGAAAGCAGCTGATATTGTTCTAGGACTAGAAAATGAACAAAAGCTTTCGAAAATATCACTATCTGACAACACTGTGAAATTATCATATTAATGATATGGCTGACGACAAAAAATTCTCTGTTCGTGTAATTCATGAAAGAATCATATTTTGTCATAATATTGTTGGACAAGAGTTCAGATATTGCAAAATGTTATCAAATGTTAGTTTTCATTCAGTACATACAAAATGAAACAATTAAAGACAGGGTTCTGCTTTCTACAGAGTTAATGATTACTTCCATAGCAATTCATGTAATGACAGAAATCTGTGAATTCTTTTGCAAGTATAAACTACCAGGGCTAAGCTGACAGGCATATGCACAGCTGGTGCTGTGTCAGTGAACACTCAGGATTAATACAGATGGTAAGAGAAAAAAATCCCAACATTGGTGCTGTCTGTGTTACACACCATCAACTAAGAAGTAAGACACTTCTTTATTTGATTTTTTTTTTGGGGGGGGGGGGCTTTGTGAAGATTTGGGAATGGAACATAAAATACTGTTATTTCAAATGGAAATATGCTAGCTGTGAAAAGGAAATATGCTAGCAAGATTTTTTCAACTTTTAAATTAAGTGCTTCCATTTTTTCGAAGTATCAACCATTACTTTTGTCACTTAAACCAAACTGTATGTAGAGTTTCAAAAAGAAAGTTCAAGTTAGTTGTATTGGCCTATCTATTAGACATTTTCAATTCATTGAGCTCAGTGAGCTTAAAACTACAAGGTGGAGGTTCAGACATAGTTTATGATCGAGATGCTATCACATCATATATTAATAGTTGCAACTCTGGGAGTGTAAAATTTTAGCTTGCATTTGTTCCTGCTTTCCCAAATTATTTGGAATCTTGGAAGAAGCATGCTTAGGATGTTTTTTAAGGATATTGATGCTAAGAATAAAATATCACTGGTGAATTTAAAAGTCACTTTCCTAATTTGTGTCATTATAACATTCACATTGGCATAGATGTGCTGCCAGAAACATTATAACAGCAAACTTTGGAAATAAAAAATGATTCTGCAGCCAAACATGACTTTGAGAAGATGGATAAGCCATTATTTTGGGTAATATATTTAAAAGTTTATCCCAGCATATCACAGCAAGTACTATAACTTTGCTTACCATTTTCAAGCACTTATTTGCACAAAAGGATGTTTTCAGCAATTGTAGCAATAAAAGCAAAGTATAAAAGCAAACTTAATATTTCTAGTGATTTACACACTTTCTTCTATTCAGCCAAGAACTGAAATATTGTCAAAAATATTCAAGCTCATCTGATTCATTGATTTATTTGTTATTTTCTTACTTCTTATAATGCTTGTAGGTAGATAATATTTTTATTATTGGGAAATTGGGGGTATAGGAATTTTCATTTTTAACAGTAGGGAGGCATGATAAAATAAACTTTGTGAACTTATGCCGTTGTGCCTAGTCCATTCAATGCATATTGTGATCTTTAATGAGGATTTGGTATGTGCACAGACCCTATGATGATCTAGCTTCAGCATCACAATTCTCATTGAATCTTGTTCTGCCGTTTTCAGGTAATTCATGAGACAGATTCAGCACTATGAAGCAGCAGTGCACTTGAATCACTTTCTGCACTAGTTCAACAAGATCATCTGTCATGACTGATGATAATCATGCATATCATATTATCTGTTTTAAAATTTCTGGCATTCCCTCATGTAACTTTCATTAATCAACTTGTCTCCATTTACTGAACCTATTTTGTGGTGGATTTTGCTAATGCTGTCTGTCATCCTGAAAAGAAAAAATACACATGCAAACCTCGCATTTTTGCAGGAGCATCAGCTGAACTAGCTATCTTTCTTTGCTTAGTACACATTGGACACTGAACACAAGAACAGTTTGTGATGGTATGAGACAACATAGCTATTTCTGTGTAGGTGTTTTAGTGCTGCAGTAAACCACATGCTTATACCAAACAAATGGAGGTTATTTTCCTTATAGCTATATGTATTTCTCCATATTTTTTATATAAAGTAATTGGTTTATGAGCAAAAAATGTATTATATGTATTCTTTTTGAACCTGAAGAGTCAGGGAGTAATCTTCAAAAGGTATTGTAATGTGTAGATGGTCTAGCATTGAATTTCCATGACAGTGAATTTTAATTTTGAAACTGGCTTTACAGAGTGTAAATAACAATAAAACTAATTTTAACCATATTGTAATTCCATTCTATAAAAAAACCATTTCTGTTTGTCTGATAACTTTCTGTCTTAATAAGCACAATAAGGAATTACTCTATGTGTCAAGTCATTTTATAAAGGTTTCACTCTAGATTTAAATATTTAAAGATTAGCAATAGGAATATAGTAGTTTTTTGCATGTAAAATTACAGTATGCATTATCATTTAAAAAATGTATTTTCTTCACTAAATATCCACTACATTTAAATTTTTACAACCAGTAAACAGCATTAATAAATTAAAAACATGGATATTGGAAAAGGATTGAAAATTGAATTTATCTATGTAAAAATTGTATTGAAACTTAAAAAAGATAAGAAGTGTTTTTATATTGTTTTGATTCTTAGTATGATCAATGTTTCATTTTTAAAGATTAAAGATAGCCATAAATGTCCAGATCATTACTTTCAAAAAGTAAAGTGATTGAAAAATTATAATATTTTAAAATTTCATTTTAATGGATTTTTATAATAATTTTTCTTAACATTTTGCGGTTAGAAAGTGCTCTTAATTAGTTTTGCTTAAACTAGAATGCATTTATTTTGGAGAATTTAAAAACTGTATATTTAGTTTATATAACATTTCTTTTTCTTTTATATACCTATACCTGTATAATATATATTTAAGTTATTCTTCTGAAACCTTAAGCTTGGATTTATTTATACATTATTGTAAAATAATTTATACACCACATTCAGAATTAAATCAGATGTGTATGCATGTAATATGTGCTTTTAATATATTTGTTTCTATTTACTGAGCAGTTGAAAAAGTAACGGTGATTGCGCACTTTGTGGATGTATCAACCGTAAAAAACAGTCCTCTACTGCAGTCTGCACTTGCTGGTGCTTTCTCTTATTTAGTTCATAGTTTAGATGATGAGCAACCAACTATTTCTCAAAGGGCTTTACTTAATTTGGAAAGCATAAAAACGCCATCTCTAAAGGTATGTTCATGAAAAGGTTATAATGAATATAATAATATTTTTTCCTTACATGTTGGTAAAAATAAGCATCAGAAATTTTTTAAGGAAATTTTAACTTTTCCCTTGTGTAGTTTTAATGTTTAGCATTAAAAGAAAAGTTTGTTTAAGGGGGTATTGCTTGTAAATGTCTTCTTTGTAACTTGAAATTTCAGGTAATAAAATGTTGCTTACAAAACTTCACTAACATTTTTTGAAATTGTTAACATTCTTATCCAATATTTTCTATAGAAATGATAGCATCAACATATTTTAGAATTGTTTTGTATTTTCTCAAGATAGATTATTAAATTGTTTGAATAATTATTAAAGGAAAATTTGTATTTTGTAATCTACCTTATTACTTAATTTAGGAAATTTATTAAATATTTAAGAATTAAAAATAGTTATTAAATTTATTGGATCTCTATTATAAAACTTCACACACCAAACTGTTTTTCTAGGAAGATATATGAGGAGACATACTTCTAGTGAGGAAATATATTTTCTTACTTCCAGTAAGCAAACACATTTTAACTCAATTTTGTGTGCTAAATTTTTCTAAACATAAGCAATATATTTTTAAGCTTGATATTTAAATAGAAAAAGAATAAAATAGGATGATGTAATTTAGAGCTTTGCAAACAAGAACACTTATAAGCAATAAGACCAATACATATTAATTTTAATGGAATCCAACAGACAACATTGGCAGCTTTATCTATATTCTGAAGATGATTTGGTGCAGATTACCTTAAAACAGGAAAATTACATTCCCTTTTTTTTTTTTTTTTTTTTCCCTATTAGCTATATATAATCAGTTTATTTTTTAAAGAACATTATTTGTGCTTTCATTAACTGAGATTAAATCTCCACTTAAACATATTTCACCTAATGTAAACCATGCTTAACCTAAACAATGTAGAAAAATAATATTAAATCAGTGAATCTGAACTGTGTCACTTCTTTCTTTTTAAATTATTTTTTTCCCTTTATGTCTTAAATTTTCACACGTCTGAAGTAAACATGCATGTTTCTTTTCTTTACTTATATGTTTTATAATATTAAAATAAGTGGGCATAACATATTATAAGCAGAAACAATGAACTGAAAGTTTCTGTTCTAGAAAATGATTTGCTATGTAACTGAACTGTGTCAATTATAATTGCCTTTAAGAGATTCTTAAAATGGAGTTAACAGCGGTATCAGTGGTGCAGTATCAAAAGCGGCAGTGTCAGAGACTTTTTATAAATTATGTAAAAGAATTTTAACAGTAAATGTTCATTAAATAAGTGCTATTCTATGAGGAATAATGCCAATGGATTATCAGTAATATTGAAAATATTTCACATAACGATTTTTAAACTGGAAGTTAAGTTTAAATAATGTTTTTTAATAAATAATCTGTTGTTTTTAATTTCGTGTTTTTTATCGGGTTGTTTGCTAATTTTTCTCATGAATTCTTCCAATTTATGCAGCTTTTAATAAAAGTTACTGTTGTAATAAAAACAATTTTTTGTAATTACAGATGCAAACTAGTTCCTTTACAGGGATTAACCATAAATTTAAAAAAATTAAAAGGCAATATTTCACATCTTTAAAAATAACATTACTAAACAAACAGTATATGCAATGATCCAATTCAGTTTTTTATAAAAAAATTAGCCTGGCACTGCATTGCTTGAAATTTGTGTAATATTTCCAATTAGTTCATAGAATGTGAATCCTTCTGTATGCTAGATTTTAAAATTATACCGCATTTTAGAAAAGAGTGTGCATATATAATGTAGATGCATCTTTGTTTAAGTTTAAAAAGAACTAAATACAGTATGATTTGCTATGTATTTTTAAAAGTTTTTTTTTTTTTTTTTTTTTTTTTTTCCCCAGTTATTTGTCTGGTGCTTAGAAGTGCAGTTTGACTGTAATGTTATGGATCGACCTATGATTCTGCAGACAATATTTCAAATTCATAATCATCTGACAAACAGGCGTTTTCTTACTTGGGATTTCTTCCTGAATCGTTTTGATACATTATTTCTTGAAGATCAGATAATTTTGGAGAGACTTGGTGATATATCATATGTCAGAGGTATATACGGGTGTTATTCCTGTATTAAATTATGATTATTGTGATAATGTAAATAAGAAGAGGCCATTGGCCGTGTTAAGGCATATTACCTAACTTCTGTACTATCTGTATATGTAACCCATGTATTTAATTTCTCTATGCCCCATTATCTTGTTACACCATCCATGTTCCTTTGCTTCTGTGTTTTCTTTTTCTTAACTGCTTTAGTAATTATTCATGTTAATGTTACTGACTAATTGTATATACGAGTTTTGCAATCACTAGCATTTCTTTATAACCTGCTAACACTGTTGATTCGCACATTATCTTTAACGTGCCACCTCATGCTTTTTGCCTGATTTGGACATTCTGCAGCTTGTGTTGTAGTGAAGTTTAGTTTGTGTCCCCTTAGACAGATAACCCTAGTGTGCTTTGCCGTAATCTCAATAAACCAAACCAAACCAAACCTTTTCCCTCCTCCTATTTATATGCTTTTATTTTTTGTACTACATTTTATCAATTAATATGTTGTTTTTCTTCTTTAAGCATTCTTATTCTCATTAGCTTAGGGCATTTTCAAGTATCTCCTGGTACATGAATTGAATTGATCTGTGATTTTTATAAATGCATAAGCTTTTTTTTTTAAAGTTTTCTTAAATAGATGGCTCACACAAAATTTTTTAAAAAATTCAGCTTTATTTATATATATGTACATACAAAATTAAGAGAAAAAACATGTTTTTTTAATAAGATTTGTCATGGATGCAGAGTAATATTAGGCAGCAATTCATACCATACAGAGTGTGATCGTGAATAAGACTAATAAAAGCAGCAATATTCAAATCTAATATTGCAAGATGTCATCCAAAATGAGGCTAATAGAAGGTATGATATCTTTAATAGGTGAATAGATTGCATAGTATGAGTCATCGTGCAATTAGTGAAAGAGATGATGGGACCTGTAGCAGTTGCATTTACTTCTGCACTAAAACTGTTGTTGGCTTCTAGAAAATTGTCAACCACTTCCCAGAATATGATTAACATGCTTTTTTGATATAAATCATGTTCTGGGATATATCAGTTATGTTATAATGTATAAATGATGTTCTGGGATATATCAATTATGTTATAATGTATAAATCATGTTCTGGGATATATCAGTTCTAGACATAATCAGTGTGGTTCAGATGAGAAGATCTGGCTGGCTAATTCATTGACTAAATATCTCACTTAAGTGAATGAATATTCTCATCCATAAAAAAAAGGACTGATATCCAGTTGTATCTCTGAAACATTGTGCACAGAACTCTAATCAGTCAGGGGACTTCTCTCACATGTAGAGTGTTGCATAACTGTCCAATATAATGCTTGCCTGCACCATCACAGTATCACCACAATAGCATCTGTCGCTGCTATTGGAGGAATGGTATCAAGCTTTCTATAGAAGAATGCATGTTGAGAACTAGGCTGAATCGAACTCATCACTAAAGCTTGGACTTACTGAAATTGGATTGATGTTCTCTGGATCAAGCCAGATATGTTTTCTTTTGTGAGGGGGGTGAATGGAACATAAATGTGGATCTTCTTTGGAAAAAGTCTTCTGTAAAAAATCCTTTGGTTTATCTTTGTTTATTTTTATGTATCCTAATAATGAACACAGTTTGGTTATTTTATGTATACATTAATGTGAAAGTTTTGAATTTTTATTTATTAAATGATGGATTGATTAAAAATATATTGATACAATTATTGAAACTAAAAATAAAAGTGAAAAAATGATTCAAATACTTCGAGATTGTTTTTTAGTTATTATGAAATGTAATTTTAATGATTGATTATTTTTATTATGCCTTCAAATTTTTCGAAATGTTTTTTAGGTATTATGAAATAAATTTAAAATAGCAAAATTTATGTTGAAGAATAATGTGTTTATATTAAATAAGGCCAGTTGATCATAGTTATGTTATGTTTAGGAAAATAAAATACCTATCCAGCCAGTTTGTTTTACTAGAGAAATGAACTAGACTTAACAACTACATGTATTCAATGACTTTATCTTCTAATTTCAGTGCTTATATGATTCACTTTTTAGTGCTGATATGACTAATTTTTTAGTGCTTATATAATTCATATTTATGTCTTAATAAAAGTTTTTCTAAAATAACTTCTTTTTTAGTTAATTAAAGTAAAAAGAACAAATGGAAAAAGACCTATCCAAAAACTTGGGGGGGGGGAACCTTTAAAAAAAAAACGAGATTTGAATTAGGCTAATCTACCATTTACTGCTTCTTAGTTTTTATATTTTTGCTTAAATCATTTATTCGTACTTTATTCTAATGTTTTAAATATGCTTTACTTTGATTAGCATATTGCTTACTGTTAGTATTGATTTTTATTTGTAAATATTCAAGGGTTTGTATTGTTTTTTAATCTTTACACATTTCATTGCACCTTATTTTGCTTATGTTAATTTTTTTACAGAACCACAGTATTTAAGAAACTTTTTAGCATACGAACTAGGTATTTTCTTTTAACTTTTTTTTAGTTAATTATATTCCTTATTATTAATCCTTTTCTTTTTACCATATTTATTCCTTTATTATTTCTAATTGGAAATTATTGTTTTGGGGGGAGGGGAGATGAATGGGTTACTGTATAAATTACATTCTAAATCTAATGACTAGAACCAGAGGCAGTAGGTATTTTAATGTAAAAAGAAATATCACATTTCCCCAATCTGTGCTTTTATGGAATAAGTGGTAGATTTTGCAACAAACAGTTGGAAGATGCATGATTTGAATACATGTGTTTACTTTTTCCATTTTCTGCTAGGAGGAAAAAAATAATTAATTTACATAAATTTAAATATTTTAATAATTTTGCTTTTTATTTTATGAAAGACATCTTTCTGTGTATGCTAGATTATTTAATTTATCAATTTTATTCATATCTTATAGATCTGAAAAATACAAATGTAAACAGTGAAATGTTCCAAAAGAAATTAAAAAGAGCACATGAATCATTATCTCATACTAGCAGTACTAGATCTTTAACATCTAGTTTTGGTGAGAAAATGCCATATAAAAGGTCAGCTTCAGCTCCTGGTGCTATGTTACATCGCCAAGATAAAATTGGTAAGTTTTCCTTTTTTAGCTTTTTTTCTATTTACCTTTTTCTTTTTTATCTTTTATTTTTGGGGTGGGCTGGGGGAGAAACTATTCTTCAGAAAGCATTTTAGAATTGAAATTTTTTTGATGATTTCTTGATGGAGCATTATTGAACAATGTTAGAATATGTCCATAACAATCAAAGGTTTAATTTTTTTGCAGTGCTTATTTCATTGATAGAAGTAGTGATATATTTATTTTATACTTTTTAAAATTTCTTATGTATTTTAAATTGTTAAGTCATCTTAATTTATTTTAGTTTTTAATATTAAACGATTGGTTTAAAATTCTACAACTGTATAAAATATCTGTGTTATGCGAGTGATACTGTTTATGTATGACAATAGATTATACAAGCATAACTTTATTATTTTATTTCATGCATATATTTTTTTATAGTCTAATATTTTATTTTAAGCATGTGTTTCTGTTTATAAATGCTGTTGCCGATTATTTTCAATTAATATGAGAACAAATTTATTAAAGATAAAGATAAATCATATGAACGGCAGTCTTCTGCTCCTGTATTAAAGCGTAAAAGCTCTCGTTTGGTAGGAAGTTCAGTTGGAGTACTTGGACCTTTTCAGCATTTTCCAAACAGTTTTTTCACTGGTAAGTGTATTGTAGGTTCTTAGCAGTGTATATGCTTAAATTTGTTACTTTTTATTCCTCTGTGTATTTCTTATATTTAAATATTTTAATATAGTGTTAATCAATTAATTAGAATACTGTGAAATGCTGTAAAAGCAATTATGTAAGTAAATTTATAAGAATTAAAATTTAGTAGAATTCATCCTTAGATTGATTACCGTTTTTTGGAAATGCATTAGTGTTTCCAGAAAAGCTTTTTGCAATTCTTTCTTCTTCAAGAAGGAGAATTTTCTGATTTATTTTAATAAATTTTATCAGATTTTATTGCTTTAAATATATATATTTCATTTGCACCCAAAAATTAGAATTACTCTTATTAAAGAAGTTAACTTTAATAAATTCTCTTAAAACGAGCTTTTATATGGATTTAACTATAACTTAAAACTGAATTTTGTCTATCCTACAGGAGTAGCACTGTCTGTAAAATTTATTTGGCTATATTTTGTTTGAGCTTAGCCTTACTGTGCTTATTTATATAATGTAATCATTGCTAATTTAGATGAATATAATTTGAGCTCACACTTCATGATCAGACATCTTAATCTGGAGTTAAAGATTTTTTGGTACTATTCTGTTTTGAGGACTGTAAAAAAATTGCAGCGAAAATGTATGTGCAAAAGCGCCCATTTAACAGTGCGCCAAATCTAACGTACATGCTGATTTCAGATTGCGTAAGTTTATATAGTTCTATATTTCTTAAGACGCCATTGAAATACTAGTTTAATTTTTAAATCCTTTTTTTGATATCCTATGTATTTCACAATTTGGACTTGTCCATGACGAAAAGTCAGCAATAGAATTTTGGGTAAAGTGCAGAATCACCCACTACTTGATGCGTTTTTAAGAATTGCACATACTCGGTATCCATGTACACATCGATATATTTTCACTTAAAAAAAATCGCCAAATTGCACGAAAATGGCACTGCGCACACCCTTGACTTTATCTATGTACACATCGACCTATTTTCACTTAAAAAGTAAAAGAAAATTGACAAAAATGCAATTGTTTTTACCCTTGTAAAAAGCTGCAAACAAATAAGTGGGCGATTCTGCACTTTACCGAGAATTTTTTTAAAGAAAAGGCATCATTCATTATAGAAAATTATGTTTGAACAACCAACGAGATGAAATTATGCTTTAGCGATAACTTGGTAGCGAAATAGTGATGCAGGCATCCATTCAGTTATTATTAGCAATTTTTATATAAATTATAATAATGATCTGAAATAGTTATTTACTTTTATGCTTCCATTCAGTTATGTTTAGCCTTTTTTATATAAATTATAATAATAAAAAGTATTATATGAAATTAACTTTTCATCTAAATTAAAACATCAATCTTAGATAGCTATTTACTATTATACTTCCTTTCCTGCGTTAGGGTTATCGCAATTAGTTTTGGGCGCACTGGCATCAACAATAGTTTGGCGATTTTTTACGGCCCTCAAAACCGAATAGTACCAATTTTTTATGTACAGAAGGAAGAGTAATTCACTTACTGTCAATATATTATTCAGCAATGCAAATTTTACACTAGTAAACAGACCAGATCAAACTCCACTAAAATATTCATCAAATGTTTAGGAAAAGAAATAATTATTAACTTAAGATACTAAATGTAAACAATGGCCATTTACAACTGAAGTTGACTAAAATTATGACATTCAAGTACTTGACAAATTATATATAGTATGTGTGTATGCTAGAATTAGTTTGAATCATAGTTCTAGCACTTGAAATAAGTAGCCAGTTTTCTTCCAAACTGACTTGACAAGTTCCACCGGAAGTTTTCTCCTGCTAACATTTAATGATGCCTCATGATTGCACTGATGTTTTTCAGCCAAGAGTATGCCAAATACACAACTTTGGAAAAACATCTTCCCCTTTTGTTTCATGTACCCAATACTTGTTTCCACCTTCTCTTTTCAACAATGGAAGATGCTTTTAATTTTTGAAACCCTTGCTCCCATGCATTTAGATTGAAGAATTTTGACAACCTGCCTTTTCACATGCATTTCAAATAAGAAATTAACGTCATTTTGCGAGATATGCCTGGATTGCTATAGCAAGATCTTTTTCAGCAGTTTTTAAAATCTAATATTTTATTCCTTTAAGACTACTTAGTTTAAAATTTAATAGCTCATAAATGATTGGTTCTCATTTTTACTTTTTTTTTTCACAAGTAAACAACATTTAAAAGTTAAAAAAATAATACCTCAAATTAACGAGTCAACTGAATTTTACTTTCTTGTACTTAAAAGGAAGTATTGCAATTGTGAAAAATTTTGGGTATCATATTTCAGTGAGAATATACATTTTGACTGCTCTCGAATCCATTAGAATGATGTTTTTGCATGGCATCTATATGTACAGACAGAATTCTCTTTTTTATAAAATCTGTCTGTCATCGAAAAATCTCTGTTCCTGCCCATTGGGGAAATTGTTTGTGTTTGTGTAGAAATTCTGATTTTAATTGAAAAAATGTTTTTTTTTAACTGTTTTTAAATGTATTTGGTGTTTTATGTTTTTCTGTGTTTTACAAGTTTTAATGAAGATACATTGACTTTTTATGTATTTTTGCCTTGCCTCAAAGTAAGAACTGAATAACTATATCTCTAATTAAAAGGAAATAAGTTTAAATGAAATGCAGCAAAAATAATTGTAAAAAGTGTTTTTTTAAACTGTTTTTAAGTGTATTTGGTGTTTTATGTTTTTCTGTATTTTGCAATTTTTGATGAAGATGCTTTGAATTTTTATGTACTTTTGACTTGCTGCATAGTGAGAACTGAATAAATATATCTCTAGTGAAATTCAAGGAAATAAGTTTAAATGAAATTCAGCAAACAATTGTGCATAATATAATAGGCTGTGTATGAAAGTTATGTGGTGTTCACATCAGATATTTATTTGTAATTGTGACCACTAGGAAGTTTTCATAATTTATATGAATAGCGTTTTTGGAAGTTTTAGTGTACAGTTTAACTAGTTTTTCTTTCAATTTTTTATGATTTTATATTTTGTATGTTTTCAGTTTAATTTGTTTGTTTTTAAATTTATTCAATTTTTTTGGTCATAATTCAGAGAGTAGGGAACAACATGTATGGAGAACTATTCAACAGTGTGAGACTATTTGAGAAATAATTTTTCAAACAGGAAATTACAGCGGTGGATCTTACAGTATTGAGAAGAATGAAACATGTTGTTCGGCACTCATTCATCATTCCGTTTTAATATTTTAAATACCTAACCCTTGGCAAGTTCTGTGTGAAGATTAAGCAAGGGTGTTTCATTTATTTTTCATTCTTTGTTTAATTTAAATATTTATACCACTGTTTAAGCTTTTTAGCTTTCTTACAAAATTTGATTTCCAACTTAGGCTGCAAATATTTTCACATTTAATATAACGCTGCCAATAATAGGCCCTACACCTTTTTCCTCAGATAGGATAATCAAATCAAAAAACTCATTTCTTTTGAACTCAAACTATATACACATAAAGATATATTAAGCACTGAAAAATAGGTAAAATGGCTTAATATTTGATTAAAGAGAAGCTGTGTTTGTAATGAAAAATACACTCAAACCAGAAAACTGAACAAATTTCTGTGAATGCATGAATAATTTAACATTACCTTGTGCTTTTTTGTTAAATTTGTGTATCATATTTTAGGAAAGCTAAAAAAATTCTGAAAATTTTATGTATGGTGACTGTTTTTTTAACATCCAGAAAATGTTATTGTTTCTATTTCATACCCAAGATGGACCTATAAAGTAACTGAGCAAATTGAAAGACCAAATTATGAAATAAAAAAGTGAAAGAATGAATGTATGTTTAGAAATGACATCTCTTGTTATAAAGTCAGCTTAAACTGGTTATTGTGTTATTTGTGTATTAAAATGCATTATAATAACACAAGCATATGAGTGGTAAAATCACATTTAAATTTGAACGTAAAAGCATTGATGATGAACCAAAAAAATGGAGTGTTCTTTAACTTAAGATGAATAAAGAATGAGGAAAATGTAGAGAAAAAACAGTCTTTGGTAAAAGCTGATATCCATGTGAGAACTCAGCAACTTTCAGACATAAGGGATAAGCAAAGAAAGCTATAGATTAATTTTAATTGAAAATCTGAAAATGAGGAAAGATTATGCTCAATTTGACAGAATAAGAAAAGGAAGACAGAATAGCTTGCTGTGAAGATTTGCTGACTACTGTGAGATAGGCCAGCAATTTCTTAAAATGTATGATAGGAAAAGTTGAGACTGTTGTCTAAATATGATCTAGAACTGTTTTCTTCCATACAAAATAAATAAATAAAGCATCATTGTGAAAATAAAAGACTAAGGTGATGCTAATTGCGTTTTCTGATTACAAAGGACTTTCACCATGAACTTGTTCCTAAAACTTAACTAATTAATTAGTATTTTTACAAGAAAGGTGGTTTTTTTTTTATTATTATTATTATTATTATTATTATTATTATATTAAGAAACAGAATAAGGCAAGTTAGGAGGGAACTTTTTGATTCTGGGCATTTGTGTCTTTTATGTGATAATGCTAGGCTCTGTAGAGTATTATTTGCACTACAGTATCTTGCTAAGCATTCAGTTGTAGTGATAAATCACCCATCATATTCTCCCAATTTTTTTTTTCCCCTATTTTTTCCGAAACTTAAGATGACTATGAAAGGACATACATGAAAATGTCTTGGATATTAAATCAAATGTTACTTATATTTTGCAAATAGTTCCAATTGCCTTTAAACAGTGTTTCAATGACCTGAAAAAATGTTAAAAATTTTTATAGAATATGTATGTTTTTATACTGTTGTGTGCATACGGGTTTGTAATAGATTGAATGTGCAGAGAACGAATGATAGCTTATTAATTTATTTTGACTAAAATATAAATATATATATATATATATATATCACCAAATTTCCAATATATATATATATATATTGGAAACTTTCAGAACTTCTTCTCAGTACCACAGAGCACAATTAATAGCTACACTACAAGCTACTAAGAATGTTATACACATTGTAGTGCAATCCGTATCTGTAAGGCGAAGCCCTCATGGATATCTCAATACTCCAAAGTTGCTCTGAACTATGATAAACTAATGCTGTCTTATATCTTATATAGTTTTTCCCCAGCCAATGAGAAAGCTCTAGTACCTTCCTTTTCTAGAAATTACTGAAAGGCATTATGAAGACTGGATACGATTACCATTACAATAGAGATCAGTTACAATCATTCAATTACTGTACCAATTATAGTTATACAGAGACCGGACCAAAATGCCGCCAAATGGTCACCAAGTTTAGCGACTTTTTATACAATCTCTTGCCAAAATCATCGCCAATTTTGTGAGATAGCCATTTACTGAATGTTAAATAGACTTGCCCCTTGTAATCTGATTTTTCTGGCAGAGCATCATTTCTTTCAAGCATTTCATATTACATTATACAAAAAAACAATGCTTCATTCTCAAACATAACCTCACTAAAATTACTTACATATATTCAAAAATCTGTTGCAATATTTTAACTTTTACATATTAAGATTATTTCTTATGTATATCTACACAGAAGCTCATTTTAACCATTAAGTAGGATTACATCATCATTTGCATTTTGCTATTGTGATTTAAAAGTATCAGGAAGGATTCATTTAAAATATGCTCCTGTGAAAAATTAGTGCAAAGTCCCCCCCCCCAGAAGCTGTTATGACTTTCAGCAGCGTTTGCCAAAAACCTTATTTCAGGTTCTTTTACTGTTTCAAAATAAATTTATATTAAATTAATAAAGAAATTTACCTTTGCAAATTCTTAAAATGGTGAAAATGAAGAACATACATTAAATTTTGTTCCAAATGGAATTTCTGTTTATGTTTGAAAAAAGGCTTTGAGAGCAGCAAGAATTGTTTTTGATTTCTTATCAAAAACAAGAATTTTTAAATGAGGTAGGTTAGATTAAACGCGCAAGGGCTTCTGCCCAAGGGAAGGCATACCTTGGTGGAGGACTTTCTGAGAGAAACTGGTTCATATTCATTTCATACATAGCCACAAAAATCAACCATGTAGTCAGCCTATTTGCCCAGGACTAAACCCAGATAGAGTTCCCAGTATTGAGGGGCTTTAATCACTTGACCACTTGTGGGGCTTAAATGAAGCAGATTATGGTTGGTCATTCATTTAATGTGATAAAAGAGGAAATTTGCTGTTTAATGATCATTTAGGGATATTAATGAACAATTTTCCTTTATCATTTGTATTTTGTCGAGCAAGTTTGAAGAATCATTTGTGCCTGAGGTATGATGATTTTCAGGTTGCTCCAAAATGTTGAATTTTGTCATTATTCAAGAGACGCAGGAGATGCTTTCTCATGGTGAATCTTTCTTAACATGCATTAGTACTACTGATGAGACATAGATTTATATTTCATATATAGAAACAGCTTAATCAAATGAATCACACTTGAAAGATGAAGCAATATTGAAAAGATTATGTGAGATTTGTTAAAAAATCGAGGTAATATGGATACTTTTCTTCAAATGCCATTGTGTTTTGCATCATTAATTTCTGTCAATTAATCAAACTAATAATGCTCTGAATGAATTCGTGTGAAGCAATTTATAGAAAACCACCTGAACTGTGATATCATTTTGCATGACAATAATGCCTGTGCTCAAAATGTTCGTATTATATGTAAATTTATGGCCACAGTTTTAACAAATATAGCTTTACAAGCTCTGTATTCTCCTGGATGTTTTCTCATTTCTATGGTTAAAATTGTTATTATCTGGTCACCATTTTGAGTCTAATGACGTAATAAAAAGAAATTTGCTATGAATCCTTATTTAAAAAAAAGGTATAAGTGCATTGCAGTTAAAGGGGATTACTTTTAAGGGAATGTAATAAATATTGAGCAGTAAATTTAAATTTTATATTTTATATATATTGATCAGAATAGTATTACAGTACAAAGTCCGTAATCCGGACTCGTCAGGACTTCAGCGATTCCGAATTAGGGGTTTTTCCGGGTTATAGATCAATAATTTAAATCTTTAAATCTGGTAAGATGGCATGCAGAAATTATACAATTAAAAACATGAAACTGTAATTTATAAAATAAAGAGCAGTTATGATCTAAAGGGTATGAAAATTTACACACACAAAAAAAAAAGCTTAATATTTATTTGTTTACTTTATTACACATTTCTTTCAATGTAAGTTGTTTAAGTTGCTTCGTTTTTTGTCCTAATACTTTCTCTTTAATTCTATAAACAGACATCATTTCTTGTTCAAGTACAAAGTTCCACTGTTCATGTCCTGTAATGTGTCGAGAGTACTGACTAACTTGCCAATCGAAATTTTTTTGTTTTCAATAACCTCTCTGTCTTCTTCACTATCGGAAGCAGTATTTTCTGGGTCTACAGATTTCGCCGTCCGTTAAATGATTGATGATTGGGGCATTGTCGTTGCAATGAAAAACTTCTGTTATATCATCTTCATTTATTACCGCTTCTCCACATTTCTTTACAAAATCCAATAACTGGCGATATACCATGGTGATTTTTTAATTTGGTTAACTAACCTGTTAAATATGTGCACTCAGTGTTTAAGTTAATTTCTTCATGAAATATGTTGGCTTGAGCCATTAGTGTTGGACCCGTCAATGGCACGTCCTCGCTGTGATGCTGTCTGACCCATTCAATCATCACTTTGTCATGATCGTCACTTTTAGCATAACGAACCCTTTTTCTGTTATTCATTGCAAGTGGGGTGTCGGAATCTCCCAAAAATTCAAAAAGTTCCTTTTTCTTTTTGCTTATGTCATATACAGTTGACTTTCCAATGTCATACTCCTCACATAATTTTGAGACAGATATGCCTTTTTCCATTTTTTGCAGCAATTCCACTTTTGTTTGATGGACATTGAAACCTGCTTTCGCTTTGTAGATCCTTTGGCAGCTCCCAAATTGGAAACTCTTTTTGACATATCAAAGTTCAAGCTAATTTTTATAAAATTGCCTAACAGTGTGCAAAAAAAATAAAAATACCGGCTAATTAGCCGGATCCAATTAGAAGATTGAACAGTGCAATCTGCAGCATGCTGCTTAGAATTAAAGATAATTTTAGTCTAGCTTACACCATCCGTTATACATTAAATGCGCATGTGTAAAGCATACCAAAAAAAAAAAAAAAAAAAAAACGTTTGTGGCTTTGAGGTCCAGATTATAGATCATTCCAGATAATGGATGTCCGGATTACGGACTTTGTACTGTATTACTTATTCTTTTCTCTTAAATTCACATATTTGAGCAGAAAAAAAGTATTGTAACTAATCATGATATACAGCAATGCATATTAAATGCGTCTTTTTTAATTTTCTAAAATGGTGGTGCACAGTAAAGTTAACATATCATGTCATAGCAGTTTTTGCAGTCATAAGTAGATTTCCACGTCTGTCAATGGCTCAGTGATCAGCCTAAAAAGCTAATAATAATATTAAAAAAAAACACTGAAAAATATTAAAATTACAATTAATGCAAAAACTGGAAGCATAAATTTTTTTTTTTTTTTCAGGAACAGACCTTCAGTGAAAGCTTTCTGATTTATTTCTGAACAGAAATTTAAAATTTTAAAATTTTCCCACAATCTGCTTAAAATTGTCAGCCCTTTCAAACAAATGAAAACAAGAAGTGGCAAAGAATGAATGATGAATTTTAGAATGAATGTATTCCAGCATAGTATCAGAGTATATTCTATGGTTTTTTTTAAAATGTTTAGCATAATAATTAAATGATATAGGTATATATTCTAAAAAAAAAAGGACTAAAGATGGTTCCAAAAATAAGAAATATACTTCATCATATAACGTATATGATATAGGTATATATTCTAAAAAAATTATTTTCTTTTTTAATGCAGATGGTCATTTAAAAGATACGGTACAAGAAGAAACTCATTTCTTAAATGTGCTTTATCGAGCAATGGACACTGAGGAAAATGATAAAGAAACACTTCATCTTTTAATATTTCTCCTCATGCAGGTACGATTTTCCTCCTTATATCACGGAATATACCAGGATATAAACTTCCTTGGAAGGAAAATATTTTAAATATTAATTTTACTTTTGAAAAGAATTTTAGGAAATCATTTTACTTTATGTTTAATCTTTTCATTTGCAATTTTTAGAGATCTAATCCTTCTTTTAAAATGTTTGTAGAAATTCCTTTGCTTTTTTTTTATAATCTTAGAATTCGAATGCTGACATGTAGTCAGCACAAATCTGATTTAAACTTCTAGGAATGAGTATTAAAAGAAGTTTTAATCATTTTTTATCGTTCTTCTGCTGCATTTCTCAACCAATTTAGTAGGAATTAACAACATAAGTTTGCGTATTTTTTTCCAATCTTATTCAGATAAAGTGTATTTTAATTAGCCATTTATTCTGGCATTTTTGTTCATTCTTCCTCGGTCGAAAGAAGTCCATTATTGTTTGTTTTTAACAAAGATTGAATCTTTAACGACGTAATCAAAGACATAGTTTTGCAATTAAACAATTAACTTTGCTAGCGTGTCATTATGTTTTTATTCCTGCTGTTAAAAAAAAATGATAGTATTAATATTGTTGTATTTTTTGCAAAAGTTTTGAGCTGTAATCTTCGAGTTTTATTGTTTGTTTACACTATTATGTGGCTGCTCTAAGCTGTGTTGTATGTCATGCTTGTTTGGTCATGATTGCTTTATTTATGAAGAAAAATTATTTTTAACTGGATTAATCCAAAATATGTAATGCTTTAAAAAAAGCCAGGACGATGGCGTTTTTTATTGAAAACGGTTTTGTTTAAGTGCAGGCAGACTTTGAATATTTCTGGTTATTTTATACTTTCACTGTCAATTTAGGAAATAATTTGTCAGTAATCTAATAGGAAAACAACAATTAATATGATATTTAGCCTTAAAAAAGGCAGTTTTTAATTCTTGATTGAAATTTTTTAGTTCTTTTAGTATGATGATCATTGAAGGCTGACTACTATACTTATGGGCTTAGATTCAAAGCCTTATTTAGGTGTGAACGTTTGTGACTATAGGTTCCCCTTTAGAATAGAGGAACATAAAATCTATGAATATGAAAATCATTTTCAGAAGTTGGTAGTAGTGAATGAGGGATATAAGACCTAGTCTGTCATTTTGAGCACTTTCAATAAAAACCGACAAAGCAGATAACTGCAGTGTGCTTGGCCGAAATTGGATAATTCAATCTAACAATTAATTTGTTAAGATAATGTTTGTAGTTAATTTTAGAATTTCTGTATTGAAATTTTTTAATTTTTGGCATCAAAAATGGGGAAATTGTAATAATCAAAGCCCATGCAAGAATGGTAAAAGATCAGTTTCTGAAACTGTACTTTTCTCTTCATGTCTGCAATTGGATGGATTTTTTGCTGAAATAAAGCTAGTATCGCTTTGCTGATGGTAATTTGTGTAATAAAAATATAATTTTTCACATATATTATTATACAATGTATAATATTTCTGATTAATTCTATTACTATGATGTTTTAACGTAATAAAAACTTAAATGAATTATGAAAACATCGATTTATTATGTTTTGAAATACTTCTTTATTATATTTGAAAGTGTTAGTGAAAAATATTAATGAATGGCTTCAACATTTGTAAATATATATATATTAATAAAATAAATTAATGTGCTATTCAATTATCAAAAAATTATTTTCATATTTCTTTGCAACATAATTTTCAGCAAAGTAACTATAAATTTCATTTTTTCATTATTTTTTTGTTTGTTAAATCTGTAATGATTTGCAGCTTAATATTGTTCTGTAAATGATTTCCAGGGATTCTTAAATTCTGCTGCATTATCATTTTGGGGTATTTTATTTATATTTTTGTGAATGTTTTTAATATGTAAAGATATGCTGTCATTAATGCTTTGTATGAATAAAATTATTTGAACTGTAAAGCTATTTTCTTCCATAGTTTCTCTCACGACCTGATCCTATACATCGCACTGATGATAAAATTACAAGGAGCCAGGTAAGAGACAAAATTTCTACGCTTTTATATATAAAAATTATCTGTAATACTGAGAGTAATTTGTTGACCTTTTTGGAAGCTAGCTATCTCTTTTTACTTTTCTACTATGTTAAATAAGAAGCATCTTTCTTGAGTTATTGGTAATTTTATTCGTATAACTTGAAGTTAAGTGGCCTTTTTTTATTTCCATTATGTATGTTTGATAGAAGTAACAGTCAAACCTTGTTGTAAGATCATTCCAAAAGATTTTAATCGTGATTATCTAATAGAACAGTATCTTTATAAATTTCTGTAATAATATGATTTTAAAATAAAGGCTGACATATAGTTTATAGTTAGCATGAAATTTAAATAAATAATGTTGATTTTGTGATTGGAACAAAAATTTAAAATAATAAAAACTGTCGGAAGTCATTATTCATTATTTCACTAGCAGGAACATCTACTTGAAAATACTGAAACCCTTGGTAAAGATTTAGACACAATAACATGCCGAACAAATTCTAATTCAGAAGTCAAACAACAAAAGTCAGCGTTATATTTTCAAATTTTCACAGGACTAGTTCCGATGGTTTTACTGAACCACCATCCTCAGCTGAACGAGATAGTCCCATCTTGTTCATTTGCACTTTTGCAGCTGAGGATGGTGGTTTGGTAAAATCATTGAAACTAGTCCTGTGAAAATTTGAAAATATAACACTGATTTTTGTTGTTTGACTTCTGAATTAGCCTTGGTAAAGATGCTTTGAATGTAAAAGGAATGATCCTGTGTGCTATATTAAGTACGATTTCACAAACATGACATTATATGCAGTGAAGTATTAAAATTCTATATATTTCATTGGGTCATCAAAAACGTGACACAATAAGCAGGGTTACATATATCCAGATGCATTTATAACAAGATTTGACTTTGTTAGCAAAAGTTCATTACTCATGATCTTGAAATAAATTAAATATTTTGTACATATGCAAGTAAATGTTTTGCTGTTTTCATAATAATAACCATCTCTTGGGATTTGCTTTCTGTGTACCATGCATAAAATTCATCAAATATAAATAAATAATGCCTTTTATTGTTTATAATTTTGTATGTAGCATCTTCTTTGTACACTGAAAAATTAAAAGTGAATCTTTGATATCATATTTATTTAGAAGTATAAAATGACAAAAAGTTATTATTTGAAACTTTAATTTTTCATAGAAATTATCTTCTTTGAAAAAGGAGTTTGATATTCAAATTTGCTAGTAAATATGCAGATCGGAAATATTAGTTGCTACTGAAACATAAATTAAATTAAAATTAGTTTACTTGTTTTGCCTTAACAAGTCTCCATTTTGTTATTCAAATTTATTTTACACTATAACATATGGCTATATCTTTATTCACAATAGTTTACATCCTTCCTGAGAGAAGGTAAAATTCAATAATTTAATTAAAAATACAGTGTAATTTTTGGTGTAGCATGCCTGAAATTAATTAAATGTGAACTAAGCCTTGTATTTAATTTTTTGTACACTGAGTTACGAAGGTCACTCTCAAATTTCTTAGATACACGTGTAGCTTTTTAAAGTTTTACTTCCGAAATTTTAGGAGTGTTCAAAGTACTGTAATTTCCGGAAGAAAGGCTGCATCAGCGTAAACGCCGCACTTGAGAAAAATGGCAGGAAAAAAATTTAAATTACACAGAAATGCTGCAATAGATTAAATTGCGCGTGACATCGTCGTGGGCCGTATAGATGCAAAATCTCAACTTAAGCCCTGATATATGACATACCAGTTAAGAAAAATACATGAAATGAAACCATAAATCAAACTATACATCATATAAAGCCATCAAAATCTGATTCTTCACTATCTGAAAAAGATTTAGTAAATCCTGATCTATGTCCAGGTCTTCCAGATCGTCACATTCATCCTCTTGGTTTACAGTTTCTTTATCTAAGGATATAATTTCAGCTTCTTTCAACCCTGCTATTATTGACGATGTTTTTACCGATTTCCACGTACTTCCTACCCACTTTGCAACTTCTTCATAAGATGCTTTATGCATTTTACTTCTTTTGGTATACGTATGCAATCCTTCACTCATCCATCACTCCGACCGCTTTCGGACTTCAGCTTTGAAGGATTTATTACCTGACATATCTAACAGTTGTAAGATTTTTGTCAAACCACCAGGAATTATTGCTTCGGTCGTAGACAATTTTTGACATTTGGTTTTCACTGACTCAAGTAAATGAGCATGCATGGAATCCATTATCAAAAACCCTTTAGGTTGGAAAAAAGATCCCATACGACACTGCCAAACTTTTTTTAGCCACTCATGCATGATTGTTTCCCACATCCAGCCGTTCTCGTTTGCACAAATAATTACGTCATTAGGAAAGTCTTCCTTCGGAATAATCTTTCGTTTAAAAATGATCATCGGCTTTAGCTTGTCACCGTTTGCGGCACAAGCTAACACACATGTAAATGACGTTCTTTCATGCTCCGTTGTAAGCACAGATACAGTTTTTGCACCAGTTTCATCAACAGTTCTGTTTGCAGGAGAGTCGAAAGCTGACGGCATTTCATCCATATTTATTATCTCTGACCAAAGATTTTTTTTTTTTTTTTTTGCCAATAATATCTGTCACATATTTTAGAAAAGATGCCTTTCTATCCTGCCAGTCCATTGGTAATTGTTGCCCGACTGTTGTTTTAGTATGCACAGAAATATTTTTTCTTTTCATAAATCTGCTACACCTCCTTTGAAATCATTTATGTTCATTCGTTTTGCTATAAATTTTGCTTGTAAGTGAATTTTTACAGTCGAAATTGCCATTCCCTTTCCTCGTTGCTCCTTTATCCAGTTTGCAAGGTCGTCCTCTAGATTCGGCCACCTTACAGTACCACTTCTTTTGGCTCGTTTCTGTTGTGGCATATTTTTAAGAAGTTCTTTTTCAGTTCTTCAACGTCGAATACATCTCTCGTCCACTTCAAACTCTCGAGCTGCTGCTCGATTTCCAATTTGTTCAGCACGTGAAATTACATTAAGCTTAAAACCAACAGTACAGCTTCTGTGCCGTTTAGGGGACATTTTCAAAAAATTTCTTCTCCCTTCTTACTTAAAAACTATCCAACAAGTACTTGTACCCAAACTGATGGGATCTGTATCTGGCAGAATGCCAAGAAAAATCGATTCATGCTGAAAGGGAAATATGTCAGGAGTAGTGTCCACCTTTGAAAAAAATTGCAATAGATTTACAATGGAAAGGGTGTCGATAGGATGAGGGGTGGGGATAGGATGAGTTCCTGGAAAGATTCAATCGAATGGCAGAGTAGAGAGACTATTCAAACTGATAAGAATGCTAATATGAAAGAGGGAAGAATGTTATTGTTTCTGAGATCCCTTGTTTAGGGTGAATAAGGCACTGTAGGTGTGTTCAAGGGAAAGAATGTAAACAAAATAATGTTCGCAAAAAGCAAATGAGTGGACTTTTGTGTGGGAACAGCACCAGTCTATGCACAATGACAAGGCCATCCAAACTATGTACAATGACCATAATAGTAAATATTTTATTTTTGGTGCACCTAAATGCCGCATGGGTAGAAATGCCGCACCCACTGAAAATTAAGTTTTAAACACGTAAACGCCGCGGCATTTCTTCTGGAAATTACGGTAGTCTCCTCCAGTATCAGGGCACTTATGTAGACAAATTTTCCAAAGACTGAATGCCTCATTTCTTGGAATCATTGAAAAAATAGCGTTTATAGCTTCATCAGTATTCGGAATGAAAATGACATCCATGTAAGTTCTTTTTTAGATTAAAAAATAGTCAAAAGTTTCACATACCTAGATCAGGTGAATAGGGTGGATCTCTCTGGTGTGATTTTGTTCAAGAAACTGAACTGTTAGTCTTGCTGAATGAGAAGATGCATTGTCATGGTGGAGCATAAGTCCTCAACATTTCCTTCTTGAAGAATTTTTGGAAGACAGTTAATGGTGCACCAGTTAGCTGTGACTCTTCTGTTCTTCCAGCCTGATTACTTTGACCAATCCTATACTTCTGAAGGAAACATTGCTTTTTTCATGGTATGTTGTCTTTTCATCATTGTGGGCGTGGGATCATCTTTAAAGACCCATACTTTATTTACTTAATGTATTGGAATGTCAAAAAATGGTATGCACGTTTTGTCACCTGTAAAGATTTTAAAAATAATGCAGTGACCACCATCTTTTTGTAATTTAAGGGGTTTTTTTTAATATTTTCCATATAGAAGACACATTTTCCAGGATTATTGCTGAGAATAGCTTGTGTGTTCTTTATCCTGAATAGAGCTGTGGCCTCTGAAATTCTGTAAACCATCTGAATACAGTAACACAAGATGGACCTTCATTTCCAAATGCTAATTGTAGACATTGAATGTATTCTTCTTGATTTAATCTGATCTTAAAATCATAGTGCAATAATGTTCTTGCATCAACTCCATTTTTCTTTGTGCCTGAAATTTATTCTGCGCTAATCTACTTACAGTTGGCCACTAAAAAATTGTTTTATGGACTAAAATCATTCATATTTTCAAATCTAACCCTTAATTTTTTTCTGTCACTTCTCTTCTGTGTGTATCATAAAAAATTTCAGGGTGACCTTCATATTAATCAAAATTGACTTTATGTTAGAGAGCTAAATTAATATTGTATTACATATATTTTTATCAAAAAATAATTTTTATTAGATACAGCAGTTTAAAATAATCATGATTTTCTTTTATTTGCCTCCCAAAAAGCTGTATTTGAAAGATGTATATGCCTCCTATCTTTAAAAATTTCATTGTTCTAAGCATTAATTGTTTACAATAAATGTGATTTATGCCAAAATAAAAACATCTTGCTTATTCTTAAGAATATGCATGAAGTACACTCCTGGTCATTAAAACTACAGCACCATGAAGGAAAGCAAATACAAAAAAGATATTTATTATACATAAAAACAGTATGGCATGAAGATAAAGTGATTTAATTTGTAAGCAGTTTGGGGGTTTACAGGGGAAAGAAATTAGTAGAAACAGCTGGCAGCCCCCGCACCTAAAACGGCCATTACCTGATTAGACATGGAGTCGAACTGGGCTTGGATGATAAAAACAGGTAATTCATTCATGCTGCTTCAAGTCTATGCCAAACTTCGTCAACTATATTAGCTGGAAAGGGGTGGTGGGCCAATGTGTCAGCAACCCATGACCAGATGTTTTCAATGGGTGACAGATCTGGGGACTGTGCAGGCTAGGGCAGCAATCCAATACCCTGTGTATTGAGGAAGTTCAGAACATGACATGCAACATTCGGTCTTGTATTATCTTGTTGGGAGCTGGCGTTTGGCAGGCCTTGAAGAAAGGACACAAACCACTGGATATAAGATGTCAGAAATGTACCAATCTGCGTTCAAATTACCATAGATCTGAGCTAGAGTGTGCACGTTGTATACCCAATGGCTGCCCAAATCATTACACCAGGTGCATTGTACCTAGTCCAACATCGAATGCAAGGAGGCGACGTGCTGTCTCCTCAGAGCCTCCAGACATGGATACGGCCATCAGAATACTGAACACAGAACTGGGACCCATCTGAAAAGATGACATTGTGCCACTCCTATATCTAGCTTTATTTTTCGGCGCACCAGGTTCACCATCCCTTTCTATGATGCACTGTCAAGGGAAGCCAAAGTAGTAATCCACACTGCTGTAAACGTCAACACACCATACGATCAGATACTGGGGATGCTGCAAACATGTCCATATCTGGACTAATGGTCTGTGATATGGTTGTAAGGTTTTGCAGGGTTGACCTCACAATATGTCTGTCCTGTTGTGTGTTAGTCATGGGGAGGTTGAGATCCTGCATGCCATTCAATATGACCCTCAGCAACCAATTGTTTCCATATCATTGAACAATAATCCACACTCTCTATATGCACCGATCCTGCCCTTATCGAATTCCGACACTTACTGGTAATCACTTCTTATTATTATTCAAGATATAACACAATATTCTGTGTAAACTCTGACCTTATAAAGTGCTTTCCGAATGAGAAATCTATCACAGAACTTTTCTTGTATGTAGTGCTTTAGATGTTGTTTCTCTCTCTTGCTTCTTCTAATTGTGCTGAAATACTAATCATTTTGCGTATCCCAACCTCTTCTTCCTTTCTTGTGATTTTGATGTTCATCAGATCATTCCTTCCTGGTGTTGCAATTTTAATGTCCAGCGGTGTATGTGTAGGATGAAACATTTCAGTTAATAAGAAAAAACTAATGTGCAGCAAAAATATTTTACCTTAAATATTATATAATTATGTCTAGATGTTCAGATTCCTTTTTGTTTGTTTTATTTTTGAAATATTATATTAAGTGTTATGAGAAATACATACAGGTGTATTTGCAAATTTTTGAATCCGTTTGTGTGATACATATAAATTTGTATGTTTTATAGGTAAATAATCATTTTTAATATTTATATTCCTTTCCCTCAATCATTTACTTGCTCTGCATATTTTTGTTCTGCATTAAAACTTGTGTATTCTTTACATTTTCCGTGGATTTTTTGCATATTATGTTAGTTTCTGTGCTTCATTGTTGTAGATTAGAAAATTTCATTTTGTTTATCATCTTAAAACAGTTTTTGGAAGTACTGTTTTTAATTTTGTTACTGAGCTCAATGTGACTTTTACTAAATTTTTACTTTCGGAAAGAATACATTTGGTTTTCAGTGTGCATTCACTTTTAAATAAACATTTACTTTTGTACATTGTAAATACTTTATGTATATTTCAATTCCCCTCAATTCATTTTTTGAATGCATATCATTGTTAATTAAAATATCAGTTTAGAGAGCTGAAAGCATATGAAATTCTGATATTTTCAGAATCATGAATGGATATATGAATGCATCAGCACAGACTAATTTGTCAAATTAACCTTCAGAAGCTTCAAAGAATATTTTGAATGAGCTTGAAGATCTTCTTGATGAGGAAAGTAAGAAAAATAAGTCTACAAAAAGGAAAATTAGAATAATCTGTCAAAAGTTACATAATGTTATTGTAATGCAAAAGACTGTAAGCAATGTACTCAAAACTAGAATGAATGGAAGAGTAAAACTTGAAATGACAATAGATAGTGTAAATACAAGCAAAACAGAAGAACTTTTGCTGAAATTTTCTTAATTTGCGAAAACAACTCCGGACCAAATCTGGAGCTTGCTGTCATCCCCCCCCCCGAAAAAAGAGGATGGATGTGGAAGATACTGTATTAGTATAGTCAAAAAATATAACCAACACATCTTGCAAGGTTAAAAACAAGATTATTAAGAATATCATTTCAACCGGCTGGAAAACTGTTGTGAAAAAAAATAGGAAAAGTGAAGAAAAACTGCTTATTTATTAAAGTAGCCAAACAAGATGATTTAGATGCTCTAATTACAGCTTTTAAAGGGAAAGATAGTTTAAAGAATATGAAGCTAAAACAACTTGTGAAAATTAGTCCTGATGTTATACTGTATAATATAGATCTTGATTTAGTCAAAGATGAAGTTAAAGAAATAGTAAAATCTTGAAATATATTTCTACTGGAGAATGAAATTGGCATTAAATTTGCTATAACAAATAAAATGAGTATTCATCTACTGATCCAGTGTCTGTTAAAGAAGTTATGCAACTTTGTAAAATTAAAATTGTTAATAATGTTTAAGAATCAAAGAAAATCATGAAATGTTACAATTATTTTGGTTTTTGCTATACTAATGATTTCAGATAAGAAAATCAGTACTGCTCCAGGTGTGCTAAAATTGGCTGTTTAACAAATGATTATAAAGGTGAAAAAAATACTTCTGTTAGTTTTAAGAAAGGCAGTTGCAAATTTGGTTTAACTTCCAAATGTTATGGGTATTGTAATGTTATTATTATCTGTATTAAAAATGTCTAATTTAACATCTTGGGAATGTCAAGGCTTTTTTTTTTTCCCTCAATGGGCAATATTTTTCTTACTTTTGGGCCAAATGGCCTTTTATCTTGCTTTGTGCCTTTGGTCCTTTTTTGGAAATATGTCTTCTCGTGTAGACGGGCCTTTACTGAGGTTTTGTGGTTTGTTGTTCTCCCCCTTATCCAGATGATTTTTTTGTACTAACACCATTCACTCAGTAAAGACTTTTTCCATTTGTTCTGTACTGTATACATCCTATTCATTTTTTGGTACTATACTTTCCTCATCCATTAAGTACTACAGTGTGCCTCTGTAGTACAAATTTCATGTTTCCCAGTTGATATTTTGTGAAATTATGACCAAAAACAGAAAAGTTGCTTAACTCTTTCACATTGAGAAAGGACCAAATCTCTTTCACTCAAGCATCAAAAATGCCCATGTATATGAATTTCTGTTGGAATGCTCTTCCTTTCCCCATGACAAATTGAATACTACAGCGCTAACAATAACTTACTTAAGTAAAGCGACAACTTCTTTCTTAGACTCTTTCACCCTGTGTGAACTTCCCCCTTGGGACAGAATTGCAACTTCGGGCATCAATAAGTAAACATTGACAGTAAACAAAGGAAAAAGAAGGTGCATTAAAGTAACAGAACTACTTTTAGTCACCTGAAAAGAATGATTGACATGTCATTTAACAACTCTTGAAAGCAATGAGCAATCCAGTAATGTGATGGGGGAAAGCACTAGATAGGAAATTATTCAGGCAGTCAAGGTGACCTGCCGTAGTCTGAATGCTCGGGCATTTGGGGCGCCTTTGATGTGAAAGAGTTAAGTTTTGTACTCTAATATATTTGTTCACCCTTGAACTTTGTCACCTTAAATCATAATACAAAAAATATTATATAGAAATAATAGCCTTAACTGCACATTTATCTGTATTTGACATTGGCATTAAAATAATTTCACAAAATCTTTCTCTGCATCTCTTTTTTTTAATAATCAACAGTGTGGTAAATAAGAAAAATGTGTCCAATATTAGGAAATTAAAATATCAATGATCATTTTAATTTAAGTGTAAGCAGTATAATTGAGTAAAACTAATTCTAACATCATCGACACAAATTCTATTCTTCTATCTTTGTTTATCAAACCTTAAACTATTGCATTAAAAAAAAAAAAAAAAAAAAAAAAAAAAAAAAAAAAAAAAAAATGAAATGCAGAATATGGTAAAAATTAAATTACTGTAATGTCCTTTTCTTCATTTTACCATATCTAAGAAAATCTGGCCCTTGACTTTTATTAAAATAATTTTGATATAATATGTATAATTAAGTAAAAACTATGTATTTATGTATTCTCTATTGTATTTCAGCACATTGTTTTGCGACATTTGAATATTCTCTTGGGGTACAGTCAAAGTCAGGGTGAAGGAAGATTCTTATTACCTCCTCATAAAATTCGGTATGTGTAAATTTTGGTAAAATTTTCTGTTTGAGTTTATAAGTTTTAGTACATATTGCTATGAAACTTAATAATGAAATTGTACATAAAAAAGGAGAGTTTTTTAGTGAAAAATATTGTTTTTATTGTGATGTACCATTTTGATATTAAGCAGTTTTTTTAAAATTATTCTCTGTTGGTATAACTAAATTTCTATTAAATCGAAGAAGCTAATTATGTTTTGTGTTGTTTAATAAAATATCTTCTTATTTTCAGATAATATCATTCATTACCATGTGGATTTATTATTATTTTAGGGTTGGTACCATGTCTAAATGAAATTTTGTCTTTCTGTATTTCTTACATTACATATAAAAGATTGTAATTATAAAGTCTAGAATGATCCTCTGTTTATGGACTAAAGTCCCACAGCCATGCATTTGCATTGATTTAATTTAATTGATTCCATTACAATTTAATAATTTATTAAAAAGTGAGTTCTAGTACCTGCATATTTAGCAGAACTATTGTATGTTGCTTCCAGTGTATATAAATGATATAGAAATTTGAAAATACTCAGCCATTTTTTCCTTTTTTTTAGGAGTTCTACAGTATTTAGTACTTTTCTCGTGTGTATGCCTAAGGTATTTTTATTAAATTTCTCTTTATCATATTTAGTATTTTCTCATTATCATATTTAAACTTTCTTTAATATTTATAATTTCTGTTCACTTATTTCAGGTATTAGACTACAATTTTAGTGTGGGAAATTTCCTTCTAACCATGTTTTTATCTGTACTGGTATGTTGTCCTTCTCCTCAAAAGTATCCAAGTGAGCCGAACCCTCCTACATATTCTTTGTGGTTGCTGGATTCTTATTGTCGTCATTCATGGCTTCAATCTACTTTGGTTATTATGTACAAGGTATAAAGCCTTTTAATATATGTAGATATGTATCATTCTACAATAAAGATTAATTGCATTCCAGATATATAATAATCTTAAAATGATTTTTGCTTTATATACTCTTTTCACTATTATTCAGAAATTTTTGTTTGCTTGTTTTATTACATAGCAACCAATATCAAAACTGTAATTTCTATTGTGATTTTATAACATTTATTTTTAATTGATCCTGTTCATTACATATTTTTAATGCTAACACAGTTTGTTTTAAAATCCTATTCATTACATATTTTTAATGTCTATTATATGTAATACTAATGTTAAGTTTTAATTTTTTACCCCTCAGTATCATTATGACACTTTTCCCAACAATCGGTATATTCATTGGTTGATTCTCATTATACTGAATACTTTGAAAGCTCAGCGTCATCGATGTAAACTGCTGCATGAACCTTTACTTAGTCCCTTACCATCCAGATCTCGAGGTTTGTTTGTCATGTATCTATAACTAGTACAAAGTGTATATATTTGCTGTCATTTAGAAAACTATTATGCATGAACTTATTGTTTATTCTCAATGAGTTTTCAAGATGTCCATAAAGTAGTATTTGTACCATTTATTGATATTTTAAAATTTGTATACTCCTTTTTTGCATGAAAAGGTTTTAAAATATTATTTAAAATGTTCTTTCTCAGATTTTAATACACCATCAGCTGACCTGGAGCATGCAATTGAGAGAGAAAAAGAGATGTCTTATGATACTTCTTCATTACATGAAGATGGATCTAAGCCGCCACTCAAAGGAAAATCTAAGTTCTCTCCGACTGAAAAGATAGAAGATACTTCAGCAGAACAACAAAACCAAAAGCAGTTAGGCAAGGACAAAAGTCATCAGTGGAAATCTTGGAAACCGAGTGAACGTAGTTGTTCTAGTGAAGGGGAAGATGCAGAACCTGAATTAGAAGCTATACCTGAAAGCCCCAAATCTGAGAGCTCGGAGATGGAGCACTTTGCTTCTGATATTTCGTGCTACCAGCAAGCATGTGTGAAAATGAGTGAGCCATGTACTGTGGGAGAAAGTGTTATTGTTACAACACCTTGGACCAGTGTTGCTGAAGAAGCAGTTGCATTGCCCAACTCTACAAATGTGAGAGTTAATATTTTAGATGATAAATGTCAAAATATATCTGACTTACCTCAAAGTTCAATTTCATCTGAAGGAGAAAATGTTAGCATTATTGAAAAGTCTTCTGTTGAAGTCATGGAAAAGAATATTGAAGTATCTATAGTTTCTGACAATAGTGTAACTTCAGAAATGCAAAATATTTTCCATGATGATATAAATCATCCGTACTCAGCGACAGTCAAAATACCCCTCCAGCGTATAATGCCAGATAAAAATGTTCAAATGATAAGACAAATGAGTAATCAAGCTCAAGATAACCAAGAATCTATAAACGTAAGCTCTGAGCTTCAGGCTGCTCAGGGATTATCTGAAAGCAGACTTTCAACGTATCTTCCAAAAAGTAAATCTGCATCTTCCGATGCTAAGGAAGATTTGTCAAGAATGAAAAGTTTGCCTCATGAAACATACAAGCATCAAAATGTTTGTAGGAGCAAAACAGACAGTAATATCTTAGATTTACCATATAGTGATGATAACAAGGTGTCACATTCCAGGTATCCTCATTCAAAATTAATGCAAAGCAAACGAAATACTCAAACTAAATTATCAAGAAAAGCAGAAATACTGAGTAGTGAAAATTTGACTGTTCCAATTTTTAGACCACCTCTTGAAAGACTATTGCCTATAGGCTTACCAGAAAAAGAAAAACCAAAAAGAAGTGATTCTTTATCAGTTGCTCATCATTATGAGCCTGACCTAGGTCTATTGCAGCCAAGCATGTCATATGATCAAACTCCATTGCGTGACATGTCTGTTACTCGAGATTTTTGTGAAGATAAAGGTGTGCAGACAGGCAATTTAGACCCTGTATTTGACATTCCTGCTCAAGAAAGGCTTCTACCTGTAGGCCCTTTACCATCAAAAAAAGATGCTTTTCCACCTATCTCAAAACCAACTGTAGAATTAATTCCTAAATTGTCATTGAAAAGTATTGCTAATGAAGATGTATCCAGCCTTCAGGGTGCAGCAAAATTAGATCAAGTCGAAAAAGTCAATGATAACATTTTAATTAAATTTGAAGAAGATGGATCTGACACCAAAAAAGGTGCTATTAGTTCTGAATTAAAAATGTTAAATAAAAGTAAAGAAAGTGGCCATTTTGATACTAAATCCAAAGGAGAATCTGATGCTCCAGGGAAAAGAATTTCAGTAGAATCTGAAGGCAGTGCACTTGGTGCTATGGCCAGCGAAAATTTTATGAACAGATTTTTCGATCTTACTCCAGATATATCTCAGCCTACTTCTGCTTTTGGTGTATTTGATGTATGCAAAAGTGCTATGGATATGAACAATGAGGAAAGTACTAGTCAAGAAAAGAAGCAAATAGAAAATGGTGATCATAGGAATAGTAGCAGCAGTATGGATCTCTTATCAAATGAAAAAATTGAACCATCAATTCTATCTCATGAGAATATTATCCAAAAAAGTCTTGAGAAAGGTATTTTACCTTTTCTAATTATAAAATGCATGAAAACGTTATATACAAATTGATATTTTTTTTATATTTTCTAGGAACCAGAAAAATTTCACAAAAAGTGTTGTATCAAAAACTTAATGAAAATTTTAAGGCCTATTATTTTTTTTAATGTCCTTTTCTTTCTTTTTTAAATCAATGTGCCATATTTAGTTTTATGTATTTGGTGAGATTTTTAAAGCCCAAATTTGGATAAACATAATTTCATACCACCTATCTATATATTAATTTGATGTTATCAAGAAATATAAAAACTAATCTGTGAATTTTAGAATGTTATAAAAACGTTTTAAGTGGACCTAATAACTTTCCATGGTTGGCCTCCTAAGTCAGTGGAGCTTACCAATCATTACTTTTTCTTTCAATGGCACACTGTTGTTCATGCCACTTTTGCCTAGAAGAATATGTTATTTCAATTACCACATTATTTCTGTGGAGGCAGAATCTGTATTGTACCAGGTATGAAAGGATTATTCTTTTAATGTTGTTTGTGGAACTGAAGGAAGTTATATGGAATACTTATACAAAAAAACTTTTATGTAGAAAATAATACTTCTAAGTAAATTTTTCTTTTATCTCATAAATTGTTTGTCTGCTAAGGTAATCTGCAATCAGATTAGTCATTTTTCACTGTTTTATAGAAAATATTTTTTTTTTTTTTTTTTTTTTTTGTACAGTTTTACTAGCAAAATATTGGTACAAAAAATTATTGATCAGTAATCAGTTAACTTGATCAATAATTATTATTTGTATTTTGTGTAATTCATCGTTAGAGGTAAATAATATTATGGCACTGCTGTATTATTGTTTACCTTTAATGGTGTGTTAAATCCCTAAAAATGTGGTTGAAGATCCCCCTCCCCCCAAATAAAGGACATAATCATGACAGTTTGTCATATGTATTGGAAAACAGAGGTGAAATATTTTTTTCTGCTGTTGCTACTCCATAAGCCACCTTACAATTAGTCTTTGCAAAATATTCCACTTATTTATAGAATATGTTTGTCCAGAATGTATTAGGTAAAATCTTTTCTTTTATAGCAATGAATGGCTTTTTTTTTTTTTTTTTTTTTTTTTCTTATTTTCAGTTTTTGTCAATTTAATCAACATTTTAAGTTCAATAATTAAAATTCATCTTTTTGTTTGATATATACATGTACAATATTCTATTCAACAAAATCTTTTAATAGTTTTTATTGTGACTAGTTAAGTAATGCACACATAAGTTGAAAAATGATTGAAAAGCTGCTAATTTCTTTTCTCTACAAAAAATTAAAGTTTACATTCCCTCATGAATAAGAAATAAATTTGTCTATCAATAAAATTTTTTAAAAAATTGAGCACTTGTTGAAGTCTGAAATCCATAATAATGAGTATATTTTGTATTAATTGCTGTCAATATTTGTCAATGCTTAAAAAACTCTTCACCAAAAAAATTAAAATTCATGCTGACTGCATTTAAGGATACTTGTAGTGTTTTTATGTTATGAATACCTTTTATCTTATTAACATGTTAAATTTTCTCTTTGAACTAGCCTTTGAAGATGACATCAAATGTAGGCTTCCATATAAGCAACGCAAGCAAAGAAAGTCTGGATTAAGTACCCTTGAAGCTCAGAGAAGTTTTGACTATCAAAATGCAAGTGCCAGGTATGAAAGTATAGTTTTTGTTTAGATTCTTTAAATCTGTTGCTGAAATAATGAATTGAATAATATAGACAAATAATGAAAAATTATAATATTTTATGTGTATGGAAAATATTAAAAGTTGAGAACCACTCATAGTTTATCTCAAATTTGTTTACTAATGGCTAAATACATAGATTAGTTAGATACAATTTCCATGACTTTCTCTGTGTATAATATAAATGGAAGCCAGTATTTATGTAGCTTAATTTTAACTTTATTTTTAAAAAATGCAGGAAATTCAGTGAGATTTCACAGATTGATTTTTTAAAGTATTTTTATATTGTCAGGCGTCTAAGAAAAGTAGAAATGGGAAGCATATCTAGCATTGGTCTAGCATCAAAACGTTCAAGTACAAGCCAATCCTTGTATCCTCGTTGTGGAGATGATATGGTAATTGAACGATGTACTGAATGTGGAGCTGTTCTTGAAGAATACAGTGATGAAGAAATAGGTCTTTGTATTGTAATTCTTTCTACGTTTGTTCACAGAGAAGCAGCAATGGCAGCACCTTTATTACCAAACATGTTGAGAGTTGTTGCTAGGTAATTCATTCCTTTATTTTTTTAATATATGTGCTAATTTTTATAAGATTGTTTAAGATGCTAATTTTAAATCCCAGTCATTTGTATTTTCATTTGAAATTTATTTATGTCTCTACGTATTGAACAATTCTTTTATTTATTGTCTAATCAAAATTTTGCACATTCAGCTTCTTCATATTTTATTTAATTCTGTGTATTTTGATTACCAAATCATGTATCAGTGTTTTGCATTTTCAGAATTGCATCGTCTCCAAGTTATCCATGGCAAACTGAAAGGTAAATAATTTTTGTTGAAGAAGTAGGAAGCTAGCTAAGATATTTAAAATTCCTTTACTGAAATGACATAGAAATTTTATTCAGTTGTTCTATATATTTAAATTCTTGTGTCTTATTCTTTCTCTTTGCATAATTACTTTTATTACTTTTTTATATGCTTTTCATGATTGAATTAAATACTATATTATTAATTTAAGAAATTCCAAAAATAAAAAACATATTTTATGGTTTGTTTAATACCAAAATTAAAAAAAAAAAAAAAAAAAAAAAAAAAAAACCACACTTTTGATCTCACCTTAAATATTTAGCTGATAATGTATACATATTTTAATATAATTGTGTGTATCATCTTTATAGCGCTCTTCCATAGTATATTATCAATAATCCATAGCATAATGATATTTATACTAATTGTTTGTACCAATATTTATGTAATTTAACATTATGTTTCATACAGATTCATTCCATTTATAATTATTTCTTGATACTGTTAGAAATCTCATTTCCAAGCCATTTAATTCATTCAAAAAGCAGGTGGGAGTTTGTCTCAAGTTATTTTTTCATAGGCTAAATAGGCTGACTTATCTCTTTCCCTTTTTATGTGTATTATATATATGAACCAGTTTGCATTAGAAAGTTCTTCAGGTTCCTTTTGCACCACAATTTTAACATTCCTTTGATTTATCTCCCTTGTTTTTTAAGATGTCTTTGGTTTTATACTTATACTTGGGGTCTATTCCTCATATAACTGGCTTTCTGAAGAAAAAGTAGTGGAAGGGCAGTAAAAGCTGAAATATGCATAATCCTAATTGAAACAGGCATATTTTTAAATTTTTAGGTTCACAAAAAGATTGTCTACTAATGAAAGAAAAAAAATTTTCTACACTCAAATAGCTTTTATGAAATTTATTTTGTGTCTATCTGTAATGGAATGCTCTAGATTTCCTTTCTTAATATGTATTTTTTTTTCTTTCATCACTGAAATTAAGTAACTTCCTCCCCCTTATTTCTTGGAATTGTAAAATCTAGGCGTTCAAAAGAAATCTCAGAATTCCTAAACTTATATTGAATGTGGCAGATACTGAAGATTGCCTAGTCTTATTAACAAAGCTGAAAATGGCCATTCAAAGAATGGAAGTATGATCATCAATATATGTTTTCAAGCTTTTTCTTTCTGAAGTATTTGAAATAATTTTTAATTTAAACTTTTAAGAATTATATGACTAGAAATAATACAATTTTGATTAGTTTTGACTGAAATTATTTAAAAAATAGCAACATTGTAGCTATATGTCTGTTTATATGTTCCTCTTGGATATATGTAATTTTTCTAGGTACTGCTTGTGAAAAATAATGCTTGTTCGGTATTTTGTCATATGATGCACTCTTTGTTATGTTCTCCAAAAGTTTTGTCATTGAACATTTCTATACTACATTATTCTCTTCAGTATTAAAGTATATTTGATATTATTATAATCTTCATTATATTGCAGAATGGTGAGAACCTCTTAGTTTTATATGCCTTTTCACCTAGATTTATTCAAAGTCATATACACCATCTGTCCAAAAAGATCCGAGACAGGATTAATGAAAATTAGAAGAATCTTAGAGAAAAAGATTAATGTCGGGCCTATTACATTAATTGCCCCCTTCTACAATGCTCAGAATATTCATATAACCATATGGAAACTGCCAGTAAAGCCCTTGCTTGGGATGTTTTTTAACTTCTGTGGCTTGAATGTTGGTAATATCACTATAGCATTAATACTGTATGTAAAATATGATACTTGGGAATAAGAAAAAAAGTCACTTTGTGCCAAATCAGGTTAATATGGAGAGTGGTTAACAACTCGCATATGTTTTTCACTAGAAACTGCACCACAACTCCAGCCATACGAACAGGCTCATTGTTGTGCAGCAAAAAGAAATCCCTTCTATTGTTCTGTGCAAACATGCTAAACTTTCTTGCATAACTGATCCATGACACCCAGGTATTGTGTTCTCAGTTTTATCCCAGTCATGATTATATGCCAGGAAAAAAATCTGTCTCGAAACTTTTTAACAGATGATATAAGTAAAAGGTGATTGGATTTAGAAATAGCTTGAAAATTTTTTGCTGCTATTTTATTCGTTGTTTTATAATAGCAATTCGTAAATGTGCTGAATTAGAATATGAAAATTACTTATATTTGGTTTCAGCAATATTCATTTACCTGGTGGTTCAGTCAGCATTGCTAGACAATTTCTGCGTTGCACTTTGCATCAGTTAGCACCAAATGGAGTTTTTGTGCAGATATTTCAGTCTCATGTTATAGGTACATTATGCTTTTTCTATTTAATAGTAGCATTAAAAAGTTTTTAACTTTTTTAGAAATTGTGAGAACTGAAAGTTTGATATTTCTTTTCAGAGCCTGAATTTTACAAAACAATGGCATCTGCATTAGCTGATTTTACAGAAGTTAATCAAGTTACTCCTCCACTTCTGTTGTTTGAGGTTCTAAATATTTCATTATAGTCTAAAGATTTTTTTTGAATTTTTCCTTTTTTTAATTTATAAAAGGTTTTTAAATCTTTTTAAATAGTCCTGAAGAATAGCAAAATGCTCCTTGTTTGCATAATTATTGTAATAACTAGTAAAATACTTTTTATATAATTTAAGAATTTTATTGTAATAGAGTAAAATAAAATATTTTGATATTTTACTCTATCACAGTAAAATTTAATAGTAAATATGGTATATTTGGTCAATAATACAAAGTAAAAAACCAGTGTGCTAGTTCTACGTAGTATGCAGATGGCTACAGAACATGATTTTGAATTTGTCATATTATGTATGAATGGCTTTTTTGAAATCGAATTTATATTAAAGAATTACTATGTAATTAAAACATTATTTACTATGTAAAAAATCTAAATTTACTTTGTAATAAAACTTTGCAGACACAACATACATAAACTTAGGACTTATAATAATGTTAAATTAATGTAGTTTGGTTTGTTTATGTATTAAAAATATGGAAAATTGGTCTGGCATAAAAAAAAAAAATTAAGTGTAAAAAGTTTCTCTTGCATACCTAGTTTTTCTGATTTTTCATGCATAATTAAGTAGTATGATGATAATTTAGCTTTAAAACTATATAACAGTCTGCTACAATCTGAGTATAAACTATAAACTGTCCAAGCATACCTGTTTTTTGCTAATCTGGAGTTTATTTAAATATATCTGCTTTCTAGATTTGACATATATTCCCTCTAGCTTCCTTTGCTTAGTTGATATATTTATCTTAGCTACATGAAGTATAATAAGCTTTCATATGCATAAAGATACTTTTGATTTATGTCATTTGGTATTCGTAATCAGAATTGTACAATTGTTAGATTAGGTTGTAAAGAAAGTCTTCCTGTTTCACAGTGCTTATAATCTCAAATTCATTTTATGTTACAGTACACTCCCGATTATCCGCAGAATTGGGTGGCGCGGCCGCCGCGGATATAAAAAAACGCAGATAATCCAAAAAAAGCTAAAAACGGGTATAGAAAATAAGAAAACAGTCATTCAAACTTAGAAAAATCGTTTTATGTACGATAAAACGTAAAATAAATAGCAGGAAATGTTTCACTAATGCTTAATATTTTAGCTTATTACGCTTAATATATTCTCCCCATGAAGTCCAATTTCTCGAATTCCATGTTGCTGCTTAAAACGAGTCAACCAGCCAGAAGACTCAAAGACTCATCAAAATTTCCTTTCAGGCCTAACAACTCAAAAAAGGTTTTTGCCTTCGCTGCAATGATAGGACAATTTACAGGAGAACCCTCTTTTCAAACTTGAGCTAACTACTCTGTCAATGCCATGTCTAGCTCATTAAAGGTAGAAAACCTTCAATTTTTCCGTTTTCATTGCGGAAGCACTGTCCGACATTGATGCAAAGTTCACCAGTTTTGTTTGTTTTTGCTTTAGAATGTCACCATTGTTGTTCCGCAATTCCGTATCAATTCCAGCTGCTGCCTTGTAGCGCCGTTTGCTTTGGAAATTAATTCTATTTTTGTGCCTCGTCAACACAAACTTCTTTCGTTTTCCTGACATTTCGGTAACAAAAAACACAAAACCAAAGCACAAGCACGAAACACAATAAAAAAGAATAAGAAGTTTCCAACTGGTTCGCAAAAATTCTCAAGGCAACAAAAAATGGCAGTGGGGGGAATGCAGTCAGTAAATTAAGACGGCAAGGCGGGATAAGAGAAGAAATCACTTACTCATCAGAGGGAAGTTCCGAGAAGGCCTAGGATATTTTTGCCATAATAGCATGTTACAATTTAACTTTTCTGGTCAGTTTTTGTGAACATTTTTATTTTCTTGCTTTACGCTTGTAAAAAAAAAAAAAAAAAGGCAGGCGCGGATAATCGGGAGTTTGCTGTATATGCTTTCTGAGAAGTGTGCTGCCTATGATGACTTCATTTCAATCTCATTTGAATTAGTTGTGTATTTATCATTAAGTTGTTTTCAAAGCTAGACGGCCTTAATTTTGTTCTGTCTGAGTCAAATGTATGCTTAAGGATATTTTGTTAAATTATTGAGAGTTGGTTAATTTCTTGTAAAATAAATTTGCATAGGTATACTTACATATGATTTAGATGTAGATAAATTTGCTTAGGTATTATTATTTTTTAGATATCTACAGTTTTTGGTGTTCGATAGATAATGAATGGATTAGGTTTTAATAAATTTGCTTTACATCAGCTATATAAGAAATTATACGAATATTTTTGTTACCCTATTTCTAAACCAATACTTGGATATTTTAACTTATGTTTATATCAAGTTCTCAAAAGATATCATTGTTGCAGATTACATTCTTAAAGATGATCTTTGCTACAACAGAGATATAGATATTTGTCATTTTTGTATAAATGGTGCATAGTTCCTTTCAGATAACAGTTTGTTATAAGGATTGAATTCTTTATATCTGAATTTTATATGAAGATTCTTTTAAATATTCTGAATTGAAATTATGTCATGTACATGTTCTTTATTTAAAATTTCATTTGAAGCCAGTTAGCGGAATGTATGTATTTATATAATTTATATAAATTTATGTTTCTACCAAATTCTCTTTGTTTTTGTTTATATTATTAATTATTTCTTAAATTGTATTAAAAAAGATTTTTAACTATGTTTTGATAATTTAGAGCTCTTTTAAAACATATGGAGTACTTGAAGCAGTTTTCAATTTCAAAAGCAAAGAAATTTTTTTTTAATTAATTTCGTATTACAGCTTTATTTTATTAAAAAGTAATGCAGTATTTTATTAAAAAGTTACTATGTGAAAAACTAATGCAGATTCTCTATTTTTAGAATCTAAATGATAGAAAACATCTTCATCATGATGTAGTATTTCACATTCTGGATAATGTTGCAATTTACCTAGACAGTTTGCCTTTGGAAAGTAATATTCCACCTTGGGCAGGTTTTCTCCAACAACTTGATCTTTTTCTCAGGAAATTTCTTCTTACATTGTCACCTGGTCCTATTCAGCTGGATAGCATCTTACAAATTATTTTGTGTGTCATGAAACTACCAGTTATAAAAGAAGCTAAGGTTAGTATTTAATTCCATTTAAATTTTATTAATACATTGACAAATGACACAGAATTTCATGGTTCATGCTTGCCAATGTATTTACATGTTTAAATTCTTCTATTTTTACATTCTATTATACATTTTTTTTTATATATATGGCTTCAGTCATTTGTAGACAAAAAGTTAAGTATCACAATTTTAAGCAATTGCTCTAAAAACTGTATAAAACATTGCTGAATGCTAATTTCAGATTAAATCACATTTTATTTTAACATTTCTATACTAAGTAGTGTTTAATTAAGCACTAGTTAAATATATTTTGGTGTGCATATTCTATTGGTAAATGCGAAACATAAGGTAGTTAATTTTAATTAGGGTGAAATAACTCTTTGTAAGAAGGAAAAATGTCTTGATTTTATAAAATGAAGCATTAAGAAGTCATTAATAGTATACTGGTATCAATTCCATAGATAATTTATCTCATTAATAAATAAAGCTATGAAATTTACGTAATGCTGTGTATTTTTTTAAAAAAAATACTACCATGAATTCTTATATTCCCCCCTGCCCATTTCCATATAAAGTTGAAAAAAATTGAAATGGTGACTGAATGGCTTTATATCATAACAAGCAGTGCTTTATACTCATTATTTTTATTATTTAAAGTGACCAGTTATATTGATTAAATTAGTACAGTAACAGCTTTAGAGACTGGGCTTCAGTTTCAGATGTGTCCTGCATTTGATATTGAATTTGAAAGTAAACTAATTTTTAAAAAAAGGAAGGCAAAAGCTATCACATATTTAATTTATTTTTTATAACCTTCAATGTTATACAGTACAAAGTCCGTAATCCAGGCGTCCATTATCCGGAATGATCTATAATCCGGACCTCAAAGACCAAACTTATGCATGCGCGTAAAGCATTTATGCATGCACGTTTAATGCACGCATCCGCTAACATGTTATGTAAGGCCTTTATGCATGCAATTAATGCACCTCATCAGTAAAGCGTTACCCATAGCGCTTCTATAGAAAGTGACCGTGAGGTTTACCCAACGAAAAAGTTTCAATTGACAAGTTAGTCGGTATTTCCGACACAACCTTTAAGTAAATGAACTTTGAATTTGTAACTGAACAGAAATTTATTCTGTTTTATAGAATTAAGTGAAAGTATTAGCACAAAAACCGGAAAAAAAACACAGGAAGGAGAACTTAAAAGGTAAACAAAAATAAAAGGAGCTTTTTTTATTAAGTGATACTCTTTAGATATAAGGCTCTTATTTCATAAATTACGTTCATATTTTTATTTATAATATAATTTTGCCCCTTAAATTTAAATTGATGATCTATAATCCGGAAAAACCCCTAATCCGGAATCGCTGAAGTCCCGACGATTATGGATTTGGTACTGTATGTGGTATAAAATCATACATTTTTCTATGTAAGTTGAATTTCAGAATGCCAATTATTCTTTTTCTTTCAATCAAACATAGAGACAATTTTAATTGATAAATTGGTGTCTCAGCTTGTTCAGTCATTTACACATTTTACATTTTTAAATAGTGTCCAAAAATAGAAAATTCTACAGTTGCCTCTTGCAGTAATATCCAAGTAATTGAACAGTAACAAAGATACTCCTCTGATAGGCACTACTTACTTTAATAGTAGTTGCAACTTTTCCAAGCAATTCAGCTAAGGTACCAGAAAACTGAGTGACGTAACTCCCTACCCAGATAGTACTACAACAACTGAAAATCAACATTAGAAAAATAGCTCATGCCGTATAATAGTAGAAGAACTGTAATTATTGTAATGTAAGCTTATTACTATCCATTTTTTATGTACTTGTTAAAAATAATGTTGTAAAGCATTTAAAAATGACATGGAATCCAGTCAACGTGTACTGAAGTACAAATTTCTTCATTTTCGTTAAAGTATTAATATGATAGCAGATATGTTTTAAATGTGCACTTAACTGTTATGATTATATCTAACTATCACATGTAACTTACACAAAACAATGTCTGTAATTAACATATCTATGCTTATACACAGTTTTTATATGCCCATGTAATATTTATATTTTTATACGGAAGAAATAATCTTTTCTTCCGTATACAACTATAAATATTACACTGACTCCGTCGATTAGCTGGCCGACAATATCTGAGATAGCTCGCCTGTGGACTTGGAACGATTTTCTCATTAGTACAGGAATTCACTCGCCATCACGTTAAAGAAATGTTCCGCCCTCTACAGCGTACCACTGTCACGTTGTACAAAGCTTACGATGTTTGTCAAATATCAAATATGCTGAACTATTTAAATGCTACATCAGATCAGCTACCATTTTAACTTAGCTACCCTACAGAGGGGAAAGGAAAATGCGTTTGGGGACAGTGGAAATTGGGCAAACCATGAGATTGTTCATGGCACTTCGTAAAACCCTTCTCCAGGAGTTGTGGTATTGAAGACACTCTGTCTCAAACGGAAAGTATTTACGGATGATGCCATGTGATTTTGATTTTTTTGCTAAATTTAGTTTGCAGCAAAATTAAAAAAAAAAAAAAAAAAAAAAAAATATGATTTCCTTTGTGACTGAGTACCCAACAGATTACTCTTTTTTATTTTTTTTATTTATCTATTATTTTTTAAATTTCATTTTCTGGCACTTCTGTTTGTGCACTTAAATCTTGAAAAATAAATACCATGTTCAGAAAAAATAAGTAACTCTGTGGCTTTAAATCAAAACCTTTATCATGATAAATAGACAACAATGTCATGAATATAAACCAGTATAGTAATAAAGTATACATAAAGAATAAAAATACTACATTACAAAGCAACAGTGTAATTTCAGTGCAAAATTTCAAATAAAAATCTCAAAACGGTGTGCAAGTCTTAATAGTATATTATGTAACATTAGAAAATTAATATCAGCTAATTAAATCACTAACACAGTCCAAAACTATGATATATGGCCTCTATCTTTATCAGCTAATCAATTTAGGCAGGATTTTATTAAATTAGGCTGTAATTGTTTCGCAAAACTAAATTAACACAAAACTGAGTTTGTGACTTGTGACTTTCTTTTGACCAGTAGATCTAAAACACATGCCAACGGCCATTTGAAAAATAAAAAGAAAGGCATTAAAATTCTATAAACACCACACCCGTAGGCGAAAAAATAAAAAGAGACTTTTAAGTCATGCAGTTCGAATTTAGTGATGGAAAAACGAAATTAAAAAAGTTCTTGCGGGCACGGAAAGTCCAAAATTAAAGCGAGAGATCGAACCCACGATCTCGATGTGTGGAGGAAAACTAGCTCTGCTCTTTACCACTGGTCTATGATCGCTCGCGTAGGAGTTGTCGGAAAAGCTGTGTACTTCGTCACCTGATTAACTCCCATTTTCGGTGAAGTCAATGAGTCTCTGCGCTGCTTTAAATCGGCTCCTAATTTTTCTCGACTGGAGATTTTCCTTTTCCAATTTTTTCTCAATAAGTGCGGCCACAGTTTTCACCAGGTTTCTGAATATTTTCGTCATTAACATTTTTGGACTTTTCTCTGGGGGAGTTAAAAATTTCTTTCGCCCCGAAAGAAATATTTGATATATAGTGTCGTGGGGGAAGACAAAGCTACCAAATAAGAGAATCTCTTAATTTTAAGTTTTAAAATACACATTACTCGGGTCCCACAACACCACAGCTCTTCTCTTTGAACTCTTTAGTTGAAAAATGTGATTTCGCTTCCAACAACGCAATGCTAGCCATGTTTATCAGTCCAAATGAGGAAAAAGACGTGATCACTCAAACAAGTCTTATTGGCTAGAGACTCCGATTTATCGTTAGGTGCGCAGGGAGCACCAGTTTGAAAGCGCGGCAGAGACATGACCGATTGATTTTGAGGGCAGGCACAGTTACTAAAATTGTTGCTCTACGAGAAGTCGGCTGAGAAAAATCGCTTGTGTAGACTTAAGACTTCTTTAACAACCAAGCTCGGTCATTTTTATCTCAGGCAATGCTTGTGTAAAAAATTAGCTTGTTTGCATTTATGGGAGTAATTATGGGGGGCGATGATATTTGTGTCACAAGAAATGAAGTGATGGACTAGGTGAGTGAAAAGTGTAAATAAATTAATAGCAGTGACTCTGGATCAATCTTAAATAAGGAAGATAAATGTTATTTAGGTAAATCGTTAAAAGCTTCTACAATACGACCAAGAAAAGGTATTATAAAGAAAATACAGGTCTAAACCATGGTCAAGCATATCTGAAAAAAATTAAGCCATTTTATAAATAACTGAAAACAATATGATTAATGAAACAGGGAGATAGACTGACAGCTACTGATTCCTGCAGTAAAAACACGTTTATCAAAGTATGATGAATTAGTCTTCTTGTTTCCTGGTTTTAAATCATTTTTTTCATATTTATAATCGTGAACACAGCAATAGTAATAAAAGTGCATCAACTGTGTTTATGAATAAATAAAATTAAATAAACATACCATTCATTAAGAAGAAACATAAGTCGTGGGCGGTAGTAAATATAATGTTAAATGGTCCAAAAGAAACTGAATAAATAAATAAAAAGAAAAGAAATAAATTTAAAAATTATTAAGATAGTATCAAAAGTATAACTTTTATATTTATATTTTTTATCCTCCCCCTTTTTCATTTGTGCATTTGATGATTTATAATTCTGGACGTGCTTATTTTATATTTTATACTATTCTTCACAGTGGATTATTGCTTTTTTTTGCTAGTACCTTTCTCCAAGCTGAATATGTATTGGGTTTAAATAACTTTTATTTAATTTATCAACACATACACACACACACACACATATATATATGGGATATTCTGTGTGTAAATTAGTGCAAATTTCATGTTTTTATTACTTATAATGCAGGGTAAGATTGTATGTTATTTTATAAATGCTTTATTTTGGTTTACTCAGTTGTTGCTGCATTCAAAATATTGCTTAACTATAGCGATTCCAAGCTGATCTGAAAAATAAAAGTATATTTTTATTATAGTCAATTCTAGATCCTTTCTCAAAGATACTCAGTCATGCAATTCAACATTCTTCTCTGGACTATCACCAGCTGTCAGAACTGTGCACTGTTTGCAACAAAAATGTCAGGGGTATGTTTATTAAATCAATAAAGCTTATTTTTACCTGCAAATAATTCTGACTTATTAAGTCTATATTTTAAATGCAGTTGCTATTGTTTCAGAGCTTAAGCTGAAATTTGCTTTCTTATTATTTTTTCAGGATCGAGATAAGCAACTTTTGACACGAACAGCTGTATTTGAATTAGTTCAGGCAATGAAGTTTAAAACATCTATACCTGATGCAAATCTTTTAACTTTGGTCCAGGTTTGTGATAATAATTTTTAAAACAAAAATATTATTATATATGTGTAGAAGGAAAGAGGGAATGAAAATTTAATATAATAAATTATTTTCCATTAATCTTTCAACTAACTATTATAAAATTATAGCTTTTATTAAAGTTTTTGTTAATGAGAAATTGTACTAAAACTCAAAGCTTTTATGAGCTTCACTAAGTCCTCCAAAGTTTGTTGTTAGTGCTTTTTAGTATCTTAGCAGTGATATATGTGAATACTGTGTTTCATAAAAGCTGAGTGTTTGGCATGAAAGCTATACCTTTCTCGTCCTTATTTCTGAAAACTCATGTTATTTGTGTATTTGGTGTATGATATTTATATTCCTTTCATTTAAAATATGTAACTTTAATTTTGAGGGGTTAAGTAAAAGAAAAAAATGTGAAGTATTAATGGTCAAACTGAAATTAAAAATTAAAATCCAAGAGTAAAATTTATTTCTGACTTTCTTGTTTTCTGAGATGTTATCATGCATTTGCCTGATTATTCCGGATGACTTTTCTGTGTGTAAACACAGACATATTTTGTCCCATGAAATGCATTGAACATTTGTTTTATTATTATGATAGTAATTATTATTAAATTAGAATACCAGCTATTAAAATTTAAATTCTTTATTTTCCTAACAGTGCTCTGATTTCTTTTTAATATGCCAAAACTAATTAAAGTCCGGGTTTTTTTTTTTTTTTTCTATTATATTTCTTATATGTTTAGCATATTTACATATTAGTTGTATGTCTATGAAATCTTGAATATAAATAAAAGATCATGTAATCTAGTACAGAATTCCTGATATAAAAATTATTCTGGAATCGTGCAAATAATTTAGTCTTATTATCTGTGCAAAGGGTGGCTTTGTTTTTTATAGATTAATATTCGAATAGAATTTCCTAATTTTTTCAAATGTTATCAAGAAAATTGTAAGTTCTAGATGTGATAAGATTACATGTATTTTCACTGGTAGTAGATCTAGCATTAAATTGGCATTAATATCTTAATATTATTTTTCTTTAAGTAATATATTTTATTAGTCATTTTGATTGTTTGTGTTAAGATATACGTGCATTAATTGATGATAATTCTAATATTAAAAGTACTAATTTATCAATAATATTTCCCAGTTTGATCCAATCAAAGTATCAAATTCAGTTTTGGAAAAGTATTTTTAAATTATAGAATCAGTTTGCAGGAATGATAGAGAATTAAAAGTTTTAATGTTTCCTGGTAATATATAGAAATTTTCAATTAAACTATTGTACTTCCTTCCCATTAATGGAATTTTTTTTAATGTATAAAGCAAAAATTATTTTCTGTATAGTTTTCTTCATGTTTTAAATAGCCATTGTGGTGCATTGAATGCTTTTAAGAATAAATAAAAGAAATAAATATTTTTCTATAAGTTTTATTTTCTTATAGTATTAATAGAAAATAATTTATTTTCATGTAAAAAGTAAATACTGTATAGGAATAATTTATAGTTAAGCAAAGCTTGATTAAAAAATTTGGAAGCATATCCATACTATGAAATAAATTTTTTTCTGCTTCATCTGAAGTCAGTTATTAGTTAACAACAGCATCCAAAATTAATTAGCTTCTTTAACTTCACTAAGATCTCCTAACCATGTGATGTTATTGTTTTAATGGAAAAAGAGGTGTAATAAAACAAATTAAAAATTATTCCTTTTAATTCAAATAACAGAAATAAATCTCCATTTCAGCTACTTAAATTGAGTGAATTAATATTGAAAAAACAGAAGTTTTCTTGGGATAAGCAAGAGATATCAGTTTGACCTCGCATAAAAAGCATTGTTTTTTTCCGAAATAAAAAATAATATTCACAAACAATAATTAGTTACCTGAAATATTGGCTTATATTTAACCTTTTTTTCCCCTGCTGTAGGATAAGAGACATAAATAGGAAGGTCTCTGTAGTTTATATGAGAAGTTGCTTGCTGGTATGAAACATACGTATAAGCAAGGATTCTTGAACTTGTATTATCTAAATTCTTGTTTTTCCATATAAGAACTCGGGTAAGAGTGATGACAACATTGAATCTGCTGTATCATGTCAAATGCTCTGGCTAACAGGCATATGTAATTTTCAGTACTTTTATGCCACAGTCATTCTAGCTTAAGTTGTTAAACTTTATGACATCATTTTTTAGTACTACAAGAAGTAAGAAATGCAAATTTCCAAATCTTGCTTTTGTGATAAAAGTGATCATAAATTGTGTAATAAAAGGTATTTTAATTGGTTTAATTTTTTTTTATTTTGAATTTTATTTTTTAAATATCAGTTTCTTTATATAAATCAGATTTATTATGTAGTGAAATTAAAATGATCAAATTGTTCCTTAAACTTCGTCAGAAGTTAAGAGAAAAGAGAAACATGCTAAATTAAAACTTAAAATTTATTAAGTTTAAAACGCTAAATTAAAGTTTAAAACTTCTGCAGGAACAACTAAAAAAACATTACTGCAATTTTATATCATGTTTATTGTAATGCTCATGTAATGTTGCTTATTATAAAGCTTATGTAAGTAATGTTTAGATAAAAAAAAATTACAGTATCAAGTCACTAAAAACAGGAATTTCTAATTTTAGTTTGTCTTAACCGACTGTGGAGGACGCTTGGCACCAAACGTCATACTTGAGTGTATTCCTGTTAGCACTGAAAGTCAGTCTACAGTATGTATTCTTTTATAAAGACTGTTAACTTTAAGTGTGATTTTGCCTAAATATTTTATTTATTTGAATTCTTTTCACTTTTCCAGTACAAAACACTAGCTGGTGAGTGCATGCAACAATATTTGAATGATGCGCTTGAGTTTGTAGCAGATATTCATACTCTCAATAAAGTGAAGGTGATAAGATTTACCATGTATCTTTCATTGAAAGTTTAGTTTCTTATATATGTAAGAGGTGCATTTTCTGTTGTGTATATATCTATACCTTCATAGCCAGAAGAAAACTTATCAAAATAGTAAAACTTATCTAAAACTGATATAAAATTTAAATTGGTAGTAATTTAATGGGGGGGGGAACTTCTGTCTATTTTTAAAGCAATTCTCAGTTGTATTTAATTTTATTTTAAATTAATTAAAAATTTTTTTGCAGCATAATTTAAATTTATTTGCAAATAATTATGTATTGCTTTTACAGAATATGCTATATGGAAATTCAACTCATCTTAATGAGGAAACTCTAGGTGGTCATTTAAAAGCAGGTATTTCACAGTATTTAGCCATTGAATTTTCAAAAAATAATGGACGTGACAACAGAGCCATCAGCCGCTATCTTCCATGGTTGTATCATGCACCAACTACTTTACAGCAAGGGTTAGCATTTTTAAAAAAAATTTCTTTATTACTTTTATAACTAAGATTAAATACAGTATGGAAAAATCTTTTTTTAAAACAAATATTCATAAATAATTGAGAAAAGCAAATATTAGAAATATCCAGGTATTGGAGAAAAAAACTCAAATCCAAGAAGGTTATATACAGATAGATTGAATATTTTACTATAATCACCTGTTAAATATTTTACTGTAATTTGTTTATCAATGTTTGCAGTCAAGAAAAGAGTTCTGAGGATATGCACAGTAATAATAAAATTTACTGTTTGATGGTTATGATGGTTGCATAAGTTTTTATACTTTTTGATTATTCCCAGCCCCTTATTGAAAAGTTACAAACTTATTGGTGAAGAGCATTTATGACTAGTTGGTGACCTTGAAGAGCATTTACAAATTAGTTGATGACTTTGGAGAGAAACATTTGTTTAGGTATCTTTGACATATATTTCAATGATGCATCCAGTAAAAAAAAAAAAAAATTCTCCCGTTGTTGTTTTTCCCCTTTATACAGGAAAATAGCTGATAATCGCATAAACTTGGCACCAAAATCCTAAAACAAGAAGGAAAAAAGAGGTGCATGATGCCTATAAGCGAGACACATTACACTGTATGTGTGCATAAAGCTAAGTCTGTGCTAAAACTCTTGATTTCCTGTAGAAGGAATCAGAATCACCAGCAGAAATGTCCGGAGATGTGAAAATGTCTGAAGAGATGCTATGCATATATCTAGATTGCCATATAAATATTTTTTGATGGTGTGGTGCATTGTATCATCAGTACTTTTTCTTTGGGTGGGGGTGGGGGCTTTTCAGTGAGAGATGTGGATAATCATAAGTACACCTTGCAGAAAAAATGGAGGGGACGGTTCTAATATGTCCCGTTCTACTGGGCCGATTGATAATATTTAACTTGCATTTTCCATGTCATAAAAATGTGATTTGGGATATTATTAGATTTACTTATAGCATTGTTTGAATATAAGTATTCTGACACAAAATCAAACTTTTTCTTTCATACCTGTTTTTTTTATATTTTGATTCTACAACTCAAATTATGCTAGAATGCCAAGTTTTGTAAAACCTGCATGAGTAGTTTTTAAAAAATTAGCTTTCAAAAATTTAGCTCCTCTATATTAATTGATTTCACTATATACTAGGTGTACCCGCCCGGCGTTGCCCGTGCATTTAGAAAATGCAGATAAGTGAATAGCGCAGGAATAGTAGTGTAGGACATGTAGACTGTCTCTCTCTCTTCCCCCCCCCCACCAAGCTACAAAAAAGAAATAAATTGTAATTAATCGATTTAATGTATCGTCAAAACAGCAAACTAACGCTAGAATAAAGAAATCAATTGTTACAATCGAACGTTATTTGAAAACAAATAATAATATCAGTGAGTCAAAAAAACCGTGATTAATAAATTATAAATAATTTTTTTAAAATTTTTCTAATTCAAAAATTGAAAATCGGGCTTCGAGGTCTGGTGGCCAGCCCCTTTGTGCTTCCGTATAAAAAATTCCAGGTCCCTGCGTGCGATAGATTTGCCTGGAGAGCTCGGTCAGACAGACAGACAGACACATTACACTTGCTTTTATTATTATAGATTTATTAATATCTCATTTTTTATTAAACTTACTTAATTATTTCTTTTGAAGTTCAAAATTTAGGTTCAATCCAAATAAAATTCGCATATATTTTCTGATTTATTTTTAAAATTTGTATTTTTAGTAAATTTAAATATTTTTTGAAAACATTTTTGAGTTATAACCTATAAAACTTTTACTATCACCTTAAAGTAGATGTATTTCTAGGCATATCTGCAAAAAATTCAGTTTCCCAAGATACATGCGAATTTATATACTGGCGCATTTTGAGATCTGGCATACTTATTATAAGCAATAATAATGCCAAATGTGCTTTACGCACTTTGTTAAAATTATTCAAAAGAATGAGAAGTGCAGCTTTTTTTCTGTCGTGCACAATGAAAAAAAGGGAAAGGAAAATAGGTTATTATAAATTAAGAATATCACCAAGTGAATTATTCTTGGCGCAAACTGAAATATTGCACCACGATAAATTTTTAAATTTCTCGGGAAGCTTCTCATCAAATATTACAAAATTTAATATTTTGGTATAATTTGAATAATAAAATCGAAATATAGGAAAAAAATCAATATGTCATGACAGAAAAAGTCTAATTTATATCCTAAGTCGTGCTTTTGAGGCATAAAAAATGCAAGTTAAATTTCGTCAATCAGCCGAGTAGAACACAAGATATAGAACTGCCCCTCCCCTTTTTTATGCAAAATGTACCTTTTATTGCCTAGTGCATGAATTCAGCTTTATTTTATGCTTTATTTCGAAAACAGTAACCATAGCATTAACTAGACATTATGTATAAAGGACAGTTAACAAAAAGCAAGCTCAAGGCTGTTGTGGGAAAATTCTTCATCTCAGGGAGTAACAGCCAGGACAAGTAGCACTGCATGCCATAGAACCAATCAGAAATTATAAGAGCAATTTGAAGTTCCTGTACAGGTAGTCAGAGGAAGTATTATTTAATCAGAAAGGAATCCAACTTTCCATATGAGCATTCAAGCTGAAACTGAATATGAAAACTGAAAATAAACATTTAAAAAAACAAAGCTTAGGAAAATTTTTCTTTGAATTACATTAGCACTGTTTTGTTCTATAACTTTTTACCATCTCTCCATCAGCTGAAAAATTCCATTTCTAAAAAGTTGTAGAGACATTAGGTTATTTCGAAGGAGGAGAGATGAAAAATGGGCAATGCCCTCGCCAGGACTCAAACCATGGACCTTTCGAATACGCACCATGTGTGCTGTACTTCTTAGCATTTTTTTGTCATAAAGACATGCTAAGAAGCCAGGAAAAATACTTTATATACTCCCCCTTTTAAAGGGCGACTGGGGATCAGAGGACCCAATCGCCTAATTCTGCTGTCAATCAATCATCATCCACCATCCTTTTAATTTGGGTGCCATTATAAAGACATTAAGTTATTTTGAAGAAACAAAATTAGCAATGCCCTCACCGGGACTCAAATCACGGACCTTTCAAATAGACGCCGAGTGTGCTGACCACTACACCACAAAGGCATGCTAAGAAACCGGGAAAAACACCTTATAAAGTTTATTTGTAAAGACATTATTTGTAAAGGCTATTTGATATTCTCCGAAGAGCTGAGCTCCAAGCCTTCCAGAAAATTTTGAAATGACTTCATAAAGAGATGAAAGTCTGATGGATAATAGGGAGGGGTGAAACAAAACATCCCATATTCAATAAGTGTTCGAGACTCAGCAAAACTTAGGGCCGTTTAAATCAAAATTTAGAGCAGAAATTTGAGCCATGTTAAAACTGAAATGGCAGTAATTGTTATTCTAGCTAGCAAATTGTCAATTTTTTCTAATGTTCTATTATTGATATTATATGATGTCAAAGTATAAATTAGGAATATATGTGATATAGAAATAAGTCATTTAAATAAAATTGTAAAATTTTAATGCATCAAATCTGTAAAGTTTAAAAATCATAAGATGTATTCCACATAAAACATACTTAGTATTTTACAGCTCTTTACTTGAATAAAGTGGGAATTACTTAATTAATCAAGTTTTAAATGGAATATGTGATTCAGTTATAAAATTATCTGAAAATTATATTTTATATAACAGCTGTTCTGTATTTAAAAATTTTTTTTATTATTATTATTTTCCTATTTTAGACCGAAAGACTTTATTGATTGTGTCAGTCACATCAGATTATTATCTTGGCTGCTTCTAGGGGCATTAATTCATAGTGCTTTGATGCAAACTCCTTCTGCTTGTCAGCCTATTCCTTTAGAAGCTAATGGTCATATTGCAGAACACATACAAGTTATTTTAGCTGGATTTTCAGAACAGTCAAAGGTAATATGACAATGTAAAGTACAAATTGCTCATCTCCATTATCTTAACAAGTTATTTGTGGCATTAATAAAATTTTGCATGGTGGTGTATGCAAAATCTTTTCGTTCTATTTGAATGCAGTAAATCAGCTAGATCTTTATCCATTAGTAAATCTAGCTTATCTAGCTAGTAAATCAGTTAGAACTTAGAATCCATAAAAATCTTAACAATTTTTAAGAATTGAACAGATGAGTATGGTTTGCACTAAAAATGAATTCCATATGCAGGGATTTCATTTGATTGCTAAATAAATATTTAGTTCAAATTTTCATTGAGATAAGACACTGTAACATATAAACAGCAGTGTACACAAGCAGAATAGAGTTGGAAACAGTGTGAAATAATTTCTTATATTTGCAGGTGCCCTGAATGATTATCTTTGTGATTTACAGCATGTTTGTTGGATGCAAATAAATCACTATTAATACTGTTATCCCGATTATTGTTGATATAATTTGGTACCCTTTATATGTGTTTGCATCTGATGATTTAGTTTGGCTTATGGTGCATGAATGTTCCTCCAAATAACATTAAAAAAAAATCATTAACAAAAAATATATAACAATTGAATATATTATGCCCAAAGGGGCATTTTTCTAACATTTTGTGTTTTACCTTTATTTATTAAATATAAATAAAGCACTTAAACCATAAAATTCAGTTCAGCAACAATATCACAAAATAATTTAAAAAGAGCATATACAGTCAAAAGTCGTTAATTCGGACACCCGTAATTCGGAATGATCTATAATCCAGACCTCAAAGCTAAAAACTTTCTGCGCATGCGCCGTGTTGACACATGCACATAGGCATTTACGCGTGCACGTAAGACCTTTTACGACTGCGCATATGAGTGTGCGCAAGCGCAGAATACATTTTCGCGTGCACGTTTTATGTATAACGGATGGTATAAGCTAAAATTATCTAATTATCGATTTCAGTTAATGTTGATCATTGCGTTGTTCCTTAATTTTCGAATTGGATCCGGCTTATTATTTTTTGCAGACTGTAAGAGCAATACTATAAAAGTAAACTTGAACTTTCGATTATGTAAAATAGAATTTCCGATTCTGGAGCTCCCAAATGATCGTACAAAACGAAAGTATGTTTCGATGTTCATCAAACAAAAAGTGGAATTGCTGCAAAAAATGGATAAAGACATGAAGAATGTGACAGAGAGGTTAGTCAAAACGAAAAAATTTCGATTGACAAGTTAGTTCGTATTCTCGGCACAGCAATTAACGGGACTTGAACAGCGGAACTTTGTAACTGAACAAGAAATTATGTCTGTTTATAGAATTAAAGAGAAAGTATTATCACATAAAACGAAGCAACTTACATTGAAAGAAATGTTTAATAAAGTAAACAAATAAATATTAAGCTTTTTTTTTTTTTTTTTTTTTTTTTTTTTTTTTAAATTTTGATACCCTTTAAATCATAATTGTTCTTTATTTCATAAATTACGGTTTCATATTTTTAATTTTAGAATTTCTGCATGCCATCTTACGAGATTTAAACTGATGATCTATAATCCGTAAAAATCGATAATCCGGAATCACCGAAGTCCCGACGAGTCCGGATTAACGACTGTATTTAGAATTTCTGATACACAGTCTCACGCACTGGAGATAAAAATACAGTGTACCCCCCATACAGTGCTGCCATTGATTGCTTTGGAATCGTTGAGTTTCTTATTCAAAAATTTGTTAAAGTTTTACAAAATATGATATACATAATAAAACAAAATCCAAATTTGGGCTTCCAGATGTCCATATTTGAGTAGAGGGCTACATTATTCAAAATTTGATGTCTCTAGGTACCGTTGTTTTTTCACAGTGCAACAAACATACATACATTCATGCAGATTCTTAATATTAATTAATATAATGCAGGGCTATAGCATTTGGTTGCAATAATTTGAAAAGTGAAACGCTGTTTATAGTGAACTAATGCAAAATGCCAAAATGAAATTAATAACCCTTCTGGGCAAATTGCCCCTTTGGGCTAATAATTAAATGAACAAAGATATATTATTAGGCTATCTCAGCTTTCACATCTTACTTGCCACTGACTATCAGTGCACAGACAGCGTGTTCTAACTGAATGGTGCAGAAATTATGTAACATATGTGAAAAAGTGAAGTAAATATTTATTCTATGCTCTTCCTTATCCAAAAAAAGGGAAAAGAAAAGAAAAAGGGAAAATAATCCCTTCCGTATGAATATTTTTATGCATGCATTCTGCTATATTTTTTTGTTTAATTTTTATTAATTTTTGAGATCTTAATGGAATTTTTAATAAATCTCCATTATATACGTATTAAATATTTCTCTATAATGTATATTAAATAATCCTTCCTAAAAATAGAACTTTAGTTTTTCTTTCTGTTCTGATATAAAATCCTTTATATAAAACAAATTCCATATAAGCATGTAATTTACGTATATTTTCTAATTTTAGGTTTCAGTTCTTCACATGTCTTCTTTATTTCATGCTTTCATTTTATGCCAGGTATGGATAAAATTAACTTATTGTTCAAAAAAGTTAATTATCTTATAAAATTGTAGCTTTTAATTCAAAAGTGTTATATAAAAATAATTAATACTTGATTAAAATAATTGAATAGTCATCAAAAATTATTTGTTTGTGCTAGAAATGTTCTTGATAAAGTATAACAAAGTTTTTTTTTCCCATTTTTAGGATACATTTATGCATATGACAAAATTTCATTACTACAAATGTATTTTGTTTTTAAAGTGATTCAAAGATTTGATCTTATTTGCATTATTTATTAGTGACAATGAATTATAGTGCATTTCATATTATGACTTTTGTACATCTGTGATCAAAATATTTATCTGTCAATGTAAATAAACAAAAATATAAACCAACCCTTTATTCAAGCAGCCCTTCATATAACACAACATTCTTACAATATACTAGTTTAAGAACTGAGCAACCTTCAGAGAACAGGTTTTGTTTTAAAACAGTTCAAGAATAAAGTTGATGGATTATTATTTTTTTTAAATCTAACTACTTAAGCCAAAAATATAATCAAATTTTTTAAAAATACTTGTTACATTTATAAATTTAGAAATATTAAACTGAAATAAAGTATTTCATGCAAATTAAATCTCATTATGCCAGGCAATACAATGTGTTTTGAAAAAAATTTGTTTGCAAATCCGTTAAAGTCACAGAAGCATATTAAATTATGATGCTTTTTGACTATATTATGTCTTTATATACAAAGAAATAAATTTATCAATATTAAATATATGGTTCTTTTAGCCTGGAAATCTAATCGAACCAGCTGAAAAATGAAGCAACTGTAAAGGAAAAATTTTGCCATTGATATAAAAATTCCTGATGGTTGATTAATTAATTCATTGGATAAAGTTTGTGACTTGGCAAAAAATGCTGACATATTTTTTAAAATATATGTCATTAAATTATCTTGAGTATGGAAGTAAATGCAATATAAAACAATTCCATAAGCACATTGCCAATTTTGTTGCAAAATAAATTGAGACTTTTCCATAATTTTAGTTGTGGACTATGTATTGTGAGCACATGGTTGCCCTGAATCCACCTGGAAGTGAACAGAATCAAGTATGTGGTTTGACTCTTACTGACTTTTGGGCAATGGTTACTCCAGGAATTCTTCAACTTGTCTTTCATTCAAAAGTTGTGAGTAAATACCAAAGTTCATTTATTTTATTATTAACATTTTATTTAAAATTTTCAGTACATTTTTTTAGTAGTAGAAATTTTTACTAATTTATAATGTATATCATATGTTAAATAAATTGTGTTCATTTTCTTTACATTCTTTAAGGTTCTGCAAAACTTTTTAGAGTGTTTTATTTATCAATACAGTAGTATTTTGATCTTGATGAGATGTAGTAAATATTTTTAATGCATATATTTTAATCAAAGACCTTTCACAATGTTGTAATCAGCCCTTAACAGTGTTGAATTAATTTGTTATTGGTCTTTCACATATTCATGAAATATTTCTTTTCCTTCTTTGCATTTATACAGTCATACCCCGCATCTATGATTTTATTTATCCACAGTTCAAAACAAAGGGCAGAAGTCCTTTGAAGATTCAAAATGTATGTCAAATGAGAAACAGCCAACAGCCAAATGTTAAACATAATCACTGAAACACTGTATTACCTCAGTAACCATGACTATATATGTAAGCACTGTGTTCCCTCAGTAACCATGACTATATATGTAAGCACTGTATTCTCTCAGTAACCATGACTATATATGTAAGCACTGTATTCCCTCAGTAACCATGACTATATATGCATGCATACACTTTCTTAATGGGTATAAGTAAATAGAAAACAGACTGAAAATGATCATCTTCAGAACCTAATAAATGTTTTCAGGTTACAGTTGTTCCTGAAAATTGCACTTTTTTCTAACTAATTTTTCTCTTATGACTCGGGTTACCATATTTTAAAAGCAAGAACTCTAAATACTGATGCTTGTAAAGAATACTCATATATGTACTTTTTATTGATGCAATACCATATTCTATGATCATTTTGTGAACCTCCAATTTAAAAATAAAAAAATTATTGATATATTTCATTTGCTATAGTTCTTGGAAAATTTCTGCAGATGAAATGAAATGAAAAATTAATTTCAGTGATTAGAAAACAATTATCTAAGCCTGTATGATAGATGAAGGTTGGTATGATGGAACCAAAGAAAATCATATAGCACTGATAATAAAATGCTCAGGATGTTGAAAAGTATAGAAAGCATGCTTTTTTGCAGGATTTTTAATCTGAAAAGAATGTGGATGGCTGGGGTTTTTATTTTTCTTCAACTCTTGAATACTTTTCTTCAAATAATATTTTCCTTAAAAACCTGTATGTTAGATTTTATATGAGCATAAAAATCACTGCATGATTAGTTGGAATTCAGTTTCAAGTTTAAATAGTTTTTAACATTGACTCCTCTAATCAACATCTTTCTGAAGACCAGATGTTGCTTTTTGAAAAACTGTGTACTAGAACTGTTACATTTAGTATGGAAACTGATAATCAAAATGGACAGCCAGCTTTATTTGAAAAATCTGAAATATTTTTTACTCTTTGATAAAACTCTGGACACAATCACAGTTATAAAAATGGCCAGCAAAGGACCTCGACTTTCAAGGGTTATAACATCCAACTCCTTCCTTCCCTCACGCACACAGGTTTTCCCATTAAATTTCTCTCAGATCTGCATTTAATATTCTCCCTGTTCTCATTAGCAACATTCTATCACACCTGACATATTCAGAAATTTTTTAGTAACATTGCAATGATTTCCAAGCATAAAAGTAGTGAAACTACTAATGCTTCTATCCATAAGAGAACCCATGAGTAAAAAATTAGTAAGAAAGCAAAAATTTTTTATTTATAAATTAATTTTTAAAATTGCACGAAATAATGTATATTTTATATGGATAGCCTGCTCTGCATCATGTTTGCTGTTATTTGCTTTATGTAATGGAACAAATTACCCATGAATATGGGTATTGTATTGCCACTTTTCTGAATTTATTTTCTTTTAAAACTTGCAAATGGCTTTATTTTTATAAATTTTGAAGTTCAAAGGAATAATTTGATAGGAGATACTGAATTATTTTTAATTTAACTTTTTATAAAGATGTATTTGTTTGGAAAATTAAAATGATTTACTGCAAATTTATGATTTAATCTATATGATTTTTTTCAAATATTATGAACTTTAAATTCATGTTTTTTCTTTTTTCAACCATTCTGTGCAGGAAGAGTATCCCCAGGTTGGCTTTTTTCTTTACTTTTTACCACCATCTATGTAATTCATAATAAAAGTGCATAACAGTGATATATAGTTTCATTGTAAATGAAAGAACTCTTTATTAATATTAAAATTTACATATTTTATGAATGTGTCAGAAAAAAATCTGTGTTGTTTGAAAATGTGTAATCATATATTTTTTAATATCTAAGAGAGATTTTCAGACTTTCATATCATTGGAAGAAATACAAGATTACACATATTAATATATTAGAAAATTTAAGTTGCTTAATGTAAATTGTTCTTTGCTAGTTGGCTGAGATGGTCAGTCTTCATTTCCTTAGCCTCATGGAAGCGTTGCAAGAGTGCAATTCTACAGTGCTTGCTCGAGTATGTACATAAGATAGTTATTTGTGTGTGCATTATTTCTAGAGTTCCTGTAATTCTTATTTCTTCTTTGTGTAGCAAGAAAAAATATTTTTATCCAAAATTTTATATCTGAAATTTTATCTTTAGTAACAATTTATTGGGTTGTTGCAAAAGAAATGGCCATTGAATGAAGTCAAATTTTTACTGATTGTGAAAAAACGCAAGCACTGAGATTTATGCACATACGTTATTTGTGTTATTTGATAAGCATTAAGCACTGAATACTACCAACATCAGATCAATCATAGAACCCACTCCTATAAGGCTGTTATCAATAGCTTCAGTAAAAGGCATCAATAAAGTATTCGGTGAATGAGTAATTAATGAGAGATTCATTTGGCATTGTTTTGCAAATTTCACTGTGGAGATTTGAGGCTACATTATAAACTCGTGGCCATCATCTTTTTTCCATTGATTTGAATGAATTAAAGGATTTCATCAAATTAGATCCATGACAAACTGTAAGACAGATCGCCCAAATATTAAATTTCAGTTATTTCAGGGCACTTGGTACCAATAGAAATTTCATAGTTCTTGGTATCTCTGTATTAAAAAGAAAGAATGGTGTTTAAAAATATATCTTCAATCTTAAACCCTTTGGCTACGAATTAAAAAAAATTACCCCGTTCTCTATTAAAGTGAACAAAATATGTCATAAATAAGATAAATTTAGCATTTGGGATTTTTTTGACAAATGTTTTTTAAGCCAAAAGCTGGGATACATATGTTCCACACGTAGCTATTGACTTACTATAAGCACACCTATTATTCTGGAAAACTTTATTATATGAAATGGTGCAGGGTAAAAATCATTCTTTGCATAACCCAACATTACATATTGGGCAACTCATGTTCATTTGTGTACAATGAACACAGCGGCATTGTGATTTTCCAACTATTGGAAGATGATCCTCAACATTCAGGAGATTCTAAGTACTTTTTAACCCAGCAGTAGTTTTTAAACTTTTAGTGGGACATATATGTCTTGTTAATATTCAAAGGGTAAGGAAAAGAGAAGGGAAAAAAAAAAAAAAGAAAGGTTCCTGCCGCAAAATGTGACTGCAGCTGAGAAATAGATATTCTATGATGATCATACATGCTCATTACAGTGGGTAGCGGTGAAAAACATTCCAGGAAGGACTCTAAAGGCTCTTTTGGATCCACAAAATAATATTGTTTACTTTATGGTGATCTGCTAATGTTATTCACTACTCATTACTTCCATGAGGTAAAATGATAAATGCAGCTTGATATTGTACAGATATGTACCAAATGCATAACAAATTGTGCCTTAAGCAACCAACCCTTGTGAATATAGTATATACAGTTCTGTTACATCAGGATAACTCTTGACCACATATAGTTAATCAATAATTAGGAATACAAAACTGTGACTTATTCTCCACACTCTCCTTACATTTTCCCAGCAGGTTATTGTTTTTTACAGCACATAAGCTATTTTGTGTCAAAGAAATACTGCACAAATAGTGCAGCATTTTATCGGGCAGCAGAGGACTTATTCCAGAGACACTGATTTTCTGTCATATGAATGACCTTGCCATATGTTGGGAACAATGCACTGATGTTGCTAGAAATTAATTAAACAGATAATAATTTATTAACTTTTTCAACCCTCCATAAAATCAGGCATTTCATTTGCAACAACAAAATAATTTTGGCTGAATTTATTGCAAACTTGGATTATTTTTACATTGTTTACATTGATAGTATAACCGTCTGTATCTTTGAATGTATGTGACATGCTAAGTACCACATCAGAAAAAATGAATATTACTTTTATGTTTTTTTAACTGACTTTTATTTAAAGAAACTGATTAACTTGATTATCTTTTTAATAAATTAATTTAGTGGTTCCATAAATAAATTTTTATTGCATTAGTGAAACATTATCAATTTTATTTAAATTGGACTTGTTTAGGATCATTTTGAGTTCTCAAAATAAATAATGAATTAAAAAATTTAATTTAATTTAAAGTGTTAAATTAAGAATTATTCATACAAAAAAGAATAAGCATTCAGTGTAGTTTAGTAAAAACAGTGCACATTGTTAAAAAATGTAAATTGTATGCACTAAGAAGTAAATATTATAAAGTGTTTTAATTTAGTAATAATTTCTGTTAGATTTTAATCAAAGCACCATGAAAAGTAATTTCTTCTAATTATAAGTGAATAGCTTTCTATTTGTGTTTGATGATTAAAAGGAAATCAAATTATTTCATTAAAAAGGAATGTAAAAATAGCAAACTTAATGAGTTCATTCATTAAATCATTAATTTTAGTCTTTTGTTAGCTAAATTATGCTTAAATATTTATCTCAGAAATCTTTCCTTCATACTTTTAATACTTAATTCTTCATATTTCATACTTTTAATCTGAAACTTATTCTTTTCAGTTATTGCCAATGTGGACACCAGTGTTGTATAGTTTTCAAGGACATGTATGTAGATAAGTTCTTTAATTTAGAATTCAGTCTTGAGAATTATATAAAACCAATATTGTCAATAATTTTAAAACATACTGTAGTTATCACTGACTGTATTTACTTAGAAGAAGAATGGCTATACACCACTGCATAGAACAATCTGTTTTAAAAACAATATTTTTATTGTATTTGTAATGTCTTTAAATGTAAAATAATTAGATAACTAATGAAGAGAAACAAAAATTTTAGCATTTTTTGCTGCAAGTCATTTGAAATTGAATTAGCATAGATATTTGATTTAATGATAATTTTCATTAGTCTCTTAATAAGTGCTAAACTTTAAATTTTTTTTATGAAAAGACTTAGATAACTGAAAAATGTATACAATATAAATAATGTAATTAATTTTTTTTCAAATCAAAATAGGTAGTTTTCGGAAATACTAATATATTAAAAAAAGCATATCTTAATAATCCATTAAGAAATCAATGTTAGTGAGTAAAACTAAGTAACATGGACGGAAAAAAAAATGTTTTGTAATTTATACATAAATAATGATTATTATACTTATCTCTGTTTTCAATTGTATTAATATCTTCCATGTAACTATATTTTGTTTCCCTTAGAGGTAATAAGTTTGTGCAATATAGCTATACTTTTTAATAATGTTCAATAATAAGTTCTAGTGTTTTATGAAATAATTTCTGATTAATGCTGACTTTTTATTAGAAATAATATTATATATAATAATTATATATAATATTTATTAGAAATGTTATTTGTAAAATTGAATAAGTTTTTAAATCGTTAAATTGCTTTAAATTTAAATTTATTTAATTTTTGAATTTTTTTTAAAGCTGTCAAATAACCTGCATATGAGATTACAAGCATGTGTCAGTTGCCGTCCTCCAACTCGATCTCGAGAAGAAACTGCTGCAGTGAGCACTACATTCCTTCGCTGGCTACAGCGATTGCAATTTAAAATGAGTCAAATTGAATTACAGTCTTCAACAGCAACACAGTTCTATTCATTGTAGATTTTATGTTTTAAATGCAGTATTTACAAAAGTGATATAGATGTATTTTTCTATGTGCAGTAACAAAAATTTCTTTTGCTGTAGATTTATTATAATTAGAATGCTTTAATAGTATTTTTTTTTTAATTGTGAAAGCTTTTTATGCAACTGAATGTGATTCTTATTGCTAAGAACTGTTTTGTGCTTTAATGATGTTTGCTTAAATATAGTCTATTACAGAAAGTAACATACTTAGTTATCTTTAGTGAAGATATGTCAATGTACTATCTAAATTAGATTTGGTAAAGTAATTATTTGCTAATTCAGCAATTAATCAGGTAAAAAATTTTACTGCAACTTTTTATAAAATGTATTGTATCTTTTATTTATTACATTTAAATATACATTTTTAGTTTTTATATTTTACATAATTGTCTTAGAATTCATATTTAATAAGACTTTTTATTAAAGTCCTAAAAAGCTAAAAAACTAAATCCTAGGTTCTTGAATCTCTTAAATTGTCACATTTGTATCTTAAGGGGGGGCAACCATTGCTGATTTTTCTTAAATAATCGGTTCTTACTTTTTTTTTAATACTGAAGAAATCTGAAATACATTTCATAAATAAAAAATTGATTGTATCTGTATCATGACTCTGGGTGACATATCCTTAATTAATAACTCTGTATATATCTTTGCTAAAGGAGAAAAGAGTTGCATATTGAATTGTTAGCTTAATGATAAAAGTTAATTTTTATAAATTAGTTATTGAGAAAGTGTAATTTTTTACAGAATAGGAATATCAAACAGTGGAAGAAAATGGCATTCATAAACCGACAAAGGTATCTCCCCCCATTAAATAATATTGAACAGCTGTTTAGCAGCATTCTTATTGCAAATTTATATTTACTATATATTATTAATCTTTAAATCTTATTTGCAAAAAATTAAATTTTGAATATTTCTGACTGGGAAAAGATTAAGATTATATTTTCCCAAATAATTTTACATATACTTGTAATTTTGTTAAATCATAATCAAGTAGTAATTTTTGGGAGGGAGAAGGAAGGGGTGCTTTTTGTTTTTGTAGCTTGTACGTGGATGTTTACTATATCACTGGATTTTTAACTATTTTGAATTGAGATTTTTTTGAGAAATTTATTTTTTCCACTGCAATACATTTTAGATCTTTTGCTTGAGAAGAAATTAACAAAGGATAAGCAAGATGTTTGTATATTAAACAGTTTTAACGAATTTGAGATAAATTTCTCATGAAGGTATTCGAATTATTTTTATTTGTTTTCCCAGTTTATTTTTATTATCCCACATTTTCAAAATAACACTTCTATTTTTTTAATATAAGAATTAAGTATGAGTTATCATATTTTATCTCTGATTAGTATGTGTGTGTTCCTCCAAATAACTATCTAATCCATTTTATTAAATTATTTTAAAGTTTTATTAAATTTCGTTGTTCATTCTTTGTTCTATGAAAATGTTATTCTATGAAAAATATCTTTGTATATAAAGTACATGTTTTAAACTAGATTTAATTATATGTGCATTAGAGGGAAAAAGTTAAATATTTTTATTAAAAAAAAGTCCATGTTTTTGTGTATTTTGTAAAGGTCACAAATGTACAGTATGTTGAATGAGATGCTATGCTAATGCAATAGCATATATAGTTTATAAAATAATATATATAAGCAAGAAAAACTGTATTGATCTCCCCATTACTGTACATAGAAAAAGCATTGTTGCATATAACTGTACTGTGTTATATTTTAAAGTATATATATAGGAATTTAAAGATTGAAGAAAAATTTTATTTCTGTTCATCTATACTACTGCATTGATATTATCCATTTGCTGTTACATGCATAATTGTATTATATTAGAGTAGTGGTCTTCAAACTGTGTTTCATGGAACACCCCAGTCTGAGTTCTGCAATTCAAAAAAGAAAATTAGAAACCACTAACATAATTGACTAGTGTTTATTAACTATAAACATACATTTAGTTATCCTTGAAAATTAATCAGAAGATTTGTGTGTGAGCTGCCGATGTTCATAACATGATGTCAGCAGTGATATATGTGTAAAAGTAGCTCTGATTTTTCAGTCGATGTGTATGGATAAATGTTTCTCACATAGCTATAAACATTTTAATGCCATTCAGAACAACATATGTAAGTGAAAAATCATTCCCAATGTATGTGACAACAAAATAAGAAACAAATTAAATGCAGAATATGAAATGCAAATAACATCAGTAGGGCTCACTTTAACAGTTTGTGTAAAAAAAAAAAAAAAAAAAAAAAGGAAGCACACCCATGTCACTAAATTAAGTGTAGGTGATACCTGGAGCACAAGTTAATACTATTAATGAGTAAATTACATTAATTTTAACATTTTTTTTAAATAAAAATATGTTACTTTTCTTTAACCCTTTCTTTCTGAACAGTACACATGTGTACCACTGATATTTATAAATACCTGCAGGATATATTTAACATTATAACTGAAAGAAAAGTGTACCACTACAGTATTTTAAGTACCACGACATCACTTCAATGTATAACACCATGCGGATTTCACTAAATGTAAGGTTATGTTTGTTAATAAACCAGTGAGCACCTGTATTATATATTTTAAAGTAAATTTGTGCAAGAATAAACTTGATTTCATATATAATTTTATTCTGTAATACTTATGTTTAGAAAAGAAATAGAATATCATGTATGTATGAATTACTTAGTTTAGAAATTATTTATCTATTTGTCATATACCAACCGGTACATATGTGCCCCATTAGGTTTGTAATTAAGATTTTTATTTTAGCTCTAAAACGGCTCGCCCACTGATGCAAAAACAATTAGAAGCTGAAGCTGAAAAACTAGTTGAATCAGATTCAGGGACGAAAGGGTTAATTCATTATATAAAGTACCTACAACATATTGATCTCCTTATTTTAAGATATTTTATTTTATTATTGTAAGGTATATTTTTATAAGGGTAAAACCGTGTTTTCTGGAAAAAAAAAAAAAAAAAAAAATCTAAACTTATGTGTTAAAATCTTATGTGTTGATGAGGTTTGAAGACCACTGTATTAGTCAATCCATTAAAAATCAAAGAAAACAACTTCACACATTCATTTTTGAAGTTACTTGAAAAAAAAATAATTAATATTTAATTCAAATTAAATTTTAAATAAGCATTTTTATGAATAAATTTATTTAATCTGAGCTGGAAGGAAGCTTTGCATTATTATACTTTTTTAAAAAAGGAAATTATTATATGCATGAGCAATGATAATAAGTTCATCATTGTTATTTTTATGAAAATGTTTAGCAAGTGTTGGAGATAGCTTATATGAATGTTAAGATTTTACAGAAACACTCATGCTTTTAAAACTTTTACAAATTTTTATACTTGTAAAAATAAATGCCTTGGAATAGTAACGTCCAGTCACTTTATCCATATAGCATTCATTTTTACTTCACAGGGATTCAGTTCCCATGCCGTATTTTATATAAGGGTTTGAAAGAAAATATTTAATCATTAAAACGTACATGAATATATTATATGTTATTTTTCGTGATTTTTAAATGATTCAATTTATATAAAATATTTTCCTAAACAGTATTTATCAAAAAGTTAATTGCTTAAGTTATTTAATCTATCACTATTCCATTACACATATAAATTAATAAATAATAAAATTATATTTGTTTTATTGTAAGTTATTATGCTCAAATCAAATTGCATAGAAATAGATCCTTTTACATCCTTGTGAAATCTTTCTTTGCACTTCAAATTGGCAACACTGTAGTTTGAACTAGCTTTGAATCATGTGCAATCACATCAACTTTTTTCACACCTTCATATTGCTTAATCAATCACTATCATTTTCGTGTCTAAATTAATTGTCTTTGCTTTTTAGCTTGTTGATTGCTAGGCAATGTCTATTTTCTCTTTACAGTCATTTCATAGGTTAATTAACCACAGAATTATATAAACAAAAGGGACAAGACTTGAAACGAAAAATAATGCACATGTACTGACTGAGCAATAGCTGTAAGTAATTCAATGTGTTATTAGTACTTATTGAAGTAAATAAAAATCTTTTCTTAAAATTCTTATTATAAAACCATTTTTATTTTTAGCCCTAAAGGGCTATTAGTCTTGAAATACGATTTTGCATTGTCTACCATTGATTAATGAAATAAGCTATTAAAAGCAGAAGATGCAGTTCTTAAAAATATTATTATTATTATTCTTTTTAATCTGATTAATGTAAATATAAATGTATTTAACTCATGATGTATCTAGTTAAAAACATTAAATATTTCTATAGAATTACATTATGTATTTTCCCACTTTTCAAATGCACAGATGATGTATCACATTCACATTCTAGTCTAACTACATATTCATCCAGTATCTCATAAAATGTTTCACTATTTCCACATGGGCCATCTCCACTGATGGTCTCTTCTGATAAACCCTATTAAAATTTAACACAGCCTTTTTAGGCAACAGTTAAAATCAGAATCGTTTCAGATTTGCTTTTTTATTTATTATTCTGATTTTAAAATCCTACTAAGACTTAACTCCAAAGGTGGCTCCTTTTTTTCTTTTTAAAAAAATTTCACTTTTAAAATCCTACTGCAGCTTAAATTCAAAATAATTTGGTATTAGTTAGCGTATGCAATGCTAGCCATTAAAATTGCTAAATCAGGAAGGAAAGCAAACAGCAGAATCTTATTTGTTGTACATAAACAGTATAATGAAAAGAAGACAAGACTGAATTTGCTGGTGGTTTGGAATATACAATGGGTACTTTTTTCCATGCAGCTTCAACTCTATGCCAGATTTCATAAATCACAGTGGCTGGTGAGTGATGACATGCCAGTCTCTCGGCAACCTATCACCAGCTATTCTTAATGGACGAGAAATCATGAAAATACAGGCTAGGGCAACAGTTGAACACGCTCTGTATTGTGGAAGGTCGGGACAGTATGAACAACATGCGGTTGTGCATTATCTTCTTGAAAGATGGTCCTTGAAAATATAGCCACAGCATTAGAAATGTAACACTGGTATCCACATTACCAGCTATGTGAACAAGAGGTGACAAGGTTGTATACCCAGTGACACTTCATACTAACAATGACAAATGCAAGCTGGCAGTGTTAATTCTCCTTGATACCTTGTAACACAGACATCATGATGTTGTACATAGAACGAGGATGAAAAACAACATAATGCCACTTCAGTATCATCGTTCATTGCACCACTGTAGGCTTGTCTCTGCTGCAATGTCAAGGGAAATTGCAACAATGATCACTGCACTGCGGACATCATCCCACCGTCCATGCAGGTGCAGGAGCCAAGTTCGTGCTCAGGTTATGTGACATGGCTATACAATCTCGCAAAGCTGAGAAGGCAACATGTGTGCCATCTCAGACATTAATGGTCTGGGGTAACTTAGATCTTGCACAACATTCAGTATGGCTTTCCTGAGCCCATTGATTCCAGATCTACTTAACAGTCATGGGATGCCAAATAGCATGAGCAGCAATATAACAGGAGGATATCTGTATGATATTACCATGGTCGAATTCCAATACATGCTGTTAGGAGTTTCTTCTTACAAGAGGCGTAACATGGCATTTACACAACCAACATTCAAATATAATTTCCAAATGAGAAACCTGCTGTACAGTCTTCTCATTTACACACAGTGTAACGGTATTCTGAAATGCTAATTACTTATGTATCCCACCTTTTATGCATATTTGACATTTATTACATGCTGCCTTCACAGTGTAGCAATTTTAATGATCAGCAGTGTAATACATATAAATATGAGTTCATATGCAGAGACCCACTAAAAACTTTTGTAGCAGAAGTGTGTAAAGCACCTTTTACCATGAGCTATCATTTAAAAGAAAAGGATGAGCTATTAGACAAAAGAAACGATATAAAAGGAAATATTATGTAAATTGAGACATGTTTAAAACACTGAAGTTCTCTTAAAAAAAACTATAATTTAAATATACAGATTAAAAGCTTAATTCATTTATAAAATCTTGAGTTGTAATGATCATATCAAATTACAAAGAAAAGAACAAAATTCAATGAAATATCAAATCAGTAAATAAATAAGAATTCTACCATACTTTTTTATTGAACTTTTAAGAGAAATTATTCTGTTATTTTGTATTTTGCAAAAATAATAAAACATTTATTAATAACTAAAATATATTGTTAAATTGATCCCCTTGAGCAATCTCACCATATGATTGTCTATTTAAAAGAACTGTTATTAAGAATTACCCTCGAAAAAAACCCAACCTGGTTCTCATATATCTTTTTCTTTAAGCATGTTTGAATTTTCACTGTTTTTGGCAAAAAATACTGATTATCATATGAAATTTTTATTTAATTTATTATTAAAAATATTTATTAGATTCCAGTCTCTTATTAGTAACAATTTTTTGCATACTAATATAGTAACATTACATTGCAGTCAAATGAATTCCTTTACTTAAATCATAATAACGTTCAGTCACTGAAATACATCTGAATACATGCATTCTTCCTTTTTGTTTTCATTTACTAATTGTCTTAGGGTACAAATTAGATATGTAAACAAAAACGTTTTGAGCAGTACTTTATTTATTTACCATGACTCTCGATTTGTAATTCATAGTAAAAATGCATATAATTAAATCTGATAAAATGATAAGTACTAATTTTTACACACATTAGATAATTTGCCAAAAACATCTTGTATGTAAAATAATTAGATTACTGATTATTTTTGAAAATTTTATTTCACGTACAGTTTTAATGATACTCTTCTGCTACGGAGACCAAATTCAAAAATGTATGTATGGATGCATGTACATATGCACATATGTTTGTGTCTACACACACACATCCATCCATCTATACATGCATACATTAGTGAATCCAGTCCCAATAACAGAAGAGTACCATTTTAACAAATTACAATATAAGTGATATCACCAAATTCAGGTAATAAAATAATGTTTTCATTATTTTGTGCATAAATTATTTTACATCATAGTATAACCAAATTATCTTAATCTAATCAAAAGAAAATTTGTTCCTAGAGTCATATTTGCTACAAATTCTTAAAACTACTTACTAATCTTGTGAATGTTTAAGTATTCTGGACATAACTAAGTAGTGTAAGGGGTAAAAATCTTTATTCAATTGTAATTCAGAGAATTTACATGTACAAAAATAATTAGTTGTAATTTTTAATAAAATTCTGTTATATTAATTTTAAGATTGTTAAAAGAACAATCTTATTTTTATTAGTTTCTAATTACGTTGGGTTGATGTTAATTGTAATTTAGTGACAATAATTTTCATCAGAGCAAGCCAAGTAATCTAATTAATATTTCATTGAAAATGTCAGCATAGAAAGTTTATTATTCAACAACTTGTTAATGAGGCAAATGAAGCATTCAGAGATTAAAAAAATATTAAATCTCACAACAGTGTGTACATAAATGGTTATGAACTATGCCATTTTCCACCTATGAATATTTTTATCTTACTGTATGAAATAAATGTGTATCTTATGCCTTATAAAACCTATGCGCCAAACTATAAGCAACAGTTATTCTAAGTCATCTGGTAGATAAGGAGTTAACTAATTGTATATAATATATTTTCTTAGAGTAAACAAATCCATATCATTTTGGTACCTGAATTTCTTTTCTTTTATTGCAAATTCAGAATGTACTTTAATTTATATCTTTCATAATTATAAACTATTATTTATTGAATCTGGGAAAATTTAGCTGTTGTAGAATACAAAGAATCTCTAAGGAAAGAATCTCCTTAGAGATTCTTTGGTAGAATGTAGCTGTTGATAGTTATTTATTAGATTTCTTAAATACAATATGTCAATACTTTTAGAGATATGACATTTACTGTAAATTATATTCCTAAGTCTAAACAAATATATAAATCATATTTAATTTTATTGCATAAATAACTGAGTATATTGTTAAAAATCATCAGAATATTTTATTAAAAAGTCTAAACAAAAATGCTTGAAGAAAGGCAATAATGAATGCATCAACATTAGCATGAAATAAAAATGCATTATTTAATACTATAATCCAATTTTGTTCCAACCTGAAAAGATAGGCTTAATTACACTACTTTGCTATGTTGATTAACTGACTTCAGTGTCACAGTGTGACTACTTACTAACTTTTTTAAGAGATAAAATCTAAATCCATTTCACACTGAGACTTTGGAATCTGTTAACGAACACAGCAAAGTATTCTAGCAAATTGCCATGTCTAAGAAATTCATTACAACATTTCGATGATCTTTTCACAAATCTATTTACTGATTCATATGTCTAACTGGACAGTAATGATCTTAACATGGATGTTAGGAACATTACTGTGCAAATTTAAAATACTGGCAATCCACTGGGTTAAAACAAATAATATGGATTACATTTCTAATATTGACTGTGGCTAAGAAAAACTGCAATAAAGATTACATGTAAATTTCCTTCACTTCTTCAATAATTAGAAGGAATATGAATTCTTATAACTTTCCTGAAACTTTTAACTGCAATTAAAATAAATAATTAACACTATACTTTAACTGTATTTATAAAAGTAATATATATATATGAAAAAATATTCTCTTCTCAAAATAATAAAGGATGGAAACTTATATTTTGGGATCATTTTATATAAATGGTATAAAGAAAAGATGTGTACAAACGTTTAAAAAATTGAAAAATTTTACATCCAAATTAAAATGCGAAGTTAAAGGTAAGGTACTTTTTCTGTTCAAATGAATTCACTAAATTTTCTTTCATTGTGTCATATTATATGTGTATTTTATACAGAAGATTGATAATCCATTAATCTACAAAAATGTGTACCTCCACAATGTTGGCTAAAATCTTTTTTTTTTTTTTTTTTTTTTCCTAAAGTGATTTTTTGGTAGAGAGGAGACTTGCAGAGATAGTTATGTAATTTGTAATAAAAGAAATATTGCATTTGTAAAGCAGAAATAGTTTTTTGGGGGGAAAAATCAATTTTATGATGTGCTTTTGCAGTTATTTGTAATGGACTAAAATTGTTTTTTTTTAATACATACATGTAAATTTTTCTTTAAAATGAGATGCATAAAAATATAAAATATCCTAATTTTTTGTTTTATATTTATTAACAACTTCTTTACCAATTACCTGCATTCACATGACTAAATATCATTCGTCAATGCAGGAAATTGGTAATTATTGCCTTAGTCATACTGAAAAATATAACTTTGTTGGAGAGAATGGAGTAAAAATTACAGTTTTTTGCAATTATAAGTTTCTATATTTAAAGTTAGCTAACATAATTGCTTATGTATCTGTGTCATTCAAATTAATGCAAAGTTGCAATTTTATGTCTGAACTTATTCAGTTTGCATAATGCGTTTCATGTACCTCAGAATAAAAGTTATTTAGACAGCTGCAGAATGTCTCCTTTTTAAAATATTGTACATTTTAAGAAACATCTAAATCATAATTTAAAGTTTTTGCCATTTCTTAACCAGATTTTATTTTTGTTTAGTAAGATGTCAAGCAGACATTTTTATGTACCATCATTATAGCTGAATTTTTAGATTGCGAGTTGTAGTTTACAGTAAAGAAAAATAAATTTACCATTATATAAACACAATTTTTTTACATATATATCAGAGATGATATGACACATAAAATAGGAAACAAAGCTAATAACTTTAATTTAGCAATAGTCTTTTTTATTCATCAGTTTAATTTAGTTATGTCCCCTTCCTGGAATCTAAAGTGCGTTATTTGAAAATTAATCTGCATTATGTAACAGTGGCACTGTGGATATTTTTTATACAGTTGCAGCTCAAAATTTAAGTAAAGGAATCAAGTCTATAATCTCTTGCTGAATGCGCACTCAATTTGAGTGCCTTATTCTCGGTGTGCTATTGCACCACTCTGTTCTCTACATCATCTAGTTGCCAAATCACCTGATTTACACGCAAGAGATTTCTGTTTTCTGACTGTATTCCTGCCAACTCTATTTATAACATAGTTCTCCCGTCTTTCTCTTATTAAAATTTTTATGTACCTGGTGTGAGAGCACATGTGCCCGAAAGTGTCATGTTCTAGTTCTCCAATGAGCATCAAGCGTCACTGTGGGTCATCTGACATACATTATCCGATAAGCATAAAGCAAGATCAAGGTTGTTATTTCATTCATCTCAATGCTGAGAATTGTTAGTTTTATATGCGTTCTAGAAAGAGTTTAAAAAATTGCAATTTTTATTTAAGTCTCAGAATAAGGTAAAATACTCGTGTACTTTTGAAATATCATGCACAAATGACTTTTCTTCAATTATTTTGCCAAGGGAATGTATTACATTTGCAATATGTCCCGTTCATCATTGCGATTTTTCAACTTCACCAGGTGGAAAGGCCAATATTCTTAAACACGTGCGGACACAAGAATAAAGTGAGTTGTATTTGTAAAAAAAAAAAATTAAAAATTGGATTTTTCTGTGGGAACAATGTGCCAAATATATATTGATGCAGAATGCTCATTCTTTACCTTTTTTACTGGAACACAACCTGCCACTAAATGCATCAGATGATGCTGCTTTATTTAGAAAAATGTTTCCCGATAACAACATAACTAAGAAATGATCAAGTGCAAGGACAAAAGTGGTTACAGCCATTACAGAAATGGGTAGGAAAAATAAATCTTCAGTTATTGATTGCATTAAAACAGCTCTATTCTACCTCTGTACATAGATGGAAGCAATACCAAGGCAAAATTGTATCCAGTTGTTTCTTTATTCTTACTTTTTGTTACCACTTTAGAAGATTCACAAGGCTTTAAAATATAGCATAGCTGATTATTAAAATTTGTAAAGGATTTTCTTCCGCCTTCCAGCATACCTTCATGATGTAATGGTAGCACACTCGGCACCTATTTGAGAGGTCCCGGCAAGGGCACTGCACATTTTTCACACCTCCTACTTCATAAAATCCCTAATGAGTCAAACTTTAAAAGAAATGCAATTCTTCTGAATAATTGCTTAGCACTTGGTGTCCACAACACACCAGTAAAGGTAGGCTTGCAGGCATCTTAAAGAAAGAAAATTCTGATCTGCAAATCACGAGCTGCACCTGTCACCTCTTAAATTTAGCAGCAGAAAAAAAGGGCAGCTTCTTTAAGTGTGGATGAACACATCGTTGATATTTATTATTGTCTTAAAAAGAGTTCTAAAAGGAAGGAAGAATTGAAACAATTCCAGCAGCTGCATAATACTGAAATAAGAAAAATTTTGAAACATGTATGTACATGCTTCTAATCTTTACAGAAATGCTTGTCTAGAACCCTCAGCCAATGGTACCCAATTTTTAAGGAAGAGGTAAATGCTTCTAGAGTTAAGATAAAAGGCTCTATTGAAAGTTTTAAAATACCTACTTATATAAACTTGAATAAAATAAAATTTGTAAAAAGTTATGGAAGCAGCAAGGATTGGCACCCAATGAAGTTTAATTGGAAAGGCGAAAGGTGCTGTTGAAATTTAAATTTAAGAATAATGATGGCCATCCTGACGTTCCCCATAGTAATGCAAAGTATGAGAGGATTTTCATTGTTACTAAAATAAGGACTAAATTTAGATCCATTATTAGCAATGCCACATTGGGAAAACCTTTATTAGCAAAAGCAGGCCATCACCAAAGAGTTTCTTTCTTAATGAAAGGAAAATATGCCAATGTTCTTAACATTTGAACAAAAAACTGACTAAAGTATTATTTTTCTATTAAAACATACAGATAATAAAAGTTTTTTACAAGTAAGGATATTTGTACTATTTGCATTTAAGAACTAACAACTGAACTTTCAAGTATTAATTAGTTACTATTTAAAGTTAATGCATTGTTAAAAGTGCACTTTCTTTGTATATATATTTTTATCATTTAAAAATTCTTTTTGTCATTGAAAAAGTTCTCCTGATTTTTTAGTGTTGTAGTTTGGAAAGTGTGCATTGTGTAAAAAAATGTGACATGCTACAAAAAATTTTAGGATGCTTGTTGCCCCATAGTGATGTGTAAAGGAGGTTATCACATCTAGTGACAGTCCCTGCTAGACGGAATTTTCTGAGAAACATGATTTTGGTAGCACTGGTTTAAACGGGAGGATTCCTAGAAAAAACAGCTCTGCTGAAAGTGAATTCCCACCTGGCTCAGAAACAATGTACCTGCTACGTGGGATTTTTTTAACCTTCGTTGAACATATTTCGGCTGCAGCTGTGTCAAACAAACAGACAAAAGTTCTGCTTCTGAAGGACCTTGATCTTAATGATCCCAATCTGAGCGATAATCAGTTACTGTTTGGTGTTCACTCTTTGTAATAAGTGAAAATGGTAACCTAGCTACATAGGTTTCGTGGAATGTGCAGGTTCTGAGAATTGTGTCTTCCAACGTCCAGTCCCTCGTAGCAGAAACATATGTTCTTGTGACTTAAACAAGAGTACATGTCCTTAGAGTTTAGTTATAAAGAAATCAAACTGTCTTGTTATCAGTTGCCAATGTCTGCAAGTTTTTCTTCTCCGTTAAAAATCTTTGCAGCTCTATCATTCTCTTGGTGGAGTAAAGAATCATCAAATACCTACAAATTTTATATTAAAATTAATAGAATGTGAAATTAAAATGAGTAATTAAAAGAACTACTGACAAATTATTTTTCATAGTTTATTATTCTCTTTTACACACTGAAAAAAGAAAAAATATGTAAATCAGCTTTATAATTTAATTTAGTAATAGCCTCTTAATTCCTCATTTTCAATTTGGGTATTTCCTCTCTATATTTTAAAAATAATAACAACTTTTCTAGACTGCACCATTTCTGGATTAATCTATGTCACATAGCTTGCATAATGCTGATGATGTAGCTAATTCAGAACCTTAACTCAAAATTTTGAAAACTGAAACCTAAACCAAAACCTTCTCTTGATAAGCTTCCGTCTTGGATAATTGTGCATTTCTGCCTCTGTTGCTGCTTAGATGCTATTTCGCTGTACTCTCTTCCTATCACAATAGTATCAAAAATTTAAATGTTCTTGAATATGCACAATTACAGTGTCAAGTAAATTATGCAACAAATGTCAATTGAAATAAAAATGAACATTTAATTTTTACTCGGCTGCCAAGTTTCCTAGTCATTACGGATCCAACATTTTAGCATTCTACATAATCACAGTTCTTGCTACATCCTTTTCATTATATATATATATATGTAAAATATAAAAAAATAGGACAGCTTTGCTCTTTGCGAACAAGCAACCTTTAATTAACTTTCCATATTTTCAGGATCTTCCCCCTAGACCAGTACTTTTCAGAACATTCCAGCCTATTATATAACCGCTTCTATAAATAGAGAACTCATGACATTTTGCCTCAGAAAGAGAGATCGCTTTCTCCCTCTGCTGCTAAGATCTGTGCCGCTGCTCTTCTGCCTTTTCTTTGTTAGAATATTATGACACATCAAATTTAATTTTATTTAATAAAGAACAATAATATGCCTGTGAATTGAATAAAGATTTGGAATCAAAACAATTAACTTCTGTGTCATCCTTGGATTGCAAAGCTTCACTCGTGCCCGACTGCCAAAATATTACATATATATATATTTCTATCTTCTGAAGATGCAAATGAAATGTTTAGCAAATAATATTAAGATATCAATTTTCATAAGAGTCTACATCCAAATTAATGAATTTTAACATGTGCCAGTAACTCTTCATCTGAATTAGGAAGCAACTGTAATTCGGAAATGTGAATTTTTTAACTGTTAACTTCATCGTTTAAATCAATAATGTATCAAAATCAAATGACCTTTTATTGAGGTAATTTGCATTTAAATACATTATTGAATTATTAATTATATATTAATAATAGTCATAGTGCCTTTTTTT